CATACGGCAATTCACTGATGATTTCAACACAAATCTGCAGCATATGCAACCTCCTTTGCTTTTAGATTTGACCTATCTAAATATCTTTTATACTATATGTGTTTGGACTCTGTATTTTTCAACATTGTGACACATCCTCTGTTTTGTTTTCAAATGCTCTGTTTTCTTTCTCAAAGCAGAGGAGAATGGAGCAGCACCAAACACAGTCCAGGGAGAAGCGCATTACTCACATAAAACTCAAGAGATCTCATCACGTAACTATAAACTCTCAGCTTCAAACACATTGAAGGGTCTCAGAGATTAGTCTTTTAACACGCTCCTTAAGTCAACGAACACAGAAAGATATGTATCTCGTCCTTTCTCGGCCTCTGGATACAACTGGTACATTTTTGATAATCTGATCTTCATTCACTCGTGTCGACTCTGATACACGCTAATACAAATGTCTATGCAGGACACTTGTTGTGTATCCCAACGGGAACAAGAAAGATAATGGTGCAGGGTTCCTTTCGCTTTACGTAGCCATAGACAATTCAACTCTCTCTCCACATCAAGAAGTTTACGTTGATCTCAGGTTTTATGTCTTCAACAAGATAGAGAAGAAGTTCTTTACCATCCAAGGTTGTTGCTAGTTTTCAATTCCCCCCTACCAAATATGTGATCTCTTAACAAAAGAGATGCTCTTTTGTGTATAGTAATATCTATCATTCTATGTTATGTTTTGTTGCAGATACACATGGATGGAGATTCAATCTCTTCAAAACGATGTGGGGATTCTCTCAGGTTCTCCCTGTTAATACATTTAAAGACTCGAAAAATGGATACCTCTACGATGGAGATCACTGCGAGTTTGGTGTTGATGTGACCATTCCTTCTCGCTTTGAAAAATCTGAACTTTTCACTGTCGCTGAGAGATTCCATAACCCAAGATTTACCTGGACCATTCGGGGATTCTCCACGCTGCTCAAAGATACCTACTACTCAGATGTGTTCTCCATTGGAGGAAGACGTTGGTGAGTGAGTCCACATGCATTAATTTTCAAAATGTGAAAGCTCTCTTGCTTTTACTCAAGAGTATATAGTGGTACTAACAAGTATTGCGTAATGATGAGATCAGGAATATACAATTGCATCCAAGTGGTCGTGCCTGGGGAGAGGGAAAAGCCTTGTCGATGTATCTTATCCTTAACGCCAATGAGAAGTTCAGACCCTATGAGAAGATTTATGTTCGAGCCAAGCTTCGAGTTCTTAACCAACGATAATTCAATAATAATGTAGAGATACTAAGTAAGCAAAACATATTTATTCATGGCTATATATGGAGACATGCATCCCCGGTGACTAATGAGTGCTTTCTTGTGAGCTTTCTTTATTTTGGCAGTTGATAATTGGTTCAATGGTCCGGGATATGGAGATGGATTTGGGTGGGGTCGTCCTGAGTTTATGCCACTCTCTGATCTCAAAGATTCATCAAAGGGTTTCCTTGTCAATGATGTGTTGATGGTTCAAGCGGAACTTGAAGCCATATCTTCAACCAAGTATTTCCCTAATTAGATTTTCTCTAACCAAGGAACTTGCAACTCCATGCATGTTTTTGCTTTGTTATCAGCCACCAAATAATATGTCTGAGTTTGCGTTTCAAATAAATGAGTTTAAACTCTCATACATATTATAAAATAATCGCCCTTCTTGCAAGCATCAAGGGATTTTTTTTTTTTTTTTGACTGATGTATATTCAAGCAAAGAAAAACGTGTTTACGACATGTATAGCTTTAAACTGAGTTTAGAAGAAGAAACTTGAAAGTGAATCTAGCTTCTTATGGCAAACCATAGCTCTAGGCAACCATCATAGATGATATCCTTGAGATCTAAACAAAAAAAAACTCAACAACAAGTGATTTGTTTACTTTGTACAAATATTATGTGGTACTTAAACTTGGACATGGTAAAACACAAACAAAACTTTGACTCGATACAAGATAAAAATAAGATCATCATTCTAACGATTTGAATTAATAGCACCATAATCATTCTTGTTTCATACTTACTGTGATATCTCGATTTTTAGTATATATGAAAAAGATTTATAAGAATTGATTTGGTTACCTATGTCATCAAAGTGCACTGGTCTTGAGAAAACTCCAAAGTTAAGCGTGCGTATACTGGAGCAATCTCAGAATGGATAACATACCGGGAAGTGGTCCGTGGTACTGTGTGAGTGAATACAAAAACACGGAGAAAGATCACGTGGTGATTGCAGAGATAGTAGACAAGTCTTACGAACCTTTTGAACCAAACGACTGCCGACCGTCGGACAGATTCGAAATCTCATGGATTTGATAGCCGATCTGTCTAGTTCCCGGAAGGGAAGAAGGGAGCGGGGTCTCACACATACACAGTGAGCGTCCTGCTTTTCAATTAATGTGTGTTATTTGTTCGTGTGAAATTATCGATATAGAAATTATTCAGCAAAAATGGGACATCATGGTGCTATATTAATTTGGTAGAGACGATTTACGTTGCATGGACACAAGTATTATTGTTGCGGGTCTACATAAGGACAAAGGCACAGAACATTTTTTTAATTAATAAATTAAAGCAGAAAAACAAAACAGAAATGGTACGCACCAATTGTATCTACCGACCCTAAGAAGACGCGGCTCATATTTCTCGGTGTAGGTAGAGTCTTAATGAATAATGAGTGTGTTGAGATTCCAATTTGAGAGAATAAGACGATGGAGGACGTTCTCTCAGGCCTTTCACCGTACTCGATATTGAGAGTTTGGTATATCACGTGATGATATTTGAGTGGGGATAAGTTTCTGAGAACCATTCTCCACGTTTGGGACTGGTCCTACAAAAGAAGAGGTGATGAACAGACAAGGCAAGAGAGAAACAATACATAAAGTATCTTTCTAGTAACTCATCATCATGTCAAAGATTTTTGAATTACTGAACTCTAGAGAGTGTGAGACTTGCTCAGGATTATGATATGTGTGTGAATATATATATATAGAAGGGGAGATGATTTAGTAGATGCTTAGGGAGGTGAAAAAGTACTGAGACTTGTGCATGATATATTGTTTTCTTTGTGACTAGTATACCAGTTGGGGTAAATCCCAAGCTGGTTTGATAATGCGTTTACTTTTCATCATTGACCTTTGAGTCTATTCTAAATTTTAGAAAAAAGTTATTTTTTGTATTGTAAAAAGTAATCGAAGTCTTCAAAATTTAAAACTAGTCCTTTTTCTAGTACAATTACAAATCACCGTAAGTAACACTAAAGTTTTGGTTCTATCTTATTAATTACTAGGGGCTGATCTGCGCGCGGAATTTTGTATTGTATTTATTAACATATTTAAGAAAAAACTTTACAATATCAATTTTTTTTATTAGATTTTGTATTTTAATTTTTTATATATACTTATTGTATTTTATAATTTATATAAAACATATAAAAAATAATCAAATAATATATCAATTAAAACTTTAAATCATTTTAGTTTATAGATATCTTTATATTTATGCGGGTTTATGATTTTGGAACATATACAATTCTTAATTACTGTATTCAGGAAAAAATATATGTAAGAGGCAATTAATTATTTAAAAATATCTCAATTCCCTAACATATTTTCAAAATATATTCATAATCTTTTTTTTTCTACACTCATTTCCCTCTCCATCTCCCTCTCCATCTCCCTCTCCCTCTCCTTCTCCATCTCCCTCTCCCTCTCACTATCCTTTTCCCTCTCACTCTCCTTTCCCTCTCATGTTCTCTCTCTCATCAATGCAACATGTTGAACCACACACAACATATTGGACCAGTTGAAATTTCTATCTTTCTCATGTTTTTCTTTTTTCTAGTCACTCTCAATGTCACATCTCTAACATGAGCTCTATATAATTTTTTAAGGGGAACTTCACCCATTTTATGTTTCAAAGATTAGGTTGAACATGTTAACATTTTGTGATATCACAATTTGTTTCACAAATATGCATTCTCACTCTCTATATTATTATTTAAGTAGTCATTTTAAAAAATAAATTTTATTTTGTAAATTATTACATGATATTCTATTACAAATAACAAAAATAATTAAAATAGAAAATGATATAATTTTCACTTGAGCTTTTTGAAATTCGTGCAAATATTCCTAACCCGTCTATATGCATTTTAATTTTATAATTTATCATTCTAATTTTCTTCAAATTTATGTCTTTTGTTATATTCTAGTGTTTTATATTGGTTTTAAAACGAATTTTAATATTTTTAGACATTAAAAATTTTGGATCCGAGAATTTGTTTTTCGGATTTGACAAAACTGTATCCAAATCTGACTATCTTAAAATTTTATGTTTTACTATACATATCTGTTGAATCATATAAACAAAATAAATAATTTAAAATAATAATGACTAAATGCATTAATATATAAACTATTATTTATAAAAAATGTATATTCATATTCTTGTTATATTAATGGATGATAGTTACTATGAGAATTAAAGTATAATAACACAAAATATAATAAATTATAAATTAATAAATGAATTGATGATGTGTCAAAATTTTAGAGTTTGAGAACATTTTACTTTATATATATAGATTTCTATCATACGAGTGGAGCCAAAGTATGTGTTCTTTCAATCTGTGTCAGATTTATTATGATTTTGGTCGAATGTTTGTTTAAATATGAGGAGTAATCAGCACCACTCGTAGAGGCTATTATTGCGGGTTTTACATTATATAGATGGTTGTTTTGCATTTTCACAGATTGAAAGTAAAATGAAAAAAAAAAACATATACAATTTTTTTTCTGCAATTTCCCCATGATGAATGTAACCACCTTATAAACCAAAAAGTGATTTCAACTTTTCATTTTCCATGACAAACACGAGGCAAAAAAACACAAGAGTTAGGTATTAAAAATATAATAATAATAAACAACAGTATCATGTAATAATTTAATAAATTTCTGGAGTCTTCCTAAGCATGCAAAGCAAATATGCCTCTCAAGTATATAAGTCCACTCTCACTAACCTCTGTTATCTACAGTTCACTCACATATACAACCTTCAAAGATGAAGAGTCACTACACAAACACAGTTTCTGCTGTTAATCTCTTGTTTTGCCTCTTCATCACGTCTGCCTCTTCACGTTCCTTCATACGCCAATTCACTGATGACCTCAACACAAATCTGCAGCGTATGCAAATCTCTTTTGCTATTAGATATGATCCAATATTTATGAGGATCTATCTAAATATCTTTTATACTATATGTGTTTGGACTGTGATATATTTGAACATTGTGACACATCCTCTGTTTTGATGTCAAATGCTCTGTTTTCTTTCTCAAAACAGAGGAGAATGGAGCAGGACCAAAAACAATCCAGGGAGAAGCGCATTACCCATATCAACATCAAGAGATCTCATCACGTAATTATAAACTCTCAGATTCAAACAAATTGACGGGACTCAGAGATCGTCCTCCAGCTACTTACTCTCTCAAGATGGAGTCTTTTAACACGCTCCTTAAGTCAACGAACACAGAGAGATACGTATCTCGTCCTTTCTCGGCCTCTGGATACAACTGGTACTTTTCTGATAATATGATCTCTATTCACTCGTGTCGAATCTTTTACATGCTAATACAAATGTCTATGCAGGACACTTGTTGTGTATCCCAACGGGAACAAGAAAGATAATGGTGCAGGGTTCCTTTCGCTTTACGTAGCCATAGACAATTCAACTCTCTCTCCACATCAAGAAGTTTACGTTGATCTCAGGTTTTATGTCTTCAACAGGATAGAGAAGAAGTACTTTACCATCCAAGGTTTTTGCTAGTTTTCAATCCCCACACCAAATATGTGATCTTTAAACAAGAGAGATGGTCTATTATGTATAGTAATATCTATCAATCTATGTTTTGTTACTACAGATACACATGGATGGAGATTCAATCTCTTCAAAACGATGTGGGGATTCTCTCAGGTTCTCCCTGTTGATACTTTTAAAGACTCAAGAAATGGATACCTCTACGATGGAGATCACTGCGAGTTTGGTGTTGATGTGACCGTTCCTTCTCTGTTTGAAAAATCTGAACTTTTCACTGTCGCTGAGAAATTCTATAACCCGAGATTTACCTGGACCATTCGGGGATTCTCCACGCTGCTCAAAGATACCTACTACTCAGATGTGTTCTCCATTGGAGGAAGACGTTGGTGAGTGAGTCCACATGCATTATTTTCAAAATGAAAAGCTCTCTTGCTTTTACTTAAGAGTATATAGTGGTAGTAACAAAGTATTACGTTATTACGTAATGATGATCAGGAATATACAAGTGAATCCAAGTGGTCGTGCCACGGGAGAGGGAAAAGCCTTGTCGATGTATCTTATCGTTAACGCCAACGAGAAGTTCAGACCCTATGAGAAGATTTATGTTCGAGCCAAGCTTCGAGTTCTTAACCAACGACAATTCAATAATATAGAGATGCAAAGTAAGCAAAACATATTTATTTATTCATGGCTATATATGGAGACATCCCCGGTGACTAATTAGTAATGTTTTTTTTTATTTTGGCAGTTGATCATTGGTTCAATGGTCAGGGATATGGAGATGAATTTGGGTGGGGTCTTCATGAGTTTATCTCACTCTCTGATCTCAAAGATTCATCAAAGGGTTTCCTCGTGAATGATGTGTTGATGGTTCAAGTCGAAATTGAAGCCATATCTTCAACCAAGTACTTCCCTAATTAAATTTTCTCTTGTTAACCAAGGAACTTGCAACTCCATGTTTTTTCTTTGTTATCAATCCCCTGTGTTGTGTTTGCGTTTCAAATAAAATGAGTTTATATTTCTCATATACATATCAAAACATCATCTTTCTTCTTACATGCACCAAGGATTTTTACCGCAAGTCAAAAATCGTTAATTCAATCATTAGCCCAACTCTTGTCCTTCATTTTTGTCTCTTCAGGCATTAAAAAAACACTTTAAAAACAAAGCATGAGTAGACTTAAACTATCAACAAAAAAATGGAACTACAATTATATTCATTTTTTTGTTGAAGAAATGTTAAGTTTTATACGAACAAAAAAAATAGCTTAAATCGAAATCTTGGTCTTGATGCAAACCATTCTTGGAGCCCATTATCGTATCTGTTGCCCCAAGTAGTCGAATAGAGCCAAACCTGTTCCTGATTCCTTTGTCAATCCATTAATTCAAATATTCAATATATTCATTATTACAATTCAAATGTTCAATATACGAGAAAAAGTAACAAAAATGTATCTAATGAGCATAATAATGAGGTAATTTCGTGAAGATTTCAATAATATTAGTTTGTTTAAAACCTTTTTTACTTAATGATGAGAACACCTACAATAATCTTCTCTTCCTATTTTATTAAAAATGCAATGCTTCCAAACCGCTTCTATAACATAAATGCAAGTTTCCTTCATGTTGCCAAAATGACTTGTCTCGCAATCGTCTTTACCGGTATCTTCTGGTTCTTCTGCGGCACTTCCTCATTTTTTTTCAAGACTAATTCCAACTAATTGATTCCGAACTGGAAATTTCAACTTAGACGAAATTTCCATGCAATTTACGTTTTCACAGACACAGACCATGGACCAACCACTTCTTGTTCATTAGACATTTATTTTTTCCTGCTTGCAAAGATCTTGAAAACAGCTCTACAAAAAAAAAAATTAACCATGACAGTTACTCGAATTTTGATTCTAAAAATCTGAATGATTTTATGAAATGGAAACATCTGATAATAATATTCGAAGGTTTATCTGTGTATACAACTACTTTATGGAACGTGGGAGAGACACTTTATTGCGTGTATTTCGGTACATAGCAAGAAACTTTAGACTTTGGAGCGGAGCATTGATTGATTGATTCTCTATGCATTTCACTGTAACTAAATTTGAACCCAATCAAGGTGGTGTCGTGCTAGATGGACCAGGTCTTAGGCCCCTGCCATCTAATTTTAGTAAGCCTAAGTTTGATTTCCACCATAAACTAAGTTGTTTTGTTGAGTCATTTGGATTGGATCTCTTGAGTCGAACCACACTTTTACAGAATGAATCATAAAACACTCTTAAGTTAATTTTAGTAGATTAATAGCATTTTGGTTTTTAAATATATTTTTAAGATGTTGATAAATTTGAACCAAAAAAAAAAAGATGTTGATAAAATATAATTGAATCACTTTTAAAATCATAAATAATTGATAAATATTTTAATGATAGAAAATAGCATAATCAAGTTTTTTAAACTTATAAAAATTAATATTATTCATATCAGAACATTTGTTAAATTGATGTAGAATTTGAAACTCACATGAGTCACCAGCTAAAATTGAGATGGATTTAAAATAATTGATGATAAATGAGTCATTACATAATTTCTACTGTGTGAAGTATAGAGTTTGATTTATAGAGTTTGATTTCCAGATAATGCGATTTAATGCATATAATGAAGATAAATTTGTAGAAATTCTTTTAGTATAGTGTAAATGGAACCCTTCATCATGGTCCCCTATGTGAAGAGTAAAGTTGTCCAGTCCATCATAAATCGATGTAATTGGTTTCATAATTTGTAGTAAACAATAATTGAGGTGATATAAAAAATTAATTTTTGTATTATGGAAACTAATCAAAGTTTTCAAAATTTAGAAAACTAATCCTTTTTTCTACTACAATTACTAAATCACTCTAAGTAACATTAACGTTTGGTTCTTTGTTATAAATGATTTCTGTAATATGAGTCGGCCAAAGTATATAAATATACATATATATATATATATATATGTGTTCTTTCAATCTGTGTCAGATTAATTATGAATTTGGTAGAATGTTTGTTTTAATCAGCAGCACTAGTAAAGGTTTTTAGTGCGGGGTTTATCATATAATAGATGGTTGTTTTGCATTTTTGTAGATTAAAGGTAAACTTTTAAATAAAAAAATTAATGTAACTACTTTATAAAAAAAGGGTCTTCAACTTTAGTTTTATTCATGACAAACACGAGGCAACAAAAACAAGAATTAGGTACTAAAATAGAAAGAAATAACAGTAAAAAGGTTTAGAAATATTCTCCAAATTTGTGAAAACAGGTGTAAATATCTTCTCATGGGCATCTTTTCTATACCTGAAACAGGAAAAAGCCAGGCGAAAAAATAAATTCTTTCTCGTCTGTGTACCATACCGGTCACAAGAAAGTTGCCCATGACTGGTGTCTGTGCCCGGTATGCTCCCAGGGCCGTGCCCACCATGTTAAAATTTAAACATTCACCTACGGCATCGACTTACAAAAACATTTGACTATGGTAATGACCATCTAATAATATGATTTGGAACTTTATAATTTAATATATGCATATAGCGGTGACCATGACTTTGATGTGTAGGCTGTGAGGACTTTAATGAGTTTAACAGTTCTTACAGCAATTTTTTTCCCAATTAGACTTTTTAAACTTTAAAATATTTAATAGTCTTTACAGCACTTTTCAAATTTTTTTTTGTTATTTTTAACAGCCTCTTTTGTGGCTTTTAAAGTTTCTCTCCTACTCCTTACGTAGAATTTTTTTTGTTTTACATTTCCCTAAGATAATAATTTCTTTTATTTTATTTAATAAATTATTGTAATGCTGAAATTTTGATAACTAATAAGAGTTGACTGTTATTTTGATGCACTTGCTCGTGTAAAGGAGTGGTAACCAAATGAAAAATTTAACACAAAAATATAACAAAATATTCAATAAAATCTTTGAAACAATCAAACACTAATTAGAATATCACTATAAATACTATAATAATATATATTTTATTGAAAGCTATATAAGAAAAACTGGAGACACTATTTTTTTAGGTAGTCTTCAAGCTTTCAATTCCTACAATAATGGCATCTTCATCATCCCGTAAAACTAAGGTATATCACATATGATTTCAAAATCAATAGATTTGTGAGTTCTTTTTTTAGATATCAAAATTTGATGGTTAAAATATATTTTAATTTTTCAGAAATTTAATTGGTCAGAAGAGGTCACATCCATATTTCTTCAGCATATTATTATGGAAAAACACGATAGAAGTAACAACGAGAAGAATTATAAAGATTATTCAAAAGTTTCATGAACAGATTGGAGCTGATTTGCATTGGAAACAAGGAAAAAATCGTTTATATTGTTTAATAGATCATTACAACATTTATCTGAAAAATCCGGAAGCTCCAGAAGTTCATCCAAATTTTTTTCAATTTATTCCACTTCTTGATGCAATTTTTGATAATTAAAGCAATATAAAAAATAATTAGTATAGATGAAGTTTTTTAACGATTAATATATTAATTTTTGAGCTTTTGTATTTTCTTTATTATATTTTTTTATTGTATTGATTATTTATGTTAATAATAAATTTTGTTATTTGTTTTTTCTTATATAATTTGTATTTTAATCAAAAAATAAATATTTAAATTAACAGTCACAGTTTTTACAGTTTATGTCAACAATCAGACTTTAAAAACAACAGTCTCAGTTTTAACAGCTAAAATCTTTACAGCCAAAAGTCTACAGTTACAGCCAACAATCACAGTTCGTACCAATCGGACCCCACTTCATACCAGTTTTGCATAAATTTTAAATTAAATACTTTTCAAATATCTTTCATTTATTAAATTTTTAGTATGCAACTCCTCTAACTTTTTTATTTGTGTCTTTTTCTTTTTACTTAACTTCTATTTAATTTAAAAATATTTATCTATATTATTTATTTTCTTTTCAAAAACTTAGACTTATCTATGTAAAGTTTTTCATATTCATTTTTTCATCTTTTTAATATTTGATTTTTATATGCCATCATTATTAATTTTGAACCAATTTTTTTTTCATCAATTTAATTGTTTTATCAATTGAAAATTACACATATCATTGAGTAAAAAAAACATAAATTTTTGGTGTTTCGAAATAAAACCTTTAATCGTCTTCTACAAATTTTTATTTTAGAAACTAAAATAGATCATAAATATTATATTCATTTATAGTCTCTAAACTGGTAGGAACGGCTCTGTATGCTCTGCGCGTGAAGTGTATAGCGTGAAGTGCATCAGGTGCAGGAAAGATGCCTGTGACTGGTATCTGTGACGGGTATCATGTCATGCAAATCCCAACGCTCTCTGATCACCAAACTGGATTGTTTTCATAGAAAATTGGCAAAAATTTCCATCACATTGTTGGAATATACTCAAACCACTTCCAAATGAATTGAAATCTAACACAATATATTATCTTCAATCAAAATTGGAGCTCGATCCATTGGTGAAAATATATTTTAACGAATGACAAACTTCTAACGCATCTGCATGATTCTGTGCATCTTCATATAGCCATTTGAACCCAAGTTGACTTTTTTTCCCTCCAAAACAACTTATACCTGAAAGACTCGATAAAAGATTTAAAAATCTTAAAAGACATTTTGACTTGATAAAAGATACAAAGCAAATGTTAGAAACCAATAAAAATCCAATTTATCAGTTCGGGAGTTGAAGTTTTGAAGTAAATGATCCCATATAAAAAATGTAACTGGGGTATTTGTCGTAAAAAAAAAAAAATGTAACCACCTTATCAACCAAAAAAAAGATATATCAACTTTTAATTTGCCATTGCAAACACGAGGCAAAAAAATACCTGAGCATTTATACCTCTAGACTTTTAGAGTCTGTACCAACCGGAAAAGGATGAGATTCCTATCTCTCTGCATAGGAGGCTCAGTATATTATTCCAAAGCATTTATGCCTCTATTCCAAAGTACTATATAAGAGACTCACTAGTCGCTCTGTTCTCGACACTTCATCAGTTCACCCTCACAAAACCGTAAAAGATGACGAGTCACTACAGAAACACCATCTCTATTGTTTATCTCTTGTTTTGTCTCTTCATGATCACATCTTCTTCTGCACCTTCCCTCATTCGACAATTCACTGATGACTTGAACACAAATCTGAAACGTACACCATGATCTTTGTTTTTCTTCTATTCAAGAATATCCATCTATGTCTTTTAGATTATATGCTTAGACTGTGTATCTAAACACCGTGGTGCAATGTTTTTTTTTTTTTTTGTTGTTGTTGTCTCAAAACAGAGGAAACCGGAGCAGAACCAACAAACCTGGAAGAAACACATTACTTACGTAAACATCAAGAGATCACATCTCGTGACTATAAAGTCTCAGCTTCAAGCGCAGTAACGGGTCTAAGACATAGTCGTCCATCTACTTACTCTTTAAAGATGGAGTCTTTCAACACACTCCTTAAGTCAACCAACGCAGAGAGATTCGATTCTCGTCCTTTTCCGGTTGGTGAACACAACTGGTAAGTTGTTATCTGATCTTTATTCGCATGAATCGGAATTTTCATAGTACTAAATGTCATATGATATATAGGACTCTTGTCGTGTACCCTAACGGGAACAAGAAGGATAGTGGTTCAGGGTACCTTTCGCTTTACGTAGCCATAGACAATTCGACTCTCGTCGATTCACATCAAGTGGTTTACGCGGATCTCAGATTTTACATCTTCAACAAGAAGGAGAAGAAGTACTTCACCATTCAAGGTCTTTTATTTTCAATCCCCACCAAAATATATGATTTTTAACAAGAAAGATGTTCTATTTATAGAAATATTGATGAGTGGAGATTTTGACTCATTCTAACTTGTGTTTACTGATTGTTTTATGAGTTTTTGGAGTCTTTTCAGAAAGTTTCAGGTGACTTAGAGGCCTTATCAGAGGATTGGAATGTTTAGGAGGCATTGGAGCAAAAGGAGATTAATTTGAGCAATAAGGAGCTATTTCACACGCTTTTGGAGAAATCATCTGCGGAGCACCTGCTCCCGGTTCGGACCATTCGTGGAGCACTTGCTCCGGACGGGAGAAAAATAAGGAAAACGATTTTACCTAATCCTAAGTCGCGTGAGATGGAATAAAAAGCCCAGAGCCGCCTGTGTTTTTATTATCACGTTTTTCTTTTACAATTTCCTGAACCACAGAGTTTTTACTTGTAAGCTTTTGGGAGAAGAAATCTGCTACACTTTGAGAAGAATTCTGAACCCTATTATCTCTTCTGCGATTTTAATCTATGAATTTCTTTTCATCTGTTTCTGTGTTTCTTTTCTCCATGTCTGAGTAGATCTCTTAGCTAGATTAAAGCGTTCAAAGGATTTCATGAGTTAGAGGATTAGATGCAAATAGGGCTTGATATCTATTGTCTTCACCATTGTTAGACTTAATGCTTAGGTTGACTTGATCACTCAATCTGCGATTTTAGGTTAATCTGTTCATCAAAAGTGTAATAGGTTGCTAGAATAAACATTGGTGAGCAATTTGTCCTTAGCCAACGACAGTTGAAGTTAAGGCAAATCGTGAACATATCAAACCTGCTAGCTAATGCTTGTCTGCAATTTTCTAGGTTCAAACGACAGTTTAGGATTTAGGTTGTTAGACAAAGTTATCGAGATCACGACAGTGGATCGATAAGCTTTTCTGTTTGAGTTCGAGACTTGCGTTACATTTGTGTCCTGAATAGTCATCTGGTTCTTATCTCTGAAATTCCTGCGAATTGCTTTGGTCTAGTGCTTGTTTTAATTCGAATTTAAATCGTTGTTTGCCATCTGTTTACTTTTTAGTTTTCGTAACAAACCATCTTTTGTCTTAGCTTTAATTCAATCCTCGCAAAGTCATAGAGTAACATTGGTCCTCTGGATTTCGAATCTTTTATATTACAACTACATCACTGTTCTATTGCAATAGAAACTAGGAGTACATCCAGTGTGAATCAAATATCTATTAAGGGAAAGCTTACTTTTCTCACTAACCAATAAAATGTTGTTAACCATAAAAGGAAACTTTTTAATCTTTTTCTAACCAACCAAGAAAGATGTTCTATTTATAGAAGACCGCTTAATCTTTTTCTGTTCTTTCTTACTCTCGAACTTATTTGCCCTTTCATGGGTTATTTTGCTTGTAATACTTTTATTTCCGAGCCCTTGGTGGGCTTTTGAACTTATTTGCCTCTCGGGAGGCTCTTAATTTATATGCTCGTTTTTACTTCCTTTTTTCCTATCTTGGTGATTTAGAAGAATTTTTCAAGTAGCACATCGGCAACTTGTTTGAATTTTCGACTTTTCTTTCGTCGGTAACTTAGAAAAATCTTTCAAGTACTAGACCAGAATATACCAGATGATGTTCGAACATAGTTTTTATCTTTCGATAGCGAATTGCGATAATTCGGCTTACGTTTTGCGAGTGTTGTGAACTCGGCTTATGGTGCGAATCTGAGGAGTTCGGCTTATTGTGCGAGCGTTTAAGCTCGGCCTGGGGAACCCAAGTGAATCGTTTCGTATTGGAAGAGTGAATTAATTCGAACTCCTGTAAACGCACGAGACAAGTTCAAGGTTTTTCTAAGTCGAACCTAAGTATGCGAGATGTGCTCGGCTTATTGTTCTTGGTGACTTAGAAATTCAACTGCGGGACTGGGCCCGGCTTTTGATATGTGGTTTAACCACGACACCATGTGGGTGCTTGCGAGACGGATCTCGGCTTTTTTAAGTTTGTATTCATGTGGAATGCTATCGAACAACTGGCCAGGAAGTCGATGTAGAAGAATTCGGTCCCTTGTGATTTCCGAAGTAGAACTTAGACAGATTTGACTTAATAAAATTTTATTGATGTTATAGCTAGACTCGGTAACGAGCTACCTACGTACCCTTTGAAGGGATCAAGCCATTCGTAGTTCTAAGTACAAAAGTGTTTTTTGCTCCGACTAAGTAGTTTGAAGGCTTTTTTTTTTTTTTTTTTTTTTTTTTGCTTTGAGCTCACAACGAACTAGTAGTAGTATCGTTTAAGATGCATTGAGTTTCAAGATCGCGGGATCGGAGTTCCGTCTAACTTCATAAGTTGATAAACGCTGGGTTTAACGACTTTCATAACCTGATACGGTCCTTCCCAGTTCGCGCCAAGTTTTCCTGCGTTCTTCTCTTCTCTGTTTTGATAGACTTTGCGAAGTACGAGATCGCCATCTTCAAAGTGACGGCCTTTAACTTTTTTGTTGTAGTAGCGAGCTGCAAGTTGTTGGTAGTTCTGTATCCGGAGCAATGCTCGTTCGCGATGTTCTTCGACTAAGTCGAGTGCGTCGATCATCATGTTGTCATTCGCGTCGGGTTGCTGGGTAAGCATAGTTCGGCGAATACTTGGGACGTTGAGTTCGGCTGGACACATAGCTTCTGTGCCATATGCAAGGAAGAATGGTGACTGACCGGTCGAACGTCGTGGTGTAGTTCGGTGAGATCACAAGACGCCGTCAAGTTCGTCTGCCCAAGTTCCCTTAGCGGTGTCGAGTCGTTTCTTTAGTCTGTCAATTATGGTCTTGTTTGTGGCTTCAGCTTGTCCGTTTCCTTGCGGGTATCGCGGGGTAGAGAAACTTAGTCGGATTTTCCACTTGGCACAAAAATCTTGGAAAATGATCAAAGTGAACTGGGTTCCGTTGTCTGTAACGATCTCGTACGGGGCTCCGTGTCGGCAGATGATGAACTTCCAGACGAACTTTTGTTGATATGTTTCCTAAGCAGAAGGCCGTAGGTTCGACCCCCTTCCTGGCGCGCCAATTGTTGATATGTAAATATCGACAAGGGACAAAACAGTACTTTTAGATCGGAAGCTCGGATTTTATTAGATTGAATCAAGTAAAATACAATTGAGTTCGGTTATTCAGGTAGACAATAACGAACTAAGACTTAAGGCGACTAAGAAGCTAGCGTAGTGAGTTCTCAGTCTTTAAGTCTTCTCGGAAATCTCTTATGTTCTCTGGTGTCGATTCATCTCCCTTTATATATATCCTCTAAGTCGGTCTTCAAGCACGCCTCAGACGATATGGGACCGAGAGTACTTTCCTTTTCTCTCGGTTCCTTTCCTTTTTTATCTAAGGTTTCCTTTTTCCGTTAGGAAACCTTCCTATTTCGACCGAGCTCAGGAAAGCCCTCCATTCCTTCGAGAGACTTCTCACCGACCTCGGCCTAATGGGCTGTGTTCGGCCCAATGTTTCACTCGGCCCAGCTTTCCCGGTACATCTCTTCGTAAACCAGGCTTATCTTACGCCAATCTCGATTTGTACCGGAGAAAACCGGGGTGCGGTTTTTACCTCCAACAATGTGACCATCCCTTCTCCCTTTAAAATATCAGAGCTTTTCACTGTCACTGAGAAATTCGATTACCCGAGATTCACTTGGGACATTCCGGGATTTTCCACGCTGCTGAATGATTCTTACCTATCAAATGTGTTTTCCAGAGGAGGAAGAAATTGGTGAGTCCATATTAAAAGCTCTTTTTGCTTTTAGTTAGAGTATATATATAGTGGTAGTAACAAGTATTTCATATGATGATCAGGAATATCAAAGTGTATCCAAGTGGCAATGGCAAGGGAGAGGGAAAAGCCTTGTCAATGTTTCTTATCCTTAACGCGAACGAGTTGTTCAGACCCTATGAGAAGATTTATGTTCGAGCCAAGCTTCGAGTTCTTAACCAACGGCAATTCAATAATATAGAGATGCAAAGTAAGCAAAACATATTTATTTATTTATTCATGGCTATATATGGAGACATATATCCCCGGTGACTAATTAGTAATGTTCTTTATTTTGGCAGTTGATCATTGGTTCAATGGTCCGGGATATGGAGATGCATTTGGGTGGGGATTCGCTGAGTTTATCTCATTCTCTGATCTCAAAGATTCATCAAAGGGTTTCCTCGTGAACGATGTGTTGATGGTTCAAGTCGAAATGGAGGCCATTTCTTCAACCAAGTACTTCCCTAGTTAGATTTCGCTAACTAAGGAAAACTTGCAGCTCGCTCATTTCTTTGCAACTATTATCAACCACTTTGTTTTTTTTTGGTGGGCTATCTATCAACCGCCGAATAAGAAGAATCCGTATTTGCGTTTTAAATAAATGATCACAGACAATGAATAATCCCTACTTTTGGTGTAATTTGGAAAGTTTACGATAATGGAAGATTCATAAATAATTGACTCTCTTTTGTTTTACCTCAATAAAACATCATTAAAATTAGCATTTTTTACGTGAAGAATTTGTTTATCACACGTTCCATTGTACTCCTTAATATATATAAATGTTTTCTCATTTTATGCCAACTTTAAATTTTTCAAACGCTTTGTGACCAATTGTATTACACAGTCTATATGAGCTTCAACGTTTTTATAAACTGATGTAGAATTGTTTTATTGGGCAAAACGGCGAGTTAACAAAAACTTGAGATGAGTCGGAGTCGCCAGGCGCCAGCTAAAGGTGGGACTTGGGATTAGATCCAAAAGTCAATGATCATAAATGCAACCACGTTATAAAAAAAAACAGATATTTGTCTATCAATTTTTAATTTGCCATTGCAGACACGAGGCAAAAAAATAATAAACTAATAACATTATCATGATATATCTCATTCATTTCCATTACCAAAGCATCTCCATATATATAATAAGTCTCGCTAGTCACTCTGTTATGTTTACTTGATTCACAATACCTTAAGAGATGACGAATCACTACAAAAACACCATCTCTGTTGTTTATCTCCTGTTTTGTCTCTTCATCACATCTGCCTCTGCACGTTCCTCCTTAATACGACAATTCACTGATGACCTCAACACAAATCTGCAGCGTATGCAAATCTTATTACCTCTTAGACTAGATCCAATACTCAATCTAATGACTTTATAGAATTTCGAGTTTTGGTTGTGTTGTGACACATCCTCTGTTTTGTTTTTCACATGCTCTGTTTTTGGCTCAAAAACAGAGGAGAATGGAGCGGGACCAATCCAAAACCTGGACGAAACCCATTACTTGAATAACAACCAAGAGATCGCATCACGTGATTACAAGGTCTCAGCTTCAAACACGGTGAAGGGTCTGAGAGATCGTCGTCCAGCTACTTACTCTCTCAAGATGGAGTCTTTTAACACGCTCCTTAAGTCAACGTACGCAGAGAGATATGAATCTCGTCCTTTCTCGGCCGGTGGATACAACTGGTACGTTGAAAATCTAATCTTTCTTCGCTCGGATCAGGACACTTGTTGAGATATAGTTTTAAAAAATAGATCATCAAATTAAAATACGTATACAGGACACTTGTTGTCTACCCCAACGGGAACAAGGTGGATAGTGGTTCAGGGTACCTTTCGCTTTATGTAGCCATAGACAACTCGACTCTCGTCGCTGCACATCAAGAAGTTTACGCGGATCTCAGGTTTTACATCTTCAACAAGAACGAGAGGAAGTACTTCACCATCCAAGGTTTTTTTTTTTGATATAACTTTCAATCCCAAGAAAATGTGATCTTTGAACAAGAACAATGCCTTGTGCATAATAGTAACATTTATCTATCGATCTATCTTTGTTATAATCTTCAGATACCGATGTATGGCGATTCAATGTCTTCAAAACGATGTGGGGATTCTCTCATGTCCTCCCTGTTGATACCTTCAAAGACCCAACAAACGGATACCTCTACGATGGAGATCACTGCGAGTTTGGTGTTGATGTGATCGTTCCTTCTCTCTTTGAAAAATCGGAACTTTTCACTGTCACTGAGAAATTCGATAACCCGAGATTCACCTGGACCATTCGGGGATTCTCCACGCTGCTTAAAGATACTTACTACTCAGATGTCTTCTCCATCGGAGGAAGAAGCTGGTAAGTCCATATATATTATTTCAAAAATAAAAGCTTTGTTGCTTTGTTCAGAGGATATGTGCCAGTAAACAAGTACTATTGCTTATGATGATCAGGAATATACAAGTGAGTCCAAATGGTCGTGGCACAGGAGAGGGAAAAGCCTTGTCGATGTATCTTAACCTTAATGTGAACGAGAAATTAAGACCCTATGAGAAGATTTACGTACGTGCCAAACTTCGAGTTCTTAACCAAAGCCAACTCAGTAACATTGAAAGGCAACGTAAGTAAAAGATACATATATGTGTGTGTATGTTCATAGTTGTGCAAACATACCATTTAATCGTGATGGCTAATGGATCTTCTTCTTTTTTTGTTGGCAGTCGATAATTGGTACAATGGTCCGGAACATGGAAGAGGATATAGTTGGGGTTACCATGAGTTTATATCTTTTTCTGATCTGAGAGATACATCAAAGGGTTTCGTTGTGAATGATGTGTTGATGGTTCAAGTCGAAATGGAGGCAATCTCTTTAACCAAGTACTTTCCTAATTAATTTTTTTTCTAAGCCAAGGAACTTGCACCTTCATACGTTTGCTTTGTTTGACGCTTTCATGTATACGTAACAAAAATAAGAATCTGTGTTTTCGTGTCCAATAAATTAGTTGTACTTTCTCGCATAGAGGTTTTCATAATAAGGAGCCAAGGAACTTGCACCTCCTTACGTTTTCATTGTTTATGCACAAATGACGATCAATTAGACGACTATTTAGCCGATAAAGTTCTAACCCGTATCTACTGTTTCTTTATAATGGTGGATTACGTTTTTGTATTCCTAGTGTTAGAATTAAACGGATTCTCGAACATGGTGAGGGAATATGTAAATATCCATATTTATGATATAGTTTTTTTTAGGACATTTTGTATTTTCAAAGACAATTTCTATGTGCAACGTGGGAGAGACTGAGAGACACTTCGATTTTGAATAGGATCAAAAACAAAAACATAAGAGATATTGTTAATCCTTTTTCAAATGCCAAACGAAATCAATAGTCAGTGACAATAATTGACCACATTATTAATCAATTTGATAGTTCAATTTTTTTAGTTGACAAATCTCAATCACTGACCACATTATTATCCAATTTAATAGTTCAAATTTTTAAACTAACAAATCTCAACCATTAGGACAAATCTGTACCGAAAATGACTAGAATGCCTTTTTAAGGCTTTAATGGGTTAAAATTGATCCAAAAGAACTAAAATAATTGAAAAAATATATATCAACAACTACTACTACATAGAAGAATTGTAGATTTTCATCTCACAAATAATTGAGAAACGTGCCGAGTATTTCCTGACCATAGCATTTGAAAAAAAAAAAACTCTCTCTTACAAACTTAGAACAATATAAATGTGACCTTCAGATTATATGTTTGTAAGAAAATGAGCTTTTAAGAATATTTTATTAAAATTAGGCCCTAGGCCAATGTTTCTCAACCCATAACATAGACACGATTTGATGGTGATCTAGAGTGTTGCGATACATTCGATCTCGATCTTGGCGTTTAGAGGCAAAGCTGCGACTTGATATGTAGATCGTGCTGGAGAAGGAGCTGGGAAGTCTGCACTCGGATTAAAAAAAAGGGTCATAATGTTTCAAACTAATTCTTAAACCACTCCACAACCAGTAAATAATTATGCATTCTGAACAAAGTAGGAACACTTATAATCTTATTAAAGAACTCACATTTGGCGTATATCTCGTTCACTTTCTTGAAGTCACCCAAGTCAGCAAGCCTATCACAGAAAATCAAAGAGATCACCTTTGTTTTCTAGATTCAAAACTCATACGGATAATGGTTCTGTTGAACAAAAACGTACATGATTGTTGTCTTCACCACGGAGGAGTAATCGGCACCACTCGCTTTCAATATCTCTCCCATGTTCTTAAGTACCTTCAATATTCCAAAACAAAATAATAGAAGCGAGCACACAACATTTAGGAAGGGAAAGACAGAGCAATTCAATCTTGCTACAACTACACCGGAGTTTAATTTGAAGACTACTAATACCAAATCAAGAAGTTCAGAGACTTAGTTTTGTGTTGTGAAGGTGGATATGCCATTACAATAGTTAAATTGTTCAAGACAATCTAAATCTCATTGGCTCCGGATAAAATCATTACCACAAACAAAACTAATCTTTATAGAGACAATGATGACAGTTTAAAAGTTACTTCACCTGCTCAGTCTGATCTTCAACGCTGTCCGAAACAAACTTCCCAGTCTATACGCACAAAACCCAAAAAAAAGAGAAACCTTGCAATCTTAGAACCCAGAGAAGAAAGAAAGAAAAAACAATGTGGTGAATTACATTTCATATCTTAGACTGACCTCAGGTATAAGTCCAAGAACACCTGAAAGGAAAACAAGATTGTTGGCTTTGATAGCCTGAGAGTATGGTCCCAAAGCAGCTGGTGCTTTCTCTGTAGCCACAACTTCCTTCATACCTGCATTGTTTTTTTATTCAACACTAACTCTCATTATCCTCCTTAGAACCCATAACATCTCACATTTTCTATATATTCTCTAAATCGAACATTTATAGAGAATAAGGAAAAATAAAGATGAGAGAAGTACGACCCAAGACTAACAAACAGATGCATTGAAGATTATCGAAATCAAAATCAAATTTTTTGAGCAGGGCATTCATCAAAATCAAAACTTTAGCAAAGTACCAATAATTGGATACTAGAAAGCCAATTTTAGGGGGAAAAGATCCAAATCGGAGAGAATCGAAATAGAGCGTGTTACCAGAAGAAGCGGAGACACTGAGAGAAGCGAAAGGAGGAGATGAAGAAGACATTCGGAAAAGGGAGACACCGGCGAATGTTGCGCAGCCGACACCGGCGGAGACTAATGGGCGGCGAGTGGAGCGAAGTGCGGCGGAGAGGTCGAGAGTTGGGGAGTTTATGGATCTGAAGACCGACCAAGTCATTTCAGTCTCTCTCTCTCTCCTGGCGCCGTCAAGAGGTACAAAAGCAAAAGGACCAAATAGTGTAGAGAGAGAGGGAGAGAGAGAAAGGTAGGTGAAGAAGAAGACTGAGTTTGATGCGATGGGATTTTAAGCAGATGATTCGCGTGTCTTCTTTGTCTTCTTCTCTCTTCGAAACGTTTTTTACATTTCCGAGTTTACCCTTAGTTAGGTACATATATTACTGAGAAAATAAAGTTTTCTATTATTTTTTCTTTAGTTTTGTATGTAATTTTAATACTATGGAGTTTGGACTCATTGGACAATGAGGCCCATGCCTATCCCATGCGCTTTATCCACAACATGTAATTTTTAACTTTTTTCAAGATTTATGTTTTTTCCATATGTATTTGCTTATGGGAATTGAGAAATACATTGTTTAGTTATGAAAACAGAGATGGACTATGTACAAGTGTAGTACAATATGAAAGATGATCTCTACAAATGGGGCAAGTCTCTTGCCTAAGCAACCACTCATCTATGCAAAATTTATGAAATGTGTGGCCACATCTCTTTAGCTCTCTTCCAACTTCTCCTACTTCCCAATCCTACACACCGAAAATAAATACAGTATAAACTATTTTATTACATTTTAATAACCTGATTTGGAGATGATTTTATTTGATCACAATTCATTACCTGTAAGCAAATCGAACAACTCGAAATGGTTTGATGACCTGAACAACCGAAGTTAAACGTTGGGATGTTCTGAATTAAGCTCCTTGGTAACCCTTCTGGTTCTTGGTTAGAGTCATACATGTCTGATATCTCTATGTAGCTTGTGTCCAGTCCCATTATCTACACTTTTTTTTGTTGAATTTAGTTTTTTTTTAACAAAAATCTGCATGCGTCCTATATTGGGATTGTATTCAGATGGTGACACAATGAAAACTAATATAATTTTTATATTACACCAGGTCAAGTTTTACACCCTAAATAAATAATGGTAAAAAACTAGAAGAAAGTGGAGTACTTCAACCAAAAAAAGAAGAAGAAGAAATGTGGAGCACTTACTTGCCATTGATATGCTTTGAGCACAGCCGGTCTAACCAAGCCCATGATGGCTTTCCCATTCACTACTCTTCTCATTAAAGCAGCCTGCTAAGATTTTCTCATTATTGTCACCAAAACTAGTGTTACCAATGATCTAATTACTAATAATATCACTTTCTAACTAAAAGCATATGATTGACTAAGATTTAATTTAGACTCTAGAGTGACAATCACCTTAGACAAAGGTTGATCACCAGGTAGCATCAGTCCAAAGAGCTGAACCGCGGTGATAACTCCAGCCACAACTCCTAGCAAACCGCCTTGAAGAAATCCGATGTCTGTCGTGTGACCTTCCGTGGCTCCTACAAAGGCGGCTACCACAACACTAGCTACATCACACAAAAAAGTAGTGACAATTAGTGATCTTAAAATATTGTTATACATAAGAATGTGGATGAAATCACGCCATGTGATATGATAAACAATAGTACATTACTAAAACGAAAGTGTCTATTGTAAAAGAATTTAGAATTTAAGATTAGGGAATCAATCAATGAGATAAATTATCAATTCAATTAAGGAGGAAGGAATGATGAATGCATAGTGCGTCTGGCCCCACCTTCTTATGTACCTATGAATAAAGTTTATTGTACATTTCTTGTGTTTGTTTTTAATTAGTAAACAAATTTCAAATAGGTTGTCTTGTCTGCCTCAAAAACAAGTCATTTACTCACTTAACAAACGATCGGTCCCAACTTCATATATTTTTGGAATAAAATATTGCTTCACTATTCAGCGCTCTAAAAATCTTGAACGCTCCTTAAGTAATTTTCATGCTTTTATCACACACGCAAAAGGTAAGTAAATGTTCGCAAGTAAGAGCATATTATACTTAATGAAATGAATTTTCACGTTTCATCTTTGAAAGTACATAAAAATAATCTAGAATGATGAGAAAAAGGGAACAAAACCCTTTGTTTATGATTAGCTGAACAAAAGAAAGAAGAGAGCAAATGAAGATCACTAGTAGAATTACCGGAAGCAAGAATGAAGATGAATAAACCCAAGAAAGCTCTTTTCATCGCTCTAATTGACATGATGCAAAAGGCGCCAAGAATCCAAAAGGGAAGATCGTATGTGAATTTTATAAGAATCATCTGAGCAATGCCCATGAAGTGCTATATTGATTTTTTTTTTAATATATATTTTATGTGAATTATCTTGTATATAGGAGGTGAGAGCTTGAATTGGAGAGTGGAGTGGAGACTGGAGAGTGGAGAGTGAGAAGAAGAGCAATTTATAAAAGGGACAAAAAAGAGAAAGAGAGAGAGGGGAAGGAGGAGTTGCATTTAAGAAGCTGAACTACCCATACCCTTAATCTACATTGCATAGAGCGCCTTATTGGCGCATGCATGAATTCGCCCACAGAATCTTAAAGAGAAAAGAATAAGAAAATTAAATGGAGAAGTTAATACAGTTTTGAAAAATAAATGGGAACGCATGGGATAGATAAGCTTGGGATGAATCCAATTTAAATCCCACTATGATGTGAAAATGAGTTATTATTTGCCATAGCAAATTAATGGTAGTCATCCTAATTCAAAAAAAACTTCAATTGTTCAATTCTTAGTGTATTGCAGGTAGGAAAAATAGTAGCAAAGCTTTCAACCATTGGAATTGGTCAGTTTGCAGTGGTCACTTTTTATTCTACTAGGTTCTTAGAGCATCTCCAATGTATTTCCCCATTTTAATCTCCAAAATGGAGGAACTGCAAAATGGAGTTGAATTTCTCTCCAATGTATTCCTCCATTTTCAACTCCATAAAGAATATTCTAAGTATATTCTTCCTTTTTATTTTATTGTTAATTACTAATAATGCACTCTATTTATAAAAATTATAAATGAACCCGTTTATTTTTTTCTCTTAAAACTTTCATAAACTATAATATTATTTTAAATTCAACCACTATAATATAAAAATAACATTACATACCATTTAAAAGAAGAAAATTAAGTACATTTTAATTTAAATATCACAATTTGAATATTTTTCCCACAAATGATCAATTAAAGCATTTCGAAGTGAAAAATGAGCGTTTTTATCTTTGATTTCTCTGAATCGAGCAAGAAAATTTTGGAACCGGATACTTTCGTCCTTAACTACTTCTACCTCTGGAGTGGAGCTTCTCATCCAATTTCAATCGGTGCATCAAGATCACGCTCATCCTCGACTATCATGTTATGTAAAATTATACATGTAGTCATTATGTCATTTAACACATTTTTTTCCAAAAACGAACTGGACCTTTCACAATAGCAAATCGCGATTGGAGAAATATTAATCAGTTGTTGTAATAAATTTATTTTATGTTTTTTTTAATTTCAGTACTTTTTATGTATTTTTAATTTTATGTTATTTCTAGTTTCAGTCAATCTTCTTATATTTTTTATTTTCTATTCTCAAATTTTAAATCTATCTATATTTAATTTTAAATTAAATATACATAATATAAAGGATTAAATTATAAATTAAAAATATATTTTTAAGAATTAATAAAAAGTAAAAGACTATTTTGTAAATAAAAAAGTTCACCTGCAAAATGGAGTTAAAAATAGGGTTACTCCATATTTGGAAAAAAAAATGACATTCCTCCATTTTGCAGGTGAAAATAGGGTAGGGTTGGAGAAGATTTTCCTCCAAAATAGCATTTGGAGGAAGAAATGAGGTAGGGTTGGAGATGGCTTTAATAGTGGAAAACTTAGTAGCGAAAAACTAATGTGGATCAATCTATATAGTAAACCCGTATAATCATATAACCTTGATGATTTTCATCAAAAAATTTCATATTAACAGTGTCCATATCTACTAGATCTGGAATTATTATCCGGTATCCGATCCGTAAAAACCGAATATCCATGTAGTTCGGATCTGAATCCGGATAGTGAAATTAAATATTTGTTTATTCCGGATACGGATCCGGATAATAGAAAATTTTGAAACCGGATATCCGTTATCCATTTATTAAATATTTATTTATTTTTAATAATATTTATTCATTTTTAAAAATAAACTCTAGAATTGTTTTTGGTTTAACTCTTTTACATATAATTGAAATTCATATTGTGTGATAATTTTTTATTTTAGATTATGAGACAAGAACATAAATGGATAGCATATGGATAAATTAACTTCTCTATTATTATTTTCTCTTTTGTTATGTAAACTTTATGCTTTGAATGCTACTTGAATGTTTTTAAATTTATGCTATTTATAAGTTGCTATGATGATACATTTTAATTATCTATGTTATCTTATTATAATTTTTAAAAATTAAAGATTTTTTTTAAATCAGCGTAACCGAATATCCAATCGGATATCCATAAATATTCGGTTCAAACCGGATATCCGGAGTTTTTGGATCTGATCCGGATAATAAAACTGATTATCCGGTGGATCCAGATCTGGATCCGAATACCTTAAAAAGTCTGAATATCCGGCTCCGTTCCAGTCCTAATATCTATCCAATTCCTTAATTTGAAAAAAAACGATTTAATTTTATATTTTCAACCAAGAATAAAACTTAATCATGTACTCCACATAGTAAACAGTATATAAACAAGTAGAAATGGATTAGTCATCACATATCCATTATTCTAAGTTATCAAAATCATCCTCCCTATATGATTGATGACTTAATAAACCAGTCAACGAAGGTTTAAGCAATGATACAATACAGTTTCTTGTTTTTCAAATGTAATGCAAGAACACCAAAAATTTGTACAAGGAAAAGTATGTCTGCAGACATTTTTATTGATAGTTTTCTAAAGAGAGAATATAAGTTTATTTTAGAAATGCATGTATTTGAAGTAGTTAAATTTCATAAATCCAACTAAAAAACTTATACACACCAAGTCAAAAAGTCAAAGATGTCACACACTGCAGTACTGCACACAACAGCTCCAATGCGTCTTCAAAGTTCTCACTGTGAGCAAAAATGCCAAATCGAAACATCAATTTTGTTTTCTTGTCATCCGCACACAAGTTCAGCATGTTACAGATATTTGTCAATCACAATATCTAAGAGAAAGAAGTAAAAAAACATATGATCTTTGTCATCGTCCTAATCTGACCAGTGGGAACAATTCAAAGTTGGAACAAATTAAACTAATAAAAAAAAGTCTATGGAGTAAGAGTTTTGACTCGGTGTTGATATTAGACTCCTTTACTTTTCAACATCTACCCAGAAAGAGCCACCCACCACCACTTGTTCTTCATCTATTTGAGTTTCATGCTTCTCATGATCCATTCTGCAATTTTTCAACTCTCTGGTTTTATAGTATAATCATTTTGTTTTGCAAATCCATCTGGCGAACATTATTTTGCTAGATGAGTTAAGGTAATATTATCTGAAAGCGTTGCTGAGGTGATGCTTCCACGTCTTTATATTATAATATCCCCCTCAATTTTTTAAAAAGGATCTGACTTTTTTTAAAATTCCTCTGTTGTTTCTTCTTGATCATCTGCAAATTTTTCAGATACATCCTCCAAAAGCTGCCATTTTTCTCTCCGGGTCGTCAGCATTTCAGCTAAATTAGCTAAAGTTCGGATCTTTCTTCTCTGGGTCGTCGGAATTTGAGCTCAAAATCATGGGCAATTGTTTTGCCAAGAACCATGGATTGGTGAAGCCTCAGCAAAATGGGCAGACTAGATCAGTTGAAATTGATCACCGAGGAGGAGGGACCCACCAAGATCCGCCGTCGTATACTCCACAGCCGAGAAGCCAGACGCCGGAGAAACCAGCCTCCCAACCACCACCGTGGAGAATGGCGGCAGCAGCACCAGGACCAAGCCCCAAAGCCACAAAGAGCAATTCGATTCTAGAGAACGCTTTCGAAGACGTGAAGCTGTTCTACACTCTGGGGAAAGAGTTAGGTCGAGGGCAGTTCGGGGTCACGTATCTGTGCACAGAGAATTCGACGGGGAAGAAATACGCTTGCAAGTCGATCTCGAAGAAGAAGCTGGTGACGAAAGCTGATAAGGATGATATGAGGAGAGAGATCCAGATAATGCAGCATCTGAGTGGGCAGCCTAATATTGTTGAGTTTAAAGGAGCTTATGAGGATGAGAAGGCTGTGAATCTGGTGATGGAGCTTTGTGCTGGTGGTGAATTGTTTGATAGGATCATTGCTAAGGGACATTACAGCGAGAGAGCTGCTGCTTCTATCTGTAGACAGATTGTGAATGTTGTCAAGATTTGTCATTTCATGGGTGTGTTGCATAGAGACTTGAAGCCTGAGAATTTCTTGCTCTCTAGCAAAGATGAGAAGGCTTTGATCAAGGCTACTGACTTCGGCTTGTCTGTCTTTATTGAAGAGGGTAAAACAAATAGATTTATTTCTTCTTTCCTGATCTTTCGGTTTATTGGTTGAGTTCAATTATCATCATTATCATATGGGATTTAAGTACATTGATGAAGTGGATTGTTACTAGGACATAGATAGATTATGGATCACCAAGGTTCTGATTAAGTTGGTTGTGTCATGTGTCTCTTGGTTCTGTGAATTGCATAAAGATCAGGCCATACTTGGATCTCCGGGCTAGGGCGTCTAGAGACAACTTTGATAAACTTTGATGTTTCTTACCGTTCATCATTTGGTTGTTTCTTCTTCTTCTTTACAGGAAAAGTATATAGAGATATTGTTGGGAGTGCATATTATGTTGCTCCTGAAGTCTTACGTCGCAGATATGGGAAAGAAGTTGATATATGGAGTGCTGGAATCATATTATACATTCTACTCAGTGGTGTGCCCCCGTTTTGGGCTGGTAACGCAATATGCTCTCTCTCTCTCTCTCTCTGTCTCTCGTGCTCTCACATTTTCATTCATATGTTTGTATAGAACAGCTGATAGACAGACATGGTTGTTGCTTTTTGGATGTGTAGAAACCGAGAAAGGGATATTTGATGCTATACTGGAAGGCCATATCGACTTTGAAAGCCAACCGTGGCCGTCAATCTCCAGTAGTGCCAAAGATTTGGTGCGTAGAATGTTGACTGCGGATCCAAAAAGGCGGATTTCTGCTGCTGATGTTCTTCGTAAGTAACCTATGAAGGATATAAAATATTGTAACAATTGTTAAAAACACAGTTTTACAGAGCCGGGAAGCTTATCTGATCCTTATTGATCCTGAGATTTTCTTGATTGTTTCGTGCAGAGCATCCATGGCTTAGAGAAGGTGGAGAAGCATCGGACAAGCCGATTGACAGCGCTGTTCTCTCAAGGATGAAGCAATTCAGAGCAATGAATAAGCTAAAGAAACTTGCTCTAAAGGTGACTTTCCAAGACCTTCGAAGATGAAGTGTGTATTGCTTGTCCTTTCTCGTTTGGTGCTAATGATTTAGATTCTAACAGGTCATAGCGGAGAATATTAACACAGAAGAAATCCAAGGATTGAAGGCAATGTTTGCTAATATAGACACAGACAACAGTGGCACAATCACGTATGAAGAACTGAAAGAAGGTTTAGCCAAATTGGGATCTAAACTCACAGAAGCAGAAGTGAAGCAGCTCATGGATGCTGTAAGTTGGTGAAAAAATATCCGTTCCTTTACTTCCACTAATTAAGAAAGTAAATAAAAAACTCACATTCCCGGACTATTAATTAGGCTGATGTTGATGGAAACGGGTCGATCGACTACATCGAGTTTATCACTGCAACAATGCATAGGCACAGGCTTGAAAGCAATGAGAATCTTTACAAAGCTTTCCAGCATTTTGACAAAGACAGCAGCGGGTAAGCGACCCGGTTCTTCTTTTTCTTAACTGATAATGTATTTATAGCAAAAAGATGGTGAGCCTTTTTTGTTATCCAAAACTGAATGTATGCACAGATACATAACAATAGACGAGCTGGAAGTCGCATTGAAGGAATATGGAATGGGAGATGATGAAACAATCAAAGAAGTTCTCTCAGATGTCGACTCTGATAACGTGAGTTAACATTTAAAAAACTCTTTTTTTTCTTTCAAGAAAAAAGTAGACTTTTGTTTGTCCATAACTGTTTTGCTCCTCATGCAGGATGGTAGAATCAACTATGAAGAGTTCTGCGCGATGATGAGAAGTGGAAATCCGCAACAACCGAAACTGTTCTAGGGGACTTTACTCCTGGACTAAAAGTCTTTTTGTTTGTTTTCGAGATGAAGAGGAGAGACAGAAAAACCTTTGGGGACGTATTGTATCTAATCTAGAAAGACAGGAGCTGTATTAATGTTTGTTCAGACAAAAACCACGTAAGAGGAAGATACTCAAAACTCTGATTGCTTGTGTTTTGTATTTTTTTTTTGTTTTCTTTTCTTCTTCTGTTTTGTCCTTTGTGTTTGTACCAAGGCTGTTGTGATATAAGAGAAAGAGAAGGATTTCATATTTTTTCAAGTTTTTTTTATTTTAAAAGTGTTAATCTTTTACCTCAAATCTTCTTTAGATTTTCATTTTTCCAGTTCAACTCAGAGCCTCTACAAAGGATTTGAAACACAAACAATTCCAATTCTCCAACAACAATACACATGGAAGGAGTAATAACCCTATCTTATTTTTTCTTGACCCATCTTATTCTATAAAGCAGCATGAAAATTGAGAGTAATAAGCGTTTTCAGCACATACAGACCTTTTGCCTAAAACCAACACAGGGCCTTCTTCTTTCACCTATCACCCTATAAAGACAACAAGAAGCTTTTTTTTTTAATGACTCAAAATGCAAATTTTTTTTTTACATTTTACAACATCATGCAAGACCCATTAGAGATAATTGTATTTTCTAAGGGTTCTTATCATGTGATAGGCTGAGGAGTTTTCTGCTTTCTTTTTCTTGGATTCCTCATCCCCCTTCACATATATCGCACCTTTTTGACTTGGGATCTCTATTTTAGCTGAACAAACAAATCCCTTCCCCTTTACCGAGCCTCCTTCTTCAACACTGAAAAGAGTTAAACACAGTAACAAAATGTTTCAAGCAAAGCAAACTCACAATGAGTCTTATTAATTAATTACTATGGTGCTTCCCGAATATATAAGACTCTTAAGACAGTTAATCAAAGATCGAATCAATATGTTCCAAAACGACAAGATGAAACTGGTTCCAAAATGGAAGAGTAAGATACATACCTGTAAATTGGTCTAGGCCACTTTTTCTTGTAACAAATCTCATTAAGCTTCATTTTGCAATCTTCAAGCTCTACCTCTAAACTACCTTCATCAATCACCATTGCAATAGGCGTACATTCTGACAACTTCCGTACTGCTTCCTTAGCAGCGATCAGCTTTGCGATATCTCTATGCTCAGCACGACCAGAAGCAAATAACTCATCATCAAGATAAACACCAGCGACGCTGCTTTTGCCATCTTTCAAATACCTTATGTCGATTCTCTTCTCGTGTTTATGACATAATTGGAAAAGCATACTAATAGGCTGAGGTTGCCGCTGCAGATCATCCAGTGTAACTATAGGCTCCAAAAGACCCCTGAAGATCTGCAACAATAGAAAAGCATCATAGAAAACAGAGAAGACAAAGAGACGGATCAGTAAAACGTAAGAGAAGAAAGTAGACACAAACCACCCAGAGTCTCTCCAGATCAAAATTAGTATCAATATACACAGCTCCAGCTATAGACTCAACGAGGTCGGCGAGAACTTTCGGTGCTTTCACTAATCCACCATAAGAAACCGAATCGTCTTCTTTCCCCACCGCCTCTGAGAACTCTAAAACCTATTAAAATGAAACCAAAGTTAACAACTTTCAATCAAAACAAGATCACTGAGCTCATTCAATACCAGTTCTCATCCTTTTTATAAAAAAAAATTAAACCTTTCACTCAAAAGAATCAACAAAAAACAGGTTCTGTTTCCACAATCAACGAGAATTCAGATTGAGAATCGCAATACCTTTTCATCTAAGGAAGGAGCATTGCGTCGGAGAAACCGGTAGAGACCATGGTCGAGTGCGACACGAGCTAGTTTCTCGGTGCTGACATTAGCGGCTCTCAACAGAGACAGCTCGTGAGGTTCGAGGTTAGGGTAGGCGAGGTATAAGTAATTGGTGAGGGCCAGACCTATGGCGCTATCGCCTACGAACTCGAGCCGCTCGTAGGAAGGAAAGTCGGCACAGGAAGTGTGCGTAAGCGCTTCCTTGAGGAGACTCTTGTTCACGAAACTGTATTTCACGATCTTCTCCACCGCTTCCAGTGACTCCATCTCCGGCGAAAGATGTGCGCGAGTGATTGCCGGAAAACTGGATGAAGGCGGCGACTGGGTCGATGATACTGGAGGATGAGGAAAGTTACAGCGAGTGATCGCCGGGAAATTGTAGTCCGGCGAGAGAAAGCGATCCATGGGAGAATCTATAACGCCAAGTCGAAAAGTGACGCCTTTTTTATTCTATCTTTGCCGAGGAAGTAGTATTTAAATTTTTTAGATTTCCCAAATTGATTACTTTGACTTGTTTTCATTGACTAGTAGTCTTGTTCAGTAGAAATAATGAAAAAAAATATTTTTTTAAAAAAACATTAAATACAAAAATACAAGCTTTTAAATTTCGTCCTTAAAAGGGCAAAAATTGCCTTAAACCCTAAAGTGATGGTTTTTTTCCTCGATGAAGTGTGTTCTTTGTTGACATCTCGAGTGTAGGTGAGAGAAGATCGAAGGATTTCCAAGGTTAGCGTCATACTCTGTTTTATTTCGCGAGACTATTCTCGATTGTATTTTTTTTTTGTTTTGCCCATTTGGTTTTGTAATGCGATTCTATGTATTGAGATCGTTCTTTGATGTCGTAGAGGGAATTTCTTTAAAGAATCAGGAATTTGCGTCGTTATTTGAAATGGGTTAGAAATTTTTTTTTGAATGGATTAAGGTCTCGGTGTGTTCGTAGAGTGAGAAGGGAGTGTTTCTCGAGAGTGTTGTTGTGTTATTCGTTATATCTAAAGTTGTGTTTGATTTTTGGCTGCATTTTTTTAGGCTTTGATTATGGAGGGAGAGGAAAGTCTGTTGGATGCCATAAATGAAGAAGACGGATTTGAAACCATGGAAGATGTTGACATGGTCGATGTGGAAGAAGGAGAGATTGTTATGGGGCACGAGGGTAAGAAGAATCGACAGAATCAGCCAAACAAGAACAAGAAGAAGAAGAAGAAGAAAAGAAGAAAAGGAGGTCATTTGATGGGCAAACCCATGGATTTAGACAGGTATTTGAATCCTTTTCTGTAACTCTCGTTAGAGTAGCTGACCTATTGTGTGATTTGGCTACGGTTAAAACATGATTTGTTATGGCAGGTTTGTCAGGGATACGTGTAGACGCTTGAAGGAAAAGAAGTCTTACATGGTATACACAGCTGTTGGTTGTCTTGGAATCCCTGCCTTGAGTGATCTTGTCAATGAGGTATTAATACTACAAACTACTTCAAGATGCTTTCTATGCTATTTTCAATTGGAAGCCTGTTTAATCTGTTTTAATTGCTTATGAGAAAACGAGGCCATACCATGAGTGGCAATACCTGCAATTCAAGATGTTTCTAGTTTGAGCCTTCTTAGCTGCTTCAAATACTGTGCCTTGTCATGAGATATAGCTGGTGATATAATTTTATCAGGTTGATATTTTCTTCTTCTCTTCTACACATCTGTGTTTTCTCTGTTTTCATTGATTAGACAATTTGAACCAGACCATGGGTAGATAATTAAGTCTTATAACTAACGCCTAGTGTGATTCATCTATCAATGAGAGAGATCAGAAGTGTCAAAACATATTATCATGACCAAGAGAAGACTGTCTATCTAACCATGCTTTTTGGATTGTTCCCTCTATTGGTTGCTCTATTTTCTTGGAGTTGGTTCAGATTATATCTATTCTGGTTTGCAAGAGTCCTGCTAAAGTCATTGAGAAATGATTGATGATCGAAAGACTTATATGTTTGTCTCAGGTTGAAGCAATCGAGACCTGTGGAGGTCAGGTGACTGCTGATGGCAGTAGGAAACGAACAGGTGGTGGTGTGTTGTGGAACATCATCAAAGCGAGACAACCTGCAGCCCACCGAGAGATAATGAAAAAGACCAGGGAGTTTGAGGTTTGTTCTTGCTTATCATCTTATTACAACATTCTTTGATATATCCTGTTTTTTAGCTTAATTGTAGAATCGCATTCCTGGAAATTATGTTATACCATGTTTTCATTCCCACGCCCCTCTCTATCTCTCTCTTACGCTATTCAAACTTTGCAGAAGCAATTTAGGCATCCAAACACGAAACCGAAAGCAGGGCTAAAAAGAGATCAGGGTAGCTCCTCAGAAGGACTTGCATCTGGAAATGCATCTTGTGATGAAGCTCTGGTCACTGAGATGAGTGATATGCCGGTAGCTGAGCAGACTGAATCCAAACCGCAAGAAGAAAGGAAATCTGTTCATGAGAGGATCAGAGTACCTGTTTCATACGATGACCTTTTCGGAGAAGTACCTGTAGATGCCTCACAAGCACAACACCCTTCTGCTTAAGCTCGTTTATATCATGTTTGCCTTAGAATTTTTTTGACTAGGTAAACAATTATATAATTAAGCAGCTGGATTGCTTCTTGTCTTGCCGAAAGCAATGGTTTTGTTTAGAAATACATTAATTGATCTATATACCAACTATCAAATGATTGATACAAACATGTTTGGTGTTTGTATGCGGTATACATAAGAGGATCATATTCTGAGAATCCGGGTCAACTTGTAAACCTGAAATATAAAAATGGACTTTGTATCAATATATAAACATGTAAATCACAGTGACTAACATAGAGATGGAGCAAGGGAGGAGAGAGAGAGAGCTCACTTGCGCAGTCCTGCTTGGCAAAAACACCTCTAAGGCATTTCTTTGACCATCCATTCTGCGCAAACGTGAATTTGGTTCAGAATGATGAATGATGAACATACTACATCCATAGTTCTTTGAGAACTAGGACTTTATAACAATAAACTATTTGACAATTTACAAACCTCTTGCTAATTGACCGTTGAAGATATTGGTTCTCCGTTAGAAGCCCTTGACCCCCAAATTTAACTTCATCGGAGTTAAGTATCATCTGCAGAATCCAGGTAATATACTCAGGTGAAGTGCATAAGAAAACCTTATAATAATGACAATGTTCTATACACAAGTAAGACGGATGCAGAAAACGATAGTAACTATATTTTATGGAGAACAAAAAACTAGTTTCATTGACAGACTCTTATTAACAAACCGTGAAGGGTGGGAATATCAATGCAGAAAATAGAAAAACTTACAGTATATTCACCAGCTTCCTCTACGCCGACATTATACTTTTCATATGAACTTGATGGGTGGAAGTTAAAGACAAATAGGAAAGGACCCCTCGAGAATGAAATCACCTGTAGATGATGAGCAATTAGTTGACTTGTAAGCAGGCTTATCATCCAAATCCTTTCATTTCTGATTCATATTCTTGGCAGTCTCATATTACTTCAGAATTCTCTAAATGTGTTGGGAGGATCCCCATTATTATGCAGGCAGGCAATTGGTTCTATTCTTTTTTGCACTAGCTGAGAAATATTGTATATAAAGGCATATACAAACAATAGCATGCCAATTGCAGGAAATTTGAGAAGCCAATTCGGTGGGTACTTTGAAGATTTATTTTCTGTTTCACACCCTGAACATAACTTGTTTGTAAGGAAAAAAAAAGAAGCAAAAAGAGTCAAATACCATATTCGCATCATTCACATGGTGGATGCTGGGTAAACCTCTTGAAAGGATACCCTTGCTTTTATCCAAGTCCATTAGCTCCTAAGAATATAGAATGAGATCAGTAACTAAGAAGCATATCTTCTGATCTAAGAGGAAATATGCTTGCAGCATTTTCTAATCCTTACATGTAAAAAGATATTCAATTATAAATTTAACAAGGAAGGGTACATTTATAAGGAATCGAGATATACAATTAGGTGCCTCCGATTATTCAATTAGATTCGGCTTTAAATCTTTTTCAGTTCAAGTTCTCAAAATTTCTCGGCTTGATAACAATCATAGGCCTCCTTCATAGACCAACACGGTATTGAATTGCTATGACAGTTATTATCAAAGCAGTTTTTTAGAGGCCAACAACTTGATGGATATGGAAGCAGTACTTCTATAAAGAGGTGTTATGGTAGATACCTTGTCAAAGGAAAACAACTGATGATGGATTCCACTTTCCAGCAGGTCCCAGCGGCGGTTGGCAAGTGAAAACGAGAAGTTATTGCTCTGCGTAGGAAACTCAACCCTCTAACACAAGGATGAAACGTCAGAAACATTAAGATGGTGTCTTTTGGAACAGTGAGAATTTGGAGAGATATACCTCAGGATGTCCAAATTCATTTCCCATGAAGTTGAGGTAAGCACGGCCACCAATTGTAAAAGTAATCAGTCTAATCATCTGGTTCAAGCAATGACAAGAAAAAAAAGCTTTCAGAATTAAAGTGAAACAAAAGCATGAATAAGGACCTCACGGGAAGGAAACAAATACAAAATTAATGAGCTGGATGTAGCTCGTCTCAGGAGTTAAGAATAAGAAAATCTTCTTCTTCGGCTTAACATTCTAGACACAAAAACTGGATAAACAAATGCACAAATAGAAGGATGTAGTTGCACTAATTGATTCACCACCTAGTAATCTCGAATATAAAAGACACATGTGATGGGTTTACTACAACAGCTACACGGAGGATTGAGTGTGACCGACTTAAGATTGAGTAGTGTACTCTACAGCTGGAAGTTGGGTACAACAAAAATAATTCTTTGATAATTTGTTGCAGCGATCTTAGCGTGGCTGTAATTCAAATGTAAGAGATAGAAACGCAGGAAACCGAGGGCAGAGAAGATTTGAGGCAGAAATATAGTTTAATTAGTCTATCTTCCAGATTTCATTTTTCACTTTTCAATGCAAAGCAAAACTCAAGAGTAGCATTCAGTCTCATTCTACAGTTGTGTGTTTCATCACGAACTAAGAGGTATGCTAAGTCCGGGATGTTGTGTGTGAAGGAGTAGAAGATTTCAAATCTAAAGAAAGAGATACCTTATGTAGTGAAACTCCCCTATCTAACAACTCTCTTCCTCCAGGAGAACCATTTTCGACTCCACCAAATAGGATTTCTGCAAATGAACGCCCTCCTGATATGGACTGGTGGAAAATTAGAATAAACAACGATGTCAATATAAGTAGATTTGTATATATGTAGATATAAAAAAGCTTTAGACATTTAAAGTTGGAAAGTAAAATACTTGGTTGTGACTTTCGGCATAGGTAAGCATTTTGTCTGCATACTCTTTGTTAGCCACCAATGTGCTGACAATCTGCAGCATTGGCTAAACATCAGAGAACGGAACCAAAGTCTTGTTCTGTCATATCTAATAATGGAACTTGAAAGATGTGACCTTGCTCATGCTCCACTCATTATCCGGTACGCTGTCAAGGAGAGAAACCCACATGTCTGTCGCAGAAAGGTTCACATAATAATCAAATCCGAGTCCACCTTGAGAAACTGAATCACACAGCCCAGGGTAATACGTTGCCTAATAACAAAAGGGAATCTATTAAGCTCAACATAATGTTTTAATACGGAAAACCAATGATGCAGATCTTTGACAGAAAAATTGAATAAATTTTAGAAAATCAACAAGATTGTTAAACGTTTTACCCACTGCTACATCTGGCGATTGTAAAAGATAATTTGTTAAAAACTATTTTTTCCCGTGCCTATGGTCAATTTTTAAACTTGGTTTACACAAACTAGTCAACATTATGTTACTGTTATAGGTTGTACATGAGAAAGCGTATGTATATACAAGTCCCCTGTTACTCTCTCACACTCCTTATCTAGCATATTTGGAAAAGCATGAAAAAAATTCACTAACTAGCCGTAACCGTACTAATTCTACTAACCAACACTTACGGACTAAAAACTAGTGATACTTTAGAATTTTTCTTGTCCAGAAACATAGCGCCATATGAACTGCCCAACCTAACTATGCTCTAAATAAGGAACACTGAATGATATGTAACTTCTTGACGAGAAAAGATCTATGTGTAACTTACATCCTCAGCAATTGTTATTATATTTGGATGTTGAACGTGCAGGATTTCATTGGCCAAAATGAGGTACATCAGAGCATCTCGGTCAACATACTGATTGCAATAGCTGTAACAGGACAGACATCAGATGGTTGACTAAGTGTCACTAAGGTCCGAATCCACAAAAAAGCGTAGCATCTAAAAGACTATAGATGTCTTACTCATCCAAACCGCTATTAAAAGAAGCAAAACCATTGTGCGTGTAGATCATCGAGGCAAGCGAGTGAAATTGGTAACCATCTACTTGATACTCTGTAATCCACCTACAAAGTCAGTTGCACTAGCATCAGATTCCTAAACCAAAGAAGTGCAAGACACTTTTCTACTAAGGAAAAAGAGTGAATTCACCCAATACACTATCCACAAACCAGATAACAATGTAGTTGCCTTTACCAGTTCAAATTTGAAATGAGAAAATGAAGAACGTCCAGATCACCGTATTTGAACATCCGGGTGCCCCAGTGTTTGTGATGCCCCCTTTTACCTATTTGGAAGACGAAAAAAATGAAACATGGTGTTTTAAGACACGCTCATATTCAACTATGTGGGACATATTTGTGGCCATCTTTACACTTACAAAAGGTTATGAACAGATATTGGTTGTCATACGAAAATTATGCTTAATTTCCAGTTATATAGCGATGACTTGATCACAACATTAAAATAAAGGCATGCAACAACTCTCTTTCTACACCCAAAGGCATAAAAAAAACAAAGTAAATTGCTGCTATGGAAAATTACCGTAATGAAAATAGCAATCATTTGAACCATCAAAGAGCGAAAGCCCAACCATTTGATCAGCTGCTGCATAAGAATGCACGATGTCCAAGAAGACAAGAAGTCCTAGGCCTGTATGTAGATTAGTTCAGATTTACCCTATGTTTGACTCAAAGGTTCTACGACATCAAGAAGAGAAGAGACGCGAGAAATACTTACCATGTGCTTCATCAATCAAGCGTTTGAAGTCATCTGGCGTTCCATATCGGCTACTGACAGCAAAGAAATTAGTAACCTGAAATGGTGATGGATACGAATTATGGCGAATGAAGATAGAAATAAAAAGTTTTCGTAAGTCCAAATTTTCAGTTCAAAGATATTAGTGAAGTTTCGAATAATTTCTTTATTATTTAGTAAAAAGCTGGGATACGTTTGAAATTCTATAAAATTAACGAAATAGGAATTCTGGTTATCAACTTGAGTCTAGTTCCATAGCTGTAATTTCTTGAAATTTAACTAGCAGAAAAGACATTATCATAACTAAATGAAATCTATGTTGCCTCTTAATCATATTTTTTCCTCTCCGCTTCATTTCTATCATGTTCTTCTCTTCTCGCTCCATATCCTTTAACTAATTCTCTTCATTCTATCACTACTGTCCTTTTTTTCAAAAACATTAGGCAAAGACCTTCAGAAGCTTTCATGCACAGTACACAACGAAGCCAAAAGATGATGCATACATAAGAAACTGAAGGTAAAATAAATTCACTTATACAGTGAGAGAAGTTTAGATTGCTGACCCTATAACCAACAGTGAAATAATCCTTGTGCTCAGGGATACCAATCAACTGGATTGCATTGTATCCTGCTCTTTTCACATGAGGAAGGACCTGATGTTTTATAAGCCACAGAAAGACTAAGATGTGTGCATAATAAGATTGCAAGTAAGAATATAATGGATGCATTAGGAGGTACCTTCTTGGTAAATTCTTCGAAAGATGAAATTTTTGGCTCAGACCCACTGATTCCCACATGACATTCGTATATGCGCAAGGACTTTGGTTTGTCTGGCTTAGAGTATTTCCACTTGTATGCAGATTCAGGAGACGGTTCCCAGTGAATTGCATAAGCTTGCTTTCCCTCGTCCTCTATTTTCGAGATCAGTGAGTAAATGATTGGATTTTTTAAGGAAGTTTGTAAAAAATACAACTAATGCTTGCTTCCTTTTCTCTATGACTGTTATGCAACTTGTTACCTTTCTTATGCTACTCCTAACCAAAGAACTAGATGCTAACATACCTGGTTGCACATATGTAGCCCAAGCAGGCACCCGTTCAAGCGGTCCATCAGGAGTATTGAAATACAATCTATACTTGCTTCCATGTGGAACAGCTGGAATGTATTTTTCCAACCATGCCTTTCTTCCTTTACGTGTCTCCAACCAGTAAGGAATTGGAGGTTCTTTCTCATAAAACTTTTTTGTCCATTCTGGAGATGTCACGACATTGAAAATATCATATGGTTTTCCTTGACCTTTATCAATGATGTCGCATGGAGGTAGATTACTTGGTGGATCATTTTTATGCTCCTCTTTGTACTGTTTATATCTCGTTTCTGCATCTGGGATATCTCCTAGCTCTTCCAATGTCTGTGGACCGTTCGGACCAAACAGCTGCTCGTATAGTTTGGCAGGAACTTCATACCGGTTTTTAATGAACCGGTCCTCACCAGGTTCCCAATACTCATCATTAGCTTTCTGGAAGAGTTCTTCGGCTGATACACCACTGTCACCTTTATCATAGTCATCGACGTAGTTATACTGCTGAAAGTACAGCTCGTCTGGCTCTTCACCTTCCCTTAACTTATCTTCAAGAATAATGAACCAATACCCATAATCATCATGGCCAAATAGTCCCTCTCTGGCGGAATTTTCTGTTGGGGACCATCCGTTGAAATCTCCGATTATAGCACCATAGCGAGCACCTGGATTCAGCGTAAGTTAGTATCCTCAAGTGAATCACTTGGTGGGAGAAATAGCCTCCCAGACTATACAAGTATCAGAACATCATTCTCTTTATTGATCAACTCTGAATCCTATTTTCAAATCCAAAGCTATAAGAAAAAGGAACCAAATGGAAGTAATGAAAAGATTTGAGAAGGAGACAGAACCTGGACCCCAGTCCATAAAATCAACCCGGTGTTCCATATGCCGATGCATCCCCAGTAACTCAAACCTATACGTAAAAGAAGACAATTTTTTATTAGACAAAGCATTTTGCATACACATCAATCATAGAAAACTTGTTGTTTGGCACAGCATAACAACGAAGCTTGAGAAACTTGCTAGCAAATAAAAAAGTGTTACTTGATACATACCCTGAAGCAAAATCTTTGAGATCGAAGTGACGTTTGAGAATTTCATCTTTAAGGTCTTTCAAAGCTTTATGCCTACAAATTTAACAAACGAGCACGCTTATATATAATATCGAAATTTACAAATCAAATGCATTGTAAAAACAGAGTTCGTAATAAGAAGATGCGTTCTAGAGTGCACTCGATGAGAATTTTCGTAGAACAATTACAGGAAATAGAAGATTCCCGAAAAGAAAGGCAAAATTTAGAACTCTTTATTCCAGAAATGCACAAATTTATGATCAAATTGAGCTATTTCTTTCTTTATTACTACCTTTCTCGGAGAAATTGAGCGAAGATTCTATCAGCAATTCCGAGTTTTGTGAGAAACCCAACTGGGTCGACTCCAGCCTCGGCGTCGCTGGTGCTCTGGCTCTTCTTTTTCTGCTTCTTTTGGCGTGGTTGGTCGGCGGCGAAGCAAGTGATTCTCACACTGATTTTCCTGGGAAAATTGATTCCGGAAATTCCCAGGAGCCTCTTCTCGGAAACGAAAAGGTTGTTTGGGTAGAAAGAAAATCTGGTTTGATTAGAGAGGGAAACCATTTTTGTTGTTATTGCCACAGAGATACACCAAAGATTTGTCTATAACTCAGGGTTTTAGTCGTTTAAAGATAAGAGGTTTTTGAGTCAACTCGTGACGACAACGAGTTCACTCACCTTTCCGGATACTTTTCTAATTGGAGTAAAATTGAACCAAACCGATCGCAATTAAAACCGGTTCTTTTTTTAAATCGATTGAAAACTATAACATGGAATTATAACGTCGACTAAAACCGGTTCGTCCGCAAATTACTTTAGTTTTTTTTTTTCCGGGATTTTGCGTTCTTGACAGTGAGATTTCTCTGTTTGAAATTTAAGTTAAATTTGATATGTTTACATAGTTACAAATTTATTATTATAGTTGATTATATGGATCTCGGTTTGGCTTTAAGCTGCTGTTTTGCTCTTCTTTAATGCAATCTCCAAGTTTCTTCTTGTGATTTGAAGCTCTCTTGTGTAGTAATGCATCCTGTCTATAACCATCGCCAGGAACAACACAGTCCCTTTTTTTCACAAACAAAAAACACACAAAATCAAGAATAGATCAAATCATAAAAAATGGTGTTATATGTTATTAGTACATTATTAGTACCCATGAGGAAAGCTTCGAGGAGTCGATTCCCAAACATGACTTGATCAGTCGAGTTAGCTACACCACCAGACTCAGAGAGCCTTGTGTTGATCTGAATTGTGCTGAACAAAACCGAGCCAAACAGGACGAGCATAGTGGCTGCAACCGTCTTTGTAACCAGTGGTCCTCGGCCTTGCTTTAACAGGTCTAGCAATTTCACCACCGCTCTTCTCACTGGAGTCCCAAACCCGAGTGTTATAATCAAGGCGGCTTCCACGGAAACGACCGTGAATAGAAGCTGAAACATCTCTATGAACATGTTTTTTTAGAGTGCTTGAGAATGGATCAAATATACAAAACGGTTTTCAAGTTATTAAAACAAAAAAAAAAGTGTTGAAAGAGAACTTGTTGATGAGTTAAAAGAATATGAAGTTGCTTGATGCAATGGATATGGATAATGTAGAACTAAGCCTTTGGAATCAAATGAAATCATATGCTTTGTGTGTTTTTTTTAGTTTTGTCTTTATTCACGAGCATTTGTAAATTTCCAAATTTTGAAAACTCTTAAACAAGCAAAACCCAATTTTCAAATGTATAGTAAAATTAATTGTTTGGAATGTTTCTGATATCCCTTAGAATCCCATAAATCTCTCAATCAAATGTCATATGGGATGTGACTTAATTAAAAAAAAAAAAATCAGTTATTGTTGAAATATCTGTCCGAATGAGTATTATATAGGATTTTGATTTGGAATATATACGAAATTTTATTGATGCCACTGATTTGCATAAGCTACATATTAAAATCTTATTTGAACACGTAAAGTTCAAACAATGGCTGTATATAGATTCGATTGATTAGATATATGATATTGACATTTCTTATATGTCTGTAATGTTGATCTGGTCACCTGAAATCTTATGATCGATCTATCATCTATTTGCATGAACATCTTGTTTACCAATTTTACCATACATACAAAATTATGAACACATCAAATGTTGTGTATTGTGGTAATTTTCTATCTCTAGATAAACGGTATATATAATTGAGCAAATTAAACTTATTTAAAACGAAAACATACATAATGAGTTTCGGGTGGAATCGACCTACAAATTATGATCTTTAATTAACTCCTTATGAGATTAAAATCTATTATGAAAAAGACATTATTTCATCTTTGTCGGATTCAGATTCAATTTAAGTTGCAAATATCAGCTAAAAGTAAGTAACTTTCTCAGTTTCTTGTAGAATAACTAGATAAATTATACAAAGAATATCATAGATGTGTTATAAATATTTTTTTACTATGTTTGAGATTCCAAAGGAAAAAAATATAAAAAACAAAGCTAAGGGGGGTTATTGGGAGTTAGATTTATGAAGATTTTAGTTGATTTTAAAAATCATGAGATTTGTCAAATTTTTAAGAGTTTTGTTGGATTTATAAAATTTAGAGAGAGTTCTATGGATTTAAACAATCTATTAAGAATTTTTTAATATGACAGATTTTGAGAATCCAAAGGATATAGGTAGTATTTTGAGAATCATGATTTATGAATTAAATTATAAAGAATCATTATGCCAATAACACTAGATTATAACAGAATCATAAAATCATTAAAATACAGACTTTTTGAATAACAATGGATTTTGATTAGATTATAAAAATCATCATATCAATAACAACTGATTTTTATAATCTCTAAATGAATAACAGAGGAATCTATTAAGAATGTAAAAATCCACAAACCAATAACTATAGAATCTTAAACTCTAAAAATCTTTATAAATCAACTCTCCAATAACACCCCCTAAATGTTTTTAAAATATACAATTATGGAAACGTAAGGTAAGTTTTTTCTTGCTTAAATATTTGACATCCTATGAATACACTTTCTAATAGATTTCATGAAACATTCGTGTTGTTTTCTTGGTAATATTTTTCATAAACCATTGTTCTTATATGGGAACAAAAAGTCTCACATGGATAATGATCAATGTAATGTTTGTGTCTTCTGAAACCTTAGTTTTCGATCTAAACTATTTTTTTCAGAAATAGTGCACAACTTTCTTGCTACAAGTTTTTTAAAATCTTAGGATTGGATCCAAAATATGCCATAATCAATATGTTATTGTAATTTATTAATCATCTGAATATTATCTTACATATATACCAAAATGTTATGGCTATTATATACTTCAAAATTATGTAAATACACTTATTATCAAACTAGTGAGTGGTAGTATTTTGTGTTGAATGCAATTTGTTTATTAGTGCGCTTTTTTTATAAAGTTATGTATGTATGTGATTTAGTCAAATGTTTTGAAACCCAATCATACAAAAAAACATAATTTTAAAACACAATAAAAAGATAAATTGAGTCAATATTGATATAAAATAGATGTTTCTACTTTTTTGCTACTAGTTTTTTTAAATTTTAGGATTGGATCCAAACTATGCCATAATCAATATGTTATTGTAATTTATTTATCATCTGAATATTATCTTATGTATATACCAAAATATTTTGGCCATTATATACTTCGAAATTATGTAAATACACTTATTATCAAACTAATTAATGAGTGGTAGTTTTTTGTGTTGAATGCAATTTGTTTATTAGTGTGTTTCTTTATAAAATACAATGTTATGTATGTATGTGATTTAGTCAAATGTTTTGAAACCCAATCAAACAAAAAAATATCTAGTTCTAAAACACAATAAAAAGGATAAATTGAGTCAATATTGATATAAAATAGATCTTAGCATTGCCAACAAATTTGTTCCTGTATTTATGGCAACTAAAAACAAGGTAACTTTGGAAATAAAGATGATACTGTGATGTATTCATGGGTAGTGAAGATAAGGAAACAAAGGTAATTTTGGAAATAGAGATGATACTGTGTGCTTACTTGGGATCTTCTTTCTCTGCGCAGGGAGTCCTACATCAAGTTTACTTGACTGGCAATTGCAATGAAGCGTACACGAAGGTGTGGTGATTGAAGAGGAGGAGGGTAATTTTCTTAAAACTATTAAAACTGAATACCAAGGTTGGTCCATGGATCGTAGGTATCTTTGGGGTCGAGTGTGATACACTTACGGACACTGAAAAGGTAAACTTAGGTAATTTTTCTTTCATTTCTGGATTCAAGAAATATTGCAATTGAAATCTATATATTTTTGGTGCAGTTCTCAAAAGTATTGAGAGCCAAAAAAAGACCAGGTACCAGTGAATGTGCATTTCAGGGAGTCTATTACTCAGCGAGTTGAGTTTGATCACATCAAACATTGAAGAAGAAAGGAGGAGGAGTGTATGCAAGCCTTATCGGGTACGTGGAACCGTCTAAAGAGAAGTTTGAATTTGACGGACTGGCTGCAAGACAAGCGTTTTCTCTTAGCTCCATTAAAGCAGTTGAGAGTGGTTTCAAGGAAACTGTGAAATTATGTGTGTGTGTGTGTTTTTTTTTTCCCCTCTTTGACTCCTCTTGTGTTCTTCTTACTGGCTTGCGATGATTGCTCTTATAATCTTCAATTCCCATTTGCAGTGGCCTACTAAGTGGGCATCATGTTGAGTTCATAAAAAATTGTATTGAAAGATATGGATTGCTAAACGGGCTGAAAACAGCTGCGGTAAGTGCTTTCAAATATTGTTACACCGCTGCTGGACCGTTGATTCTAGCACCGGTCAGAATTGGTGGAGTTGAAAGTGCCAACAGAGTTCCTGGTGCGGTTGCTAAGGACATCAGTAGAAGAAACGGTATGATCGTTTTCCAACTATCGAGATGGTGACTCACTTATCCACGCTCATGTGAGAGGATTTTTTTCTTCTTCTTCTTACTATCTGTTCAGTTATGAACCGCAATTAACATGTATATGTTGTTTTGTAACAGGTGCATTTAATTTGAACAATATGTCTGGCTATTCTACATCGTACCATCATCATCATAATCATCATCATCATTATGACATTTTTTTTTGCTAATTGTGCTAGGGAAAAGGAGAAATCATGATGGAACACAAGGAATATGATGTTGTGACTAAGGAAGTGGAGACTCAGCTCATCAACGCCTATAACGCCAGCAAAGCAAACTTAATCAACCAACTATCTTTTTGGGTTTTTATCTAGCAAAATCACTTAGTGCCTAATTGGCATTTTATCTGTCTGTATATGCTGATCCGGTCACCTTCGAGCTGTTGAAATCTTATCTACGCGCATGCACATCTTATTTACCAATTTACTATACATACAAAATTATGAACGCATCAAATATTATATAGTGTAGTTATAATCTATATAAACAGTATATATGATTGAGCAAATAAAAATTATTTATAATGAAAATGTGTACTATAAATTTTGGGTGGAATCTACCTACAACTTATGATCTTGAACTCCTTGTGAGATCAAAATTATGAAAAGGACATTGTATTATTTCATATTATCAGATACAATTCAAGTTGCAAATATCAGCTAAAAGTAACTTACATTCTTGTAGAATAACTAGAGAAATTATACAAAGAATATCATAGATGTGTTATCAGTACTTACTATTTTTGAGATTCCAAAAGGAAAAAAACAAAGTTATATGTTTTTTTTTTAGAGAATTTGGGTTTGAAGCTAGATGTTTTTATTGTTACAAAAAAAAAAGATAGATATGATTTTAAACTTTACATTAATGGAAACGTAAGGTGTCTAGCTTCGTGGACTCCATGTCTAACACGACGTCATACTCTCTCCGAAATTGTATTTCTATTTTTGTTAAACCAAAGAAAAAAAGCAAAAACCGACAAAAGTATGCATAAGCATAATTGCACCACTAATCATACGCAATAGATTGAATGCAAACTCAACCAACTCAGTTAATAATAATCAATGGATCAAATAATAATACTCCATTTGATGTAGTATTCAATTACCATTTGAGGTAGTCATGCAGACCATAAATGAGAAAACATTTTCTGGGTTATTTTTCTTCTTCTTTTTGATGACAACTGTGACATCTTTCAAACCCAAATAAAATATCCATTGTTTTTCGATCTCCGTTATTCCAAACCTAAAAAATCTTGGAGAACTTTCTTTTTTAAGTTTGTTTATACAAATTTCCTCACGTTCTGTCGTTTCTCATTTTTTATTCCACATGTAATGTAATTAGCCCAACAAAACTCTCTCTCTCGCTAATTCTCTCCTTTATCTCTTTTTTCTCTTTCTCTCTCTCTTTCTCTCTCTCTCTCTCTCTCTCTCTCTCTCTCTCTCTCTCTCTCTCTCTCTCTCTCTCTCTCTCTCTCTCTCTCTTTCTCTCTCTCTCTCTCTTTGTCTCTCACACAGATCTCAGCCATGGAAAAAGAACCACTGCTTCAGAAAGTAAGGATTCAAGAAGACATTGAATCAGATAAGAAGATTCGTGTCAACGAAGGAGACTATGACGGCCCCGTTACTTTAGTTTTGCTACTCACAACCTCCACTGCTCTCTGGGGGATGTTCTCCTATGGCACTGCCGTAATTTTCTTCATCTTCACTTTTTGTGTATTCTTTCCTCTATTGTTAGGTTTAAACACCAAAAGAAAAAGAGAATCAACGTTAAGTTTATAAAAAAAACTATATGTTATAAACTTATAAGTTATAAACTATATGTTATAAGTTATAAACTTATAACTTATAACGTATAACTTTTTGTTAATTTAATTATAGAGTTCTTATAGTACTATGTATGGTTAGAATCAAATGATCAATCGATAATTTCTTTTTGCTTTTAATTATTTTATTTTTTTGGCAGGCCTGCTTCAGTACATCTTTTTGATTTTTTTTTTTTTTTGGCAGGCCGGCTTTACATCACCAGCTCAAACCGGGATTATGGAAGGACTACATCTCTCGTTGGCAGAGGTAGTGTTGTATTGTTGATTTTATTTCCCAGTTTGCTGATATGACTTTCAATCCAAAGATGTATTTATTTTGTTATCTGATACTATGATACAGAAGAGGAATATACTAAATAATGTATAAGAAAATTAACTGCAATAAACATATATATTTTTATAATCGCATGCAATTTTGTAGACTGTTAAACCTGAGTCACCTGATAAATATACAGTGCAAGAAAATGCCACCTCTTTACAGATAATTATAGTCTATAGAAACTCTCGCACGTATGACGTATCATCTTATGATAATACGAAAAATATCATCACATGGTTCATCCGTTCTTCTTAGCGATAGGGCCTATATTAAAGTTTTTATTTTCCACTTGAGATATTAAGAGTACATGCTATTGTAGTCGTAGTAAAGTATTGCTAGGTTTAGTAACTTTTTTGTAAATTTCTTATGATTTTACGTTAATACGTAATAAAAAATCAGTGTTCTTTATATGGATGCAGTTCTCATTCTTTGGATCCGTATTAACAATTGGTGGACTCGTGGGAGCCGCATTATCCGGAAGACTAGCCGATCTTTATGGTCGGAGAGGCGTAAGCTCATTTCTATATCATGAAAACTTAAACTAATTTAATATCATGCTATACATTTACATCTCCATTACGTAATTTGTTACATTTATATGAATCGTGTTACACTTATATTCAAATAAAAATATAGTTTTTGATGCGCAGGCGTTGTGGGTTTCAAACTCGTTTTGCATAGTCGGCTGGCTTATGATCGCCTTCTCTCAGGTTTCTAAAAAATACATTCAAAATTTTACAATGTTCTTATTTATAGTTACAGGTACGTATAGTTAATTTCTCTCATATATATGGTGTTATTTCAACCCGTAAAATGTTTATAAGTGTTACCAAAATAACTCCGGCTTTGACTTTCTACGCCTGATATTTAATGTAGACAGTTAAAAGTTATCTTTCAAATCAAAAGCTTAGGTTAATAGACTACTGTGTTAGTTAATTAATTATTTGATATTTCTAATGATGGCGTTTATAATACTATTTTAGGCGACATGGTCCCTTGATGTCGGAAGATTTTTTCTCGGGGTCGCATCTGGCGTAACTTCTTACGTGGTACGTAATATATAAGATTGACTGCTAATTAGGGTTTAGTTACCTTTAAGCGACCAATAAGTTAATTATTAAGTTCAAATATGATCTCAATCTTCAGGTACCAGTCTACATTGTAGAAATCGCACCCAAAAGAATCAGGGGCGCGTTCTCTGCGGTTAGCTCGGTAATATACCGCAAAACAAAAACAAAAATTTAGTGAACTACAATTGTTGTTAATTTATTGTTAGATTTTTTATAACTTTTTTTGTTTTTTACAGCTCGTGATGTGTGCTAGCGTCTCCTTCACATTCCTCGTTGGATCAGTCATTTCATGGCAGAAATTAGCTCTCTTATGTAACATAACAAATCTTGGACTGCACCTACCAAAAATGATATTAAATATATAAGCTAAATTTTAAAACCAGATTTTATGATTTTAGGTGTATTATAGATCATGTTGATCATACAATAGTTAATTCTGTCATTTCGGGTTGTGCAGGTACGGTTCCTTGTGTTTTAGAATTCGCCGGTTTATTCTTTATACCGGAGTCTCCTAGGTGGCTGGTAATTAATCAGTGATGTAGCTATAATTAAATTAACGTATACAAATCTTATAAGAACTAGTTACAACTTAGAAGTAATTTAACATTTTTTTTAACAGTTTGATATTTTGTAATTTATAGTCTAGAAATGATCGGGATAAAGAATCGGAAAGTGCACTCCAACGTCTACGAGGAAACAACACTGATATCACCAAAGAGGCTGCAGAAATCAAAGTAAACAAATTGTTCACTGACGATATCTAAATTCAATTAGTATAATTTTAAAAGAGTTTGATTGTCTTGTTTTTTCAGAAATATATGGAAAATCTTAAGGAATTCAAAGAAGATGGCTTTTCTGAGCTCTTCAAACCGCGATATTCTCGTGCCGTTATTGTAAGAATTTGATTGAAATTGTATTTTTTTCTTTTAAATAAAAATGTGTAACTAAATACCTTGTATATCTTTAGGTGGGAATTGGATTGCTAGTATTGCAACAACTTGGAGGTCTTAGTGGCTATACATTTTACTTGAGCTCGATTTTTTACAAAGCGGGTATACCCTTAAATTTTAGTCTCTTATTACTTAAAAAATTATATTTTAAGGAAGTAATGCATATATATATATATATATATATATAAATTTCAAAGAGGAAATTAATCTGCCATATAATTGTTCACAGGGTTTCCTAACAACCTAGGAATAATGATAGCGAGCGTGATGCAATTCACAATGAGCATTTTCGGATTAATAATCGTTGATAAATATGGGAGACGACCACTTCTAATGGTTACATCTTACTATTTTATACCCTTTTAATTAGTTAATAAAACTATATAAAATATAGTCGATATAGTCTATATAGATACGAAATTAACGTCATTTTGTTTATGTGAGTTACTTGTTAATCTTATTTGCAGGTTGCGACGGGCATGATGTGTTTGGGGTCATTAATCACAGGACTATCGTTTTTGCTTCAGGTTTTTCTTTTTAATAACAAAAAAATTATAAACCCTTGTTACAAAAAAATTTAAAAAGAATTATATCAGTGAAATAAAAAAGATATTTGTTTAATCCAAATCCTGCTTGTTTTTTCAATATAATTGAAGCAATCAAAACTAATTTGCAGAGTTACGCTTTACTTGACAATTTCACCCCGATTTCAACATTCATCGGAGTGTTGGTAAGTAATAATTTTCTTCTGCCCAAAGAAATTATATAAAAAAGTCTTACTTAATTAATTTTATTGTCAACTATATAATTCTTATGATAATGTGAATCTGATTCTAGGTGTTTCTAACTTCGATCACAATTGGAATCGGAGGGATTCCATGGGTCATGGTCTCTGAGGTAATCGTTATTCTCATTAGTATATCGTAAGTAGATGAATAGATTTTAGCAACAAAAAAAAAAAAACAAACTAGATGAATAGTTAAACAGTATATTTATGTTTTAATACACAAAAAATGAATAATGAAACAAATTTGGAATTCATTAATTTGTTTTTCATATATAACTATAAAAAGGGTTGACATTTTAACGTAATTTAAATTATCTAGATATAAACTAACCAGCCATTTTTATAGTTTATTTTTGATGTTTTTAATTATATTTTGTGGGATACTTAGATGACACCGATAAACATAAAAGGGTCATCAGGGACGCTATGCAATCTAACGAGCTGGTCCTCTAATTGGTTCGTTGCTTACACTTTCAACTTTCTCTTCCAGTGGAGTTCTTCTGGTAATAAATCATCACTTCATTTTTACAAATAATTAAATAAATCCATTTACTAATTATTAATCATTTGAATAATTTTTGAATACTTAAATTATAGGTGTATTTTTCATATATTCAATGATATCGGGTGTGGGCATTCTATTCGTGATGAAAATGGTACCAGAGACTCGAGGTCGTTCGCTCGAAGATATTCAAGCCGATATTACCAGATAACTTCGTAAAATTTCAATTTCTTTTTATCTGCTGTCAAATTCATATAATTTTACGTACGTCTCACAGATCAAGTGGTTATGATAAAATATTCCTAACTTCCACATCAATCACCAAAAGATTGGTTCATAAAGTTCCGCACATATATACCTGTCTCTATCGCTTTGCGCCGGCCATGCATAATATTCTAATATTTTTATCAAACATAAATTCAATAAGTATAAACATTTCTATAAGTATGATCATATTGCTATCCAAAAGAAACAAATGATCATATTTGATCATATTGCTATCCAAAAGATGCAAATGATCATATTGCTATCCAAAAAATGAAAACTGAGACTGAAACGATGAGCGAGCAAATCTTTCTAATATTCTACAAGAGAATACTTGGACTTGAAGTCAAGGTCAATGCGATTAAAATAAGTAAAAGGAAAAGAGCTTGTAGGCTTTCAAAAGAAATCAACCCAATAATGAAGGAGGCTTGATTATGTATGCGCGGCGAAATCGTGAGGGTTATTCTTGTATAAGGCTATATTATATATACATATATACAAGTGCTCGCGGGTTTTTGGAGGTACACCGACCAGAACAGAAAAGGTTATGATCTAATGCCAGTGTCACACCAGAGCTTAGTAAACGATCTATTGCGATTGTGTTATTGCTTTATGCTGCTAGTCGATTTTTTTTTTTTTTGGACATGGTCTTGGAGATGTAGGTTAGAAGAACCGAACCTTGTTAACAATTTTGTGTTTCATTTTATCTCAATTATTATTATATTAGTTTTCAGAAAAAAACTATTATTTTATTGCTAAGATGAAGACCTAATTAACCCCGAATCTGTTTTTCTTTTTTCTTTTTATTTTAAATATAGTCCGGAGGTAATGTCTTTAAAATAATATTGCTAATTTGGTTATTGTATTCTTAAATTTTCTTTAGTGAAATTCTAAATTTTGAACACGTGAAAGAACATGGACTCCATTGGTTTGTATTATAATTGATTTAAAATCTAAAAAGGTAATACATGTGGTATTCATTGTTGGGGTCAAATGCTATTTGTTTATTGATTTCTTATTATTAATTGAAATCCAGTGTTATTCAGTATTTGAGTTATCATGCATGTATATTAACTAATATTTGATTTTATATTGAATTTTTATACATTTAGAAACATTTTCAAAATTTTAACATACAAAGACTCAGTAAAATGATAAATTATTTTAGTATTAGTTAAAATCCACATGTTTGATTTTGAAATCAATGAATTTTACAAAGATTTCTAAATCTTACAGATTTCCAAATCCTTTTTGATGAATAATTAAACTAAATGTGTGTTTCTGGCATCCCATGATGAGACAATCTTATTCAACAGTCATAGTGGAGGTGACTGGATCAAAGAATTCGGTTATTGCTTAAATATTTCCTGAATACTGTAAGATTTGAGTCGGGATACGAAATTTTATCTTTTTTTTTTTTTGGTCAAACAAGCCCGAAATTTTATCTATACCAATGATTTGCAAGCTATATATTAAAATTCTATTTGAACATTCAAACAGTGGCTGCATATGTATTCCATTAATAGATAACATGATAATGACATTTTATTTGTCTATAATGTTGATCCGGTCATATTCGTGCTGTTCATGAATCTTATGGTATCTATGTGCATGATTGTTTACCAGTCATACTATACACGATCAAAAATAATCAAAGTACGAACCAATCAAATACTCAGTTGGTTGTGATATTATAAGTTTATTTTTGCTTGGAGAAAATTGTATACTCTCTAGATAAACAAAAATGATTGAAAATATATAATATAATTGTAATGATACAGATAATATGAATTTTGGGTGGAGTCCACGTATAAATTATGATCTCTAAGACTTTGTTAAATGAAATTTTTTTTATGAAAAAGGAACTTATATCATATTTATCATTTTCAATTAGAATTGCAAATATAGTTTAATTGTAGATTCCATTGTCACTAGCTAGACAAATTATATAAAATAACACATTTCTGATGTTATTTTTCAAAACTAGCATCAAGGAAAATTTAGTTTCCAGTCATAATTATATGGGAACGTAGGGTGTCTTGCAAGATTTCCAACCATTTTAGTCGTGACTCCCAAATTGTCTTAATTTTTTTCTTGTAAAAAAGAATCCGACAAAAGCATGCAGATTGCATTACTCTTCCACTAACCCTACGCAATTGGTTGAATCCAAATTCTAATGAAGTCAATTAGTAGGTATTATGAATGAGATAACAATCATTTACTATTTCATGTAGTCATAAGTCATGTAGTTGTAGACCATAAATGTTTTTTAAGAAAACACGTTATTGATGTGGGTTCATTTTCTTTTATTTTATTACTTTTCACTGGGAGAATCCAAAATGAGTCATTTTTAAAGTTTGAAACCACTATAGAGATTTGCAATGGCCAAAAACAAAAACCAATTTGAGGAATTTTTTTTGGTCGAAAAAATTTGAGGAATTGTCAATACGCAAACATATAAATAACCACTAGACCACCAACGTCACTCGGTTCCATTTTTTATATACGTTTATGTTACTGTTTTTGACCGTCCGTTCCCTTCGGCTGAGAAAACTTGGCTTGGGATTGGGATTGAGATTTCGATTTAAAAGATGTTAGACGGGTTCCTCATGTGCTTATGTAAAAAAATATTTTCTCAAAGAAAAGGCAATTATAATTAACATTAAAATCAAAAAAGAAAAGAAAAGGCATTCATATCATATATCATGTAAGAGGCGGAGGAAGATTTAATGAATAATATAATTTGAAAAAAAAAACAGTTTAACTAAAATCGAATTTTGACTCTGAGTTTTAAAGCCTTCAATAAATTATTTAGCTTCTATCTCCCTATTTTTAGGAGAATCTTTGAAAAAAAATTAGTTTCTTGTAAAACCTTTAAACTTCTTCAACATTAATCTCATACTCCAATTTTTAAGAGTAACATATATATTTGCATACTAATTCAGTAATTCTAAAACCTGGCAAGTTGGCTTTATAAGAATGGTTCAAATGACTAAAAAAATTATTAAAGGTTTTCTTTTTGTTGAGACTTGCACGTCATACTTTGTTGTTTTCATTTAATGGAATTAGCCCAACGAAACTCAATCTCTCGCTTCTTAATTTCTCTTTTCTTCTATCTCTCTCTCACTGATCAGCCATGGAAGAAGAACCACTGCTTCAGAAAATCAGGATCAATAAAGACATTGAATCCGGTAAAGGAAATCTTTTGAATATCGTCGACGACGGTGACGGTCCCGTTACTTTAATTTTACTCTTCACAACCTTCACTGCTCTCTGCGGCACCTTCTCTTATGGCACTGCCGTAATTTCTCCATCTTCCCTTCTTTTGTTCTTTTTTTTTTCTTTTTAGGTTAAACACAGCTAGAATGCTCAACAAAGTAGGAAAAAAAAATTAACGTAAATTATAAACACAAATTATATGTTACAACTTAATTTGTTATTTTGTGTAGTGTACACAATTTTTATAATTTTAAATATAGTAACGTTTTGATGAAAAGACACAAACGGTAATATATAAATATATGAGATACCTAAATTTTGTATCAGGAAATTTGAAACTTTTCTTGTTACATGACTATAATTAGTTATTGGAAAGAATAATTTTCGTTTTCAAACAAAAAAAATGTAGAAGAAAATTAGCAACATAATACTACTATTCTTTCTTGAGATTTTTTTTTTTTTTTTTTTTGCTCAGCGTGAGAGTACGTTGGTGACTTATGAATGCTAAGTAGCTCAGATATTAAATTATCATTCATTAATTTTTTGGAAAATTGTTGATCATACGGAGGATAGCCATGCTTTTTCTGTTTTTGTTTCTCTTGAAAGGTTCAAGTCAAGAGAATGATTTTATCATACTGTCACGAAAAGCGACATTTTTGATGATTAATATCCACATGAATTTGTATTTTGGTTTTATTTTATTTTTGTGCAGGCCGGCTTTACGTCACCAGCTCAAACCGGGATTATGGCAGGGCTAAACCTCTCTTTAGCCGAGGTCAGCGTTGAATTATTAGTTTTATTTCCGGTTTGTTGATATGATATATTTTGTTATTTAAATTGCTGATATGATATTTAGTCCAATCTTTTAATCATTTGTTATATTAATACAGAAGAGAAACTATGATCAAATAAATGAACATATATATATGAATAAAATGTAATAAACATTTGGTAATAGAATTCAAATAGAAAAGAAAAAAATACTGGTATTCATTCTCTACTCAACATGAAACATTCAATAAAACAATATAAGAAATCACACCCTTTCTAGATAATCCTTCTAACTTTTACACATTGTCTAATGATTTTACGTTAATACTCTCTAGATCATCCGTTCGTGGTGATTGCAGTTTGTATTTCCTACTTAAATCTATGTCATAGACTCATAGTCATAGTAATAAAGTTTGGTTAGGTTATCATTTTTTAAATTAAATATGGATTAAGATAACTATTTTTTAAAATGTGTTTTATTTTATAGAAGCAAAGGGATATACTGTATTGTTTTGATTAAAAGAAGAAAAGAAATGAAATTATTTACTATTAATTGTTCCTTACATATGTCTAAAGAAAATATTTGTTCCTTACATGAATCGTGGATGCAGTTCTCATTCTTTGGATCCGTACTAACAATTGGGGGACTTGTGGGAGCCGCGATGTCCGGAAGACTCGCCGATCTTTTTGGTCGGAGAGGCGTAAGCACTTTTGTTTGTCTTTTGTAAACTAATTTATCCTCTTGACTAAAATTACAATTCCATTACGCTTTTGTTTACATATATATTCCATGAAAAATAAATAGCGTTTTCATGAATGATTTGATGCGCAGGCTTTGTGGGTTTCAAACTCTTTTTGCATGGCCGGCTGGCTTATGATCGCCTTCTCTCAGGTTCATAAAGATCAATATTTTGTTTCTTTGTTTGTCTCATATGGTATTACTTTAACCAGATGACTGTTTCAAACATACCAAGACAAGTCGATCCGGTTTAGTCTTTTACGACTACTATTAGACAAAATAAACATTTTAATCAAAAGATTAGACGTAATAGTTAATTAATTGTTTGCTGTTTCTAATATATGTGTAGGCGACTTGGTCCCTTGACATCGGAAGACTTTTTCTAGGCGTTGCAGCTGGCTTATCTTGTTACGTGGTACGTAATTTAATATACTATAATTAGGGTTAGTGACTTTCACTCCAAGCAACGACTAAGATATTTACAATTTTATAATTTTAATCTATAGGTACCTGTCTACATTGTAGAAATCGCACCCAAACAAGTCAGGGGCGCGTTCACTGCGGTTAACGCGGTAATATACAGCAAGAACGACTATTCTCAAAGCAACGAAAAAAATGACTGTTTTTTGTTAATTTGTTTTTTTAACTCGTATAGTTTGTTTTGTTTGACAAATGACAGTTGGTGATGTGTTCTAGCGTCTCCGTCACATTCATCGTTGGATCAGTCATGTCATGGCAGAAATTAGCTCTCATAAGTAACAAAAGACTTTGATTACAAAAAAATGATATAATATATTTAAGTATAATTAAACCAGGCTGATACAAATAACTATATATTTATTTTTTCTTTCTTTTGTAATTGTGCAGGTACGGTTCCTTGTGTTTTAGAATTCATCGGTTTATTCTTTATCCCGGAGTCTCCAAGGTGGCTGGTAATTAATTCGTCTTGTAGCTATTGGTTAACTATGGCCATATTAAAAAAACAATTGCAAATAAATCAGACAACTTTACCATTTTGGTGCAATTTATAGTCTAGAAATGGTCGGGTAAAAGAATCGGTAGCTGCACTCCAAAGTCTACGAGGAAACAACACTGATATCACCAAAGAGGCTGCAGAAATCAAAGTAACAAAAATGTTTAAGAGACCGAAGTTTTTCCTGCGACTTGACTGACTGAAATCATTTAATTTGATAATTATCAAACTTAAAGAAATCGAGTATGTTTTTCAGATATATATGGAAAGTCTCCAACAAGAATTCAAAGAAGATAGTTTTTTTGAGCTCTTCAAACCACGATACTCTCGTGTCATTAGTGTAAGAATTCGATTGAGGATTTAAAATTCTGAACAGAAACGCATTACTGAATTTTCTGTATTATTTTAGGTGGGAATTGGATTGTTAGTACTGCAACAACTCGGAGGTCTCAGTGGCTATACATTTTACATGAGCTCGATTTTTCATAAATCTGGTATATGTTCTATGATTTTAACTCTCTTGTTGAACAGGAAACATTTGGTAAGAAGTAAGATAAATTTTAAAATATCGATCTTAATATACAATTAAATTAATTGTTTCACAGGGTTTCCTAACAACATAGGAGTAACGGTAGCGAGCGCGGTGCAGTCCGTGACGAGCGTCTTAGGATTATTAATTGTGGATAAATATGGGAGGAGATCCCTTTTAACGGTTATATCTCATTTTAACTCCATTTAATCAATGAAACTATAAAATATTTAGTGGATAAATCAGAAGTTAACGTCGTTTTGTTTATGTGCATCGCTTATTTGCAGGTTGCGACTGTCATGATGTGTTTGGGATCATTAATCACCGGACTATCGTTTTTGTTTCAGGTTCTTAATTTGAAAATGAATTTAGTGAAATAAAATGATAAATGGTTAATTAATGTAAATTTCGCTTGCTTTTGTTTTTGTTTTTGTTTTTTTTCAATATAATTAAAGCAATCAAAACTCATTTGCAGAGCTATGCTTTACTCCACAATTACACTCCAGTTTCAGCATTAATTGGAGTGTTGGTATGTCTACAACTCTACATCATATATAGTTTCATCAGTCCAAAAAATTAAAAGTCCTCATTACATGATTTCTTTTTGTAAACTACATAATCATATGCATATATCCTTTTGTAACCTTTCTTTTTCTTAAGATAATTTTACCAAGTATTACTATATTTTTACTTGTCGACTCTATAATTACAGGTTTTCTTCATTTCGATCACAATGGGAATAGGAGGTATTCCATGGGTCATGGTCTCCGAGGTAATCGTTTATCTTCAGTATGACCGTAACATAGATGATGATACGTTAGATGAATAACGAAAGAGTGTGCTATGAAAATAGTAGAATCTTAAAATATTTTTGAGCTTACTTATTATTTATTTATATATTTTTTAAAATAATTAAATTATAAAGCATCAGTAAGCAAATAATTACTAATAATATAAAACTTTATTTTTTACACATAACTTTATAAACAGATAGGCTTTGATTGGTAACAGTTTTGTAGAATACATAATTGCGGAATAACGAAAAAAAACCTGTACAATAAAATAAGCGACTTAAAACTCACTTTTTTGTTTAATGGATTTTCTTTTATATTTTTGTTAAGAAAAATGCATACTGCGTTTTTGCATTTTATTTTTCATTTGTAGATTTTTCTTGATCCGCAGGTTACCAATCACAGCCATAATTACTTTCAACATAAAAAAAACATAAGAAGTTGATAAATGATTGAATAAGAAAAACGTAAATACATAGAGAAAAAACAAGAAAACTCTAAAGATCGACATATTCACGCCAATGATAAATGTTCATTTTTGGTATGTGGTGTATGCAATATACACACAATACTTATATGTTAAAACCACGCGAATTTAGGATACTTGGGAACATTAAACTAACCCGTCGTTTTTAGTAAAATTTCATCTAGTCTACTTAAGTTCTCTATATAAAACTGACCAGTCGTTTTTTAATGTATATATTTATTTTACTTATGTGGGAAAATTAGATGACACCGATAAATGTAAAGGGATCAGCAGGAACGCTATGCAATCTAACGAGCTGGACCTGCAATTGGTTTGTGTCTTACACATTCAACTTCCTCTTTCAATGGAGCTCTTCCGGTAATCTACTTCGTTGTTTTTGAAAATATTCACTAAGTATAACTTTTTTTTGCAACAATTAAATAAGTAAATTTATAGTAATTGTTGATCTAGTTCATAAATTTTTTGTATTTAAATTTACAGGTGTATTTTTCATATATTCAATAATATCGGGGTTGGGCATCCTATTTGTCATGAAAATGGTACCAGAGACTCGAGGCCGTTCGCTCGAAGAAATTCAAGCCGACATTACCCGATAATTAACTTTGTAAATATTTATATTTCTTTTTATTTGGTATCCAATTCATTTAAATTAATATATGGTCTCACTTATCAATCAGTTCAGTCTTGTCTGGCCATAGTTAAATATGCATAATTTGCACATATATCAGCAACGATTTACTTTTTTTGTAAGGTTGTTTGGCGATATATATTACAAGATAAATCAAAAGTGTTTATCAGTTACCTATTAGACGTTGGCACGTTGCTATGAATTAAACAAAATTTAAAGTACATAGTTATGTGTTTAGACTTTAAAGTTCCGCATACCTTCTATTTTGGGCCCATGTGTAATAATCAAAGAACTGAATAAGCATAAATATGTTTTATATAAAACTTAAGTGGTGCTGGTTTTAGTTGAAAGATTTACTTTAAATGATTTTCTTTGGTAGAATTTGTATTTTTCCATTGCGATTTTAATCATCTTTTATCATCCGTTACACTTATAGTAGCAAGAAAAATATTGACCTTTTTAGTACTCGGATGATTAGTTCGGATTTCAGCACGTGAATGCTGCTCTAGTTAATAAAAAGAAGAGTTTTAAAAGTATGCATCGGAGTTATTTGTTATTCAACCATGATTAATATATTAAGGTAGTTAAAAAAAATACATTGGATGATTATACAAGGCTAAAGAGAAAAATTTATCCACCCTCGTATAAGTCTGTAATAATATTTCTTTACATTTCTTTCCCATAGGAACGTACATGTAAAGAAAACAGTCTTGTTCTGAATCTAATTTAACATATTTTCAACAACAAAAAAATACATTGGATGTGATATTGCATGGTAAAACAATTGCTTACGTCAGGTAAACAATACAATACAAAAAAAAATATATAAATAACCGTTTTTCATTCCGGTTTCAAAAGTATATATATATATATATATATATATAAATCTAAAATCTAAAATGCACTGGTATTGAAAGGACAGGAGTTGTTGCTAATTAAATGTTCTTCATTTTCTGATATTTAAGAGTACTACTTTATTTTGTTCTAATTCCATTTCTTTGTTGGTAAATTGGTTGTACGATATAAGTATCTCATTAAGTAAGTTGCATTTTCCCTCTAGTGTAGACTGGTAGTCAGGTACATTTCAACTTCATCTATAAATCCATATGATTTAATTTATTTGCGTCAAATAGGATGCTTAGACATTAGCTCACACATTTTTATCTATGCATGCTTTCGGGAAAACAAAAGGCTTTTATTACGTATTGTCTTGCATCGTCGTTATGTCGTTTAAGTTTACATAGAATTGTTTTTTTTAAGGGTTCACTTTGTTTGCGTTTACTAATATCAATTGAAATAAAAGGTCAAAAAACATTGAAGAAGGATATATGGCTATTATAGGTCGAATACTATTTTAAACACTAATTCGTTTATTGCTTCAAAACCCGATAACAAGAACATAATAACACAAAATCATGGAATGAATAACTTTAGGTGAAATTTTATCTATTAATGTTTTTTTCATAATACTTTGGTATTGCCATGCATTGCATTCCATGCTTTAACGTTAAAACTTATAGCTCTCATCAAGGAAGTCCACCGCCGAAACCACCACCAGCACCGGCTCCACCTCCGAATCCACCACCGGCACCACCACCTGCTCCTCCTCCAAATCCACCACCACCACCGGCCCCACCTCCAGCTCCTCCTCCAAGTCCACCTCCAGCACCAGCACCGCCTCCAAACCCACCACCAGCACCTCCACCAGCACCACCGCCAAATCCTCCACCGGCACCACCGCCTCCACCAAGCCCACCACCGCCTCCAGCACCACCTCCAGCTCCTCCACCCAATCCTCCTCCAGCTCCACCACCAGCTCCTCCGCCTAAACCGCCGCCGCCTCCAGCTCCTCCTCCTAAACCGCCGCCGCCTCCAGCTCCTCCGCCTAAACCGCCACCAGCTCCTCCGCCAAGACCGCCTCCTCCTCCAAAGCCACCGCCTCCACCAAGACCACCGCCTGGATGGTGGAAGAAAGTCTTTTGATCCTCAAGACCATTCTTAAGCTTCCTATTAGCGACACTAGCAAATGAAGTGAAAGCTAGAGAGCCGACAAGTAAGGCAACAAGAAGCATTGACTTGGAAGCCATGTCGATCTTTGTGTTTTGTTTTTGTGATGATGAGGAACTCTATGCCTAAGATAGATGTTTATATAGATCATGTAGCATGAGATGAAGAATTGAAAATTTAATAAAAAGAGAGAGTAGTAAAGTTTTGAGTGAAAATTATCATTAATTCATCTGCCCATCTAATTCGTGTTGGCAAATTTAATGCAATCCCTAACTACCAAATGTTGACTAACTAGTCACTCACCCACATGTAGTAGTCTAGTAGACCCCTTCTTTATTCTGTGTTAATACTAATGGTACTCATGTTCTTGCCTTTCACATTTAAATTTAGCTATATGATACGATCCAAGTTTTAACATTATTCTTATGTCCGTAGTTATTGAATGTCTTGTTAACATGCTTGCTACGTCTTGTTATCATGGATCCGAGTTTAATACTATATATATATATATGTAATTCAGGATATATAAACAAAAACTTTACACATTACATTAGAAAGGGGATATTAAAATATAAAATCAAAATCGTCACGAGAATATATTCATTTCATTTCTTAACTTGGACAAAGTTTTAATTGGCATCTGCCTCGCACTGGCACATCGCATAAATCAATCTTGTTTTAGAAATTGTGAACAATTCATTCACAGTACGTGTACTACGTACTGATCATGTGTGCTTTATAGATGAAAGAGAATAATATGCTACTCCGACTTAAATGCTTTCTTCTTAATTAATAAGTTTTCAAAATTTGGTGCTCTTCTTGGATTAAATGCTTCCTTCTTAATTAATCTACTTTCTCATCCATAATTTAACGTCTAATAATATAATAGTTGTCAAAGTTCTATGGTCCCAATAGTTATATAGTATATATATGACATTAGCCTCCTCCTTAAATTCAAACATGATCTAGATACGATTTAAAGTATGATGTTTTGTTATTAAAAAAAAAAACAAAAAAGTTTGAAGAAGATATCATTTTAACGTGGTTACACATGACGACATTAGACAATATTTACAATGGCCTCCTCGCCTGGTGATTCAGAACATCTTTTTCCGTATAAGATTTGATTTTCATACTCGCAGAGAGAACTAAAGTAAATCTTAGATCCGTAATTTTTTTGTTAAAAAAAGAAGAAGAAAGCTCTGTCTTCCATATAGTTTTCGTTAAAAAAAAACAGAATTTGAAGATTTTTAAGTGATAATTTCGTATGTTTTATTCACTTTATTGTTTCCATTAAAACGCGGATATTTGGCAGGACGCGGATATTTTAAGATTTGGATTCCGTTTTCGCGCCCATTTCTCTTTTCCGCTTCACAACGTCTCTACACTTTCGTATCTCTCTTTCTCTCTCGTTCAAATCTGCGAAAATGGAGGAAATGGACGACACTGAAACCGAATCACAGGTATCTTCGATTCCAATTTCTGCCTTCTCTCTGAAATTTTTCGGCGTCTTCTGATTTTGCTGTTCGTCTCCTGAGAAATTTGTAATCCAAGTACGAAAAGTTTGATATCTCAGCTTCCCTAATTTACCTTTTCGACAGTTCATAGCTTCTGATCTGTTTTGGTAATCGATTTATATCGATCTACATCGATTGATAAACCCTAGTTTTTCCTGTTTTCACCTAGATCAGATCTAATCAGAGATCTAATTGTTGCGTCGAGATGATCGCAGTAACACTAATTTCATGGGCTCTTGCATATTTCAATGTGTTGATACCGATTTGTTTCGATTCAATGCAGGTTTACATGGCTTGCATTCAGCACGGTCGCCGGTTAGTAATTGACTTCAACCTCGTTTTGTTTTAGATGAAATTTGTGCATAGAAGAGACTTAAGAAATTTCTTAATTACATGTGGAAAAAAGCGGATATGAGCGAACGCTTATGTATTTTAGATGGACAAACTCATATCCTTCTCTTTTATGCAATTTTAGTTAGGATCAGTTTCTAGCTTACGAAATCTTTTTTTTTCCAGAGTTGGAGTTGCTTACTACGACTGCAGTGTACGCCAGCTTCATGTGCTTGAAGTTTGGGAGGAAGACTGCTCAGATTTTGCCTTGATCAATATGGGTATAAGTTTTCATCATTATGAAATGAAATAGAGTCTTTACATATTGTTGCCTACCACACTTGTAATGAAGTTTGGTAAAGCAGGTTCTTGATTTACGGCTGCTTTGCTGCATTTCTGTTTTGCTACACTGGCCCTACCTCATGAGTTATTTGTTTTGTGTTGGTTATATGTTTTCAGTCAAATATCAAGCAAAGCCATTGGTCATCTTCACAAGCACCAAAAGTGAAGAGTCCTTTGTATCTGCTCTGCAGCAGAGTGGTATGGCGCTATCTATTTTGCTGTGATTATGATCCCTTAAGTTTATGGTTTTTGCTGTCATTTTGGTCCCTTACGTTTATGGTTTTTTCTGTGATTTTTGATCTCTTAAGCTTATCGTCTTTCATAATCTTCTCTGCAGATGGAACTGACGAGAAAACCATGGTGCGCCCGGTAAAGAGCTCAACATTCAGCTACGAGCAAGCGTGGCACAGGTGCAGAAAGTATTAATCAACTCAGTTTTTCTCCTTATTTGTGTGGTTTTACTCTGATATTACCCCAATATTGTGTGTAGGCTGGTATATCTTCGAGTAACAGGAATGGATGAAGGGTTGAACATCAAAGAAAGGATTTGTTATGTAAGTTTCAGCAGCGGACTTGTTAATCTTTTAACTATGGATTCTCTTCAATTTCCCACTTTATAACGTCCTCATTTGGTTACTATAGTCTGCAGTTGGAATCTTAAACGTAATGTCACTATGATTGAATTTGACATCTTAGTTAACTAGCTGTGGTGATTAATACATCTCTGTATAAAGCAAGACAAAAGTGGATGTTGGTCTTCCAACTAATTTCTTCATTTTCTTGTAAATTGCAGCTGAGTTCGATGATGGATGTAGGCAGTGAAGTCCAAGTTCGTGTTAGTGGGGGTCTTCTTGCTATATTAGAAAGTGAACGAATTGTAGAAACCCTGGAACAAAATGAATCTGGGACTGCGTCGATTGCAATTGATTCAGTCATGGAAGTACCATTGTATCCTCCAATATTTCTGTTCTATTTCTTTTGTCTTGATTCAAAAAAGTTTCCTGGATTTTTGTGATGATAAATACGCTGCCTGCAAATCCTTTACAAAATTTTCAATAGGAACAAATTTCTTAAACTTGATGCGGCTGCTCACGAGGCACTGCAGATATTTCAATCAGATAAACATCCAAGCCATATGGGCATTGGCCGGGCTAAAGAAGGGTAAATGGCTAAATGGCGTTGTTCAACTGTGGTACTTTATAGCTTTATTTTTTTCTGCTTTGACTTATGATTTTTTACTGATTTTATAAAATAAAGGTTTTCGGTGTTTGGGATGATGAATAAGGTTTGCTTTTCTTGCATTGACTCATTCTGGTTGATGCTGCTTGGATATATGATTAAAATTGCCTGGCCTATTTCAGTGTGCCACGCCAATGGGTAGACGCCTTTTAAGGTAATACATTTGAATGATAGGTATATAATACAAACTGTCCTGCAGCAACTGATGTCGTCTTAAGGCATTGGTTTTATTCTCTTTATTTCAGAAGCTGGTTTATGAGGCCGATCCTAGATCTTGAAGTTTTAGACCGCCGTCTCAATGCTGTATCCTTTTTCCTTCCTGATATCTTGTAAAGAGCTTTGCCTTATGTCAAGTAGAATAGGAGTTAGCAATCAACAAGCAAGAAGAGAAACCAATACACTAAACTTCAAGTCTGCTTTCTGAAGCCTTATCAGAATTAAAAAAAAAAAAACTAACTTCATAGAAAAAACTAGTTTGGGCACTTATTAAGTTTCTTTTGACTGTATAAGATTTCCTTTTTCATTTCTTCGGTAGAGCTGATGACATCTTTGAGGGAGACACTGAAATCTGTGAAGGACATTTCTCATTTGCTTAAGGTATGACGTACCAGTATTCTATATATCATATATTGTCGTGGTAGCATGCCTATTTCCTTTAGTCATAAGAGCCTGTGAAGCAGATTCTGAATTAGAAACCAATGGTACATAGAATATTTGTATATGTTAATTGTTAATCTTTTGGCAGAAACAGTGTTATCAGAGTATTTTCTGCCCGGGCAGGGAATGTGGATATATTGCATGCCATATATGTTCTTGAATGCCAATTCTGTAGATTCTATTTTTTTGGTACACATTTGTTTTTGCTGAATATCACATTCTTTTGTCAAAACAAGAAATTCAACTCCCCGACGTCCCTTTGTACCAGTAATGATTGGACGGCTTTTATGAAGGTAAATTCTCTTGTTTCACGAAACGACCATCATTCATATGGTCTTTTTTCCCTCTCTTAAATTCTTTCCTTCTCTACGCTCTCAGCACTCTCTTCATTTGTTTCCTTCTATCTTATTGTGTGTTTAGAGTATAAGTGCGCTCTTGCACGTGAACAAGATATTTGAAGTTGGAGTCTCAGAAAGTCTCCGAGAGCATATGAGACGCTTCAACTTAGACATTATTGAGAAGGTTACTAATATTTGTTATCGTCAAACAGATTATTAAGCTTCAAATGCTGTTCTGTCACTTGTTTATTCCATTGCGTGGTTGTTTGCTAAGTTCTCTTGCCATGTTGCAGGCGGGCTTATGTATCAGCACAGAGTTAGATTATGTATATGAACTGGTCAGTCGATTTTTCATTTCGTCTCTTGCATTCCATTATAATCCATACTGTCCTCTCTTGATGCTTTCAAATGGAAGTCTTAACATCTCTCTTCTCCTTTCCTTGGAAAATAAGAAACTTTCTGGAATGATTTTATTGTTTAGTAATGGAGGATGGGGCCATCCATATGTAACATCGTTGAGTGGCTAAAAGAAGGTTTATTCTTTAAAAAGTCTCAATTCAAAGATATTTAGAAGTTGGAGACCTGTTTGAACAAATTTAGCAGGCCTTTGAGTGAGAGATCCGTAGGATATGTAAAACAATCATGGCTACAATCTCAGTAACAGTGAACTTAATTCCACAGGTAATTGGAGTCATTGATGTAACTAGAAGCAAAGAGAAGGGTTATCAAACATTGGTGAAAGAGGGATTCTGTGCTGAGGTTGATATTGAAGTTCGTTTCATTCAGGTTGTTATACAAATTGATGTAATTTTTCTTGCAAGTAAATCATTTCTTATTTTGCCAGTTGGATGAACTGAGGCAAATATACGAGGAGTTGCCGGAGTTTCTGCAGGAGGTTTATTTTATACGTGATAAGTTCTCTTAATTGATAAATGAGGATAATCGGACGTCTCTTTGAATGATTTTAATTTCTCACAGGTTTCATCAATGGAGTTAGAACAGTTTTCTCACCTACATCAGGAAAAGCTCCCTCCTTGTATCGTCTATATTCAACAAATTGGTGGGTCTGCAGTTTCACGATCTTTGTTCTTACATAAGCTCTACGCAGTGCCTTGTTATATACTTTTAGCTAGAAAGATTTTCTAAACATAATTGCCTTTTAGGAATTAGAACAAAAGTGAGATACACTTTTACAAATTCAATTTTTTTTTTGGAACCACTATGTCCTGGAATTATCAGTTCAACTATGGTGTCTAATGCTTCTCGATTGCTGCATACCCTTTCAATTTATGATGTGTCTTTAACAAATCATGACCATGCGTCTTTATTCACACTTTGATAATAGTTAGTTCCTTTCTGCAAATGCATTATAACTTTTCCTTTGATTTATCTGTTCTGCAGGGTACCTCATGTGCATTTTTGGAGAAAAACTCGATGAAACAGCACTTAACAGGCTTACCGAATTTGAATTTGCGGTACATTGTGTTTGTGTTAAGAATATTGAAGCCCATAGTTTGGACGCTTGCATATATGTCAGTATGAAACATATGTTTAATCTAAAAATCTCTCTTGTAATTAGTTCTCTGATCTGGATGGAGACAGTCAGCGATTCTATTATCATACTCCAAAGACAAGAGAGTTAGACAACCTTCTTGGAGATATCTATCATAAAATTTTAGGTATGTTCTTCACGCTGGTCAATAGTGTCCATGGCACATCCTTGCTGAGTACGATGATGTAGTATGTTATTTTTTAAAATTTTACTAACAGATATGGAGAGAGCAATTATTAGGGACTTGCTATCACACACACTTATATTCTCGGCTCACCTATTGAAGGCAGTTAACTTTGTTGCAGAACTTGATTGGTAATCAATATTCCAAGAGCTAATAATATCCCATTTTATTTTTAGCCTCTCCTCTTAAAGAAAAATAACACTTTCACACGTTTACTAGTTGGCTGCTAATGAATAATGACTTATAACTATTAATTCTTCCTGGTTTTCTAGCATTTTATCGTTGGCTTGTGTCGCCCATCAGAATAACTACGTAAGGCCTGTTCTGACAATGGAATCATTGCTTGATATTCGAAATGGAAGGTGAATTTGACTTTTTTAGCTGCAGTTATGTCTTATTGTTGCATTTATACATAAACTCCTTACAAAAGCTTGTATCCGTAAGTATTTATACTGGTGGGCAGGCATGTTCTGCAGGAAATGGCGGTGGATACATTTATCCCTAACGACACTGAAATCAATGATAACAGTGAGCTGATTGTTGATTACATTTTTTGACTATACGGGCGTGCTTAACCTGTGAACTTGTCTATGTTCATCACCTGATTGCAAACTTGTCTTGCCGCAGGTCGAATTCATATCATTACCGGTCCTAATTACTCAGGAAAGAGCATATATGTAAAGCAGGTAGGCTTTACTATTCAAGTCATGTTTCTCCTCTTCCAATAGAAGTGTGTTTCACCATCATGAATTGACAACTCAAGTCGAGCATTCTTTCTGGCTTGTTATTTCTTAGGTGGCTTTAATTGTTTTCTTATCCCATATTGGAAGCTTTGTACCAGCAGATGCAGCAACTGTTGGTTTAACTGACAGGTCAAACGTCCTGCACTCTTTGATCCTTCTAGAATCGCCTTTTTAAGAATATTTTTCATTACTAAGATCAGTAGTACAATAACAGGATCTTCTGTGCAATGGGAAGCAAGTTCATGACCGCGGAGCAATCTACATTTATGATAGATCTACATCAAGTAGGAATGATGCTAAGGTATTTCTGAACTGTTTCTATTTTAGCTTTATTTCAAGCTACTAATAGGCACTTGTGAGCCGGTCTCAATCGCTTTTGTCAGTTAGTGACTTCCTGTCCACGAGCTCTATTATTCTACAGTTCATGGGACCTAAGATTGCAGATATCAACCAGATTCACTTGTGGAAGAAACCAATATGTGCATTGTTAATGACTTATGATCATGTTCATAATAATTTTGATTGGCTTACATTCTTCAGGCAGGCAACTTCAAGATCTCTGTGTCTCTTAGATGAGTTCGGTAAAGGCACTCTTACAGAAGGTTTGTTTTTAAACGAATTTCTCAGTTCTCTGCTTTGCATTAAAGGCACGTGTTAGTGAAAAAATTATTGCCTTGACTAAAACAATCTACTTAAGCACAGATGGTATTGGCTTGCTTGGTGGGACAATTAGTCACTTTGCTACATGTAATGAGCCACCAAGGGTATATCGTTGTCTTGACTGTCTTTCCATAAAAGCTTATAAGTTCGTTCTCTTACAAACCTCGAGTAACATGTTTCATGACTTGGACTATTGTTGCATGCTTTCAGGTTCTAGTATGCACACACTTGACTGAACTTCTTAACGAGAGCTGCTTGCCGGTCGTATGTACTCTGAGAAAATTGCTTAAAAATATTTCGATGTTTGACTATTCCTCGCTTCATATTGGGTGATTCTCCCTTTTTCCCCTCATTTACTTCAGTCTGAGAAGATTAAATTCTATACAATGAGCGTTCTAAGGCCAGAGACAGAATCTGCAAACATGGAAGAAATCGTTTTTCTTTATCGGTATGAAGTCTCAGCGAGTGACTAGCTTCCTACCTAAACTGTCAGCATTCTTAGGAGTTAATTTGATGATTCAGCAAATGGGTTTTGCTTGCAGGTTAATCCCGGGACAAACGTTGCTGAGCTATGGTAAGCAGCATTTCACATCCTTTGCGCTATTATTGTACTCTAGATGAGCTTAATGTGAATACACCAAATGTCATCAGATCTATTCAATCTATCGCAGGTCTGCATTGTGCACTACTCGCTGGTACGTTTCGAAATCCCATACGAAAATATATAAATCTCTAGCTCTAACCAGTTGATGAGAAATGTTGATGGATCTATTTTCTAATCTATACTTCACTAAAGGGAATTTATCACTATCTCTTTGATGCAAGGTGTTCCGGAGGAAGTCGTGAAGAGAGCAGCCATCGTGTTGGATGCCTTTGAGAGTAACCACAACATCGATAAACTAAACCTTGACAACATATCGTCTCAAGATCAAGCATTCAAGGTCTTTTTGCTCTCTCTCTCTCTATCTCTCTCTCTCTCTCTCACTAACACACTATCTACAGAAACTTGCCCTTTCTCTCCTCTGCCCTCATGGCGTTACCAAACTCTTACAGTACTGAATGAAACTCGCAGGATGCAGTTGACAAGTTTCTGGAGTTGGACATCAGTAAAGGTGACATCCGTGCCTTCTTCCAAGGCATATTCATTTCTTGAACCGTATACAAACTCGGTTCACTACTTGCAAACTACTTGTTAGACATTTGTATAGATATAACATTTTGTTTGTTTCTAACTCAGTTTTAGATTGATATACCACTAACTGTAGTGGTGTAAAGAATTTCGTTTGTCTTTATGTATTATATTCTCACTTTTTGTTTTGTTTTGTTTTGTTTCTCATCTTCCTATTGTTTTTTACCGTAATTAATTCTCTTAATTCTATGTAAAATCAGGTCATTGTGAGACGATTAAAAATCCAAACCATTTTCTTCTCTCGCTTTCATTCTGAAATTTATTGCAATCATTAGTATTTTCGTGTTTTTTTGGCTAATTTAAAAAATGCAGTTGTATATGGTAAACATGAAAAGCTGCTTTTGGCTTATGACCCCAAAAAAAAAAAAAGAAAGTGGTATATTCATGTAATATGAAGTAATATTTGCAATTCATGATATATAAATTTAAATTATTTTTCAAGTATCTCATTGTAAAATATGCATAATAATGAAAATAAAAATCCAGTCTATTCGTTCTAATTTTTATAACTTCTTACCATCACGGCTAAGCAATTATTTTAGAACAAACGGTGAGCCCATGATTCTTTTCAAACGGTACTCTACTTTGAACAAGGAATTTTGGACATCATATGAGAAGAGGAAAAAGAATAGATTGGAGAGAATGACAGCTAAGGAGAAGAAAGCGTATGAAGATGAAATCTTCAACAATCACCTGGCTATATCAAAATTTGAGAGGTTCAAAGGCGCGACCAAGGAGAAGAAAGAGAGAAAGAAGTTTGAAAGAGTGAACCGGAGAAACCCAGAGATCCCGAAGACGAGATTTCTCCGCCGCGTTGACTCAATTTCTACTTAATATCATATTATGTAAGGTTAAAAAACTTAAGAAAAGGATCTCACCCAATAACCCTACCAGATTAAAATCTTTCTCTTTTCTTCTCAATTTGATGGTTAAAGTTTGTCCTTTGAGAAATTCATTCTTTGACAAAAAAAAATTCATTTTTGATTTATTGAAGAATCTGAAACCACAAATCTAGGTAAATCAAGAGTATATGTAGAAGATATATATGGTATAATATCTTTGGTGATACTTTCGGGATTGTTGATATGTATTATTTAAATAAATATTTAATATTTTTTGTTCTTGGTTGATGGTTCTACGAGAAATCAATATCTTTTTAACATCAATCCTCATGGATTATCAGCTGTTCGATCATGAAGTACTTCAACTTCACAAATAAGTGTGGTGCGGTTTTTGTGCAGAAAATTTGAAAAAACACATGGAGGCAACTGCGGTTTGTGTTCAACAGAACAAAAACTGAAAACAGGATCGAACTTTTAAAATAAGTGTCACTTCTGTATATATTAAATATTAATATAATTTTTTTCCTGAATACTCATATACACTTGCTACATATTTAGAGATAAGAACAACATAATATTTTTTCTGTATATTTATTTTTGTTTTTGTTATGTATGAAATACTAACATTTGGAATAAACATGTCGAGATTATCGTCGTCATTCTAATGATTTAACGATTTTGTGAAATTTCTGTGTTATATAACTAATAATAAGAAGACGACAAAGGGAAAATGATTATGTTAGCGGTATATAAGAATATGCTCCCTCAATCTCCAGCGAATATGTGTTAATTATAATCTCATTAACTATTTGTAACCTATTTAATACTTCAATAATTTGTGAAAAAGTGCAGTGATATTAATTATTTGTGTATCGTGTGTGTGTGAGATGAGAAATTGCGTATTATGACGAATGTGTTTTTAAGGGTAAGCATTTGGATTTGGATTGGATATTTTGGGTTTTGGGTATTTTAAATCAAGAGTTTACTAAAACTATACGGACTCAATAGTTACATGAAAGTGAAACTATTTACATCAATATGAAACTATATACATGGATACACCCTCTATGCGATTTTGCTTAAAGTCCATCTTTTCCAATGAATTTGATTTGATTTCCAGGTATAGAGTATCAAAACACTGATTTAAAATTTTATATGCTTTGGTACAGTAAACATAATTGGACACTTTTTATGTCGTCTGAATAATACTAGCTTAACATCATCTGATTTTGTATGTAATTATGAGTCATTTTCTGATAATTGGATCAAATCTCCCAAAAGGTGGAATATTTTTACCTCAAGATCCATCAAGCAACCGACAAATTCAGATCACAAGAGTCTCAGATCCGAATAGCTTTACCTGTTTCACCGACGCAGCTTGGAGACCCGAAGACAAATCGGCGGGCCTTGGATGGATTTTCGTAGAACCCAACCGACAATCCATCAGCGAGCATTCACACACTGAAAAGTTTGTGAGCTCCCCTTTAGTTGCTGAGGCACTGACGGTTCGAGAAGCTCTCTTGCATGCCCGATCTGCACAGAGACAGATCTTCCACATCAACTCAGATTCTCAAATGCTCATCGCAGCAATCAGGTCGGGAGACTTCACAGCCGAAATTTATGGCATCCTCCAAGACATCAAATTGATCTCTGCTTCTTTCTCCTTTGTTACCTTCAATTTCATCTCTAGATCGCTTAATTCTGTCGCAGATTCAATTGCTGAACTACCTGTATTACCTGGCTGAACTACCTGTATTAAACGCTTAGTCTTCTCAATTAATGCATTAGATGTTGAAAAAAAAAAAAAAGGGAAAAATGAGTGGATACAACATCAACAACATTTGCACCAAACCAATAAGTTTGTGATCACTCACGTTTCAAGTTATTTTATTTTCTGGATTGTTATATCCAATTTTACCAATTATAGATTCAATTCTAAAGCATTTTTGATATTACTTCATAATGTATATAGTTTTGTTTTTAATTATTTGACTAGTGTACTCAGTTAGTTTCAGTAATATAATACATATACAGTTGTACATATACAGTTGTATATATACAAAGGAGATTCCAAAACTTGGAAATTAATTAAGATGCATATCCCGAATCTTCAAACTGGAAAAAAACAGTGGTTAAATCAATCATAATAGTGATCAAAGTCCTAAAATTTAAATTAATTAGCGTGTACTTAAGTTTTTAAATGCCAATCCTAAATTCTTATTAAACTTCCATAATCAAACTAAACATGGTTACTGTGCGTGGGAGGCCAAGACAAAAGGAACAATAATAATATATTCGGACATGTTTTTATAATTTGATAGGATAGTGATACACAAGAAAATTTGTTTTCTTCTCACATTAACCAAAACCAAACTTTAGATGGAGACTGGGGAACACTTTAAAGTAAGAGAGAGAAACAATTATTTTTATTTATTTAAAAGAGAGAGAAACAATCTAAATCGATTGAGGATATATATTTGCTTTTGAGAACGACTCTCTTTAAATACATTGCTAAGTCTTCAAATCACAATTCTTTCAAATGTCTATCAAGAGAGTTTTCAAAACATTCCTTGGAAGTGTCCTGACGGAAATGGAAGTGTGTGTTAAAGCAGAGAGAAAAGTGGAGTGGAAGGAAGTGGGTGTTGTTGGAGCCAACAGTATCTCCCAGAGCTTGAAGATGACAAATGCACCACCTCCAGTTCTGCAAGAAGACAGGCTCATCTCTGTCTCATATGAAAAGTACACCAAAACATTTTTTTTTTCGTTTTTGTCTTCTTCTTCAATGAGGTTACTTGGCATTTCTTCGACATTTTTTACTCTCCATTAAACTTTCTTCTAACATTTTCTCAAGAAAATACTCATTTATATTCTTTCATATCTTTCATTCGACCGAAAAGTTTCCTCATGAGATTCTTTCTCATTCTATTCAAGGTTAGAAATCCTAAACTTTTCCAATCTTTTTTTTTTTTTTTTAACCAAAAAGCTTTCAATTTTTTAGTAAAAGTCACAAAACTTCCAATCTGTTTTTTTTTTAGGTTTTGAAATGTGGAGCTGCTCCAAGGAAAATTTTCTCAAATCGTGTAAGTTATCTAATCTCTGTTATTTCTTAAATCCTCAAAAGAAATTTTTAAAATGATGGTGTTTTGGTTCTAGATTGGTTTAATCTTGCGGTCTGTGTATAACCAACCGGTTTGTTTCCGAATTTTGCATCGTTCTCATGTTTTAAGTTTTTTCCCTTTTTTTAATCTTTTCTGTAGAACTATATTCGAGGAATAATGCTTTACTCGACGGAGAAAGAAAATAAAAAGCATGAGACTGAAAAGAAAAGGAAAGATAAATATAAATGTCATGGTCAGCTAAATTTTGTGCAGTTGATCACAACATTTTTATCTGTCACTGCCTTTTTTACTATTTTTTGGGATTAAATCCAAAAAAATTGTCACAGTATAACAATTGTTAACTAAAAAATAAGGTATAACTACTCATACCACTCTCTTTCTTTTTCTTTTTTGTTTCTTTGTAGACACTCTCTCATAAGTTCTCTTGTTTTAGGTGGAATTGTGTATAGGAGAGGAGACTTAACACTCTTAATTACATATGGAAAAAAGAGTATCTGATCTATCTAGCCAGATACTATTTCAGTAGTTTTTTTGGTTAATGCTTTTTTTTGTTGTTGTTTGTTTCTTGATTTGATTTCTAACAGTTTTTTCGTGCATCGTTCTCATATATCTTGAATCTATTTCATTCGGTTTTTAGTTATAATGAGGCCACGTTTAATTTTCAGTCTCATAGGATTAGGTTAGACTAAATAAAATTTGAACTCTTTCATTAGGCTTTGGATTCATTTTTTGTATTCCTTCGAAATATGAAGACTAACAAGTATGCTTTAGAATAAACTAAACTCCCTCAAAACTTCTAGTATGGAAAGAGTAATGACACAACAAAGGATTGGAGTAAGATAACCTTAAGTCTAAATGGAAACACAAAACTTAGCAGCTACAACTCTACGCAGTGTAGATTTAAATCTATCCACATCAGTTCCTCTACAAGAACTTATTTGCAACTCAGAGCATAATACCAAAACTGTGTATGAGTCCAGACATTTGAAAATCTCTGAATCCCTGTTATAATCCTAATTTTCCAACAACAAAAAAAAAGGAGGAACATAATTAGATTCACGTCTCTGGACTTGAAACTTAATAACATCTAGCAAGTAATGTATTCACCTTTTCGGTTACCACAATGATAGGCTTGGAATTAGATTTGTTTTCTAGTCCATTTGCTCGCCTACTCATAGTTTCGACATCCTGCACTTATCAATATGATAAGTTAATTTGATTCCACTTCTTGGCACTTAAACAAATTTGGAATAACATTAATATATGTAAATGCAGCATTTTACCTGTGCTTGAAATAAATAATGATCACTAAAATCAAGTCTATCAACATAACGTGCTCCAGTCTTGTCAAACATAATGTAAACAGTAGTTAGCAAAAACTGAACAAAATCCAATGAGCATAGAGGCTACATATTAGTACAAGAAAACAACTTACCATCCCAATGGTTCTGACAAATGCTTCAGCGGATCCAATTGCGGAAACACATAGCACAGTTGCATCGCACAATGCTTCTAAAGCTACATACGACTTAGCTTTTTTAACATCAAATAAGTATTTGGGAACCATCTTGGAGAAGAAAACCGGGATCGAGTTTTTGAACCCTTTTATCGTGCTCTCAATATCTCTGAGGCTTTGTTCAGTTATCTGCATGATCACAAAGCCAAACTAACCTCAAACAGTCATTATCAAAAACAAAGGAAACAGAACGGTTGAGACGTACCAAGTCCACGTGATGCACTACAACTATATCTGCCCGCTCAAGTGCTGCAAGAGGCTCTCGTAAGGGACCAAGGGGAACTAAATTACCGTTTCCCCAAGGATCCAGCCCGTTAAGCATCACAATCTCGAGGTCACGACACAAACTCCAATGCTGCTTTTTACCAAAACAAGAGAGCTAAGTCTTGATGAAAAGTGCAATAGACAAAAGAAGGTAAAGATCTCTCCTTTTTAGGATATACCTGCATCCCATCATCTAGAATGACAGACCCAATTTTATGTGAAATGGTCTTGGCTTGTGTTGTTTCAAAAGATTGATCAAAGAATGTTCTTATACTAGAAGGATTTGCACATCCATATTTTTCGAAAAACAAGGCAGCAGTAGCTGCACGGTTTGCTCCAACACCGATCTTTGTCGGTCCACCTTGGAGATGTCTTTCAAGCATTTTGGCTTCATCTCCACCAGCATAACCCTTCATTGAAAAGATCATTTATAAGTCTTGATTTCAGAATATGCAAATGGGGCAATACGCAGAGTCTGAGTTCACAAGCAAAGACTCAAATTTCAATGGTTACATCGTCTTTATATTCAATCAAAACTCAAAAGTAGAAAAGAGTAATTACACGAGTGAGAATAAGCGGTGAGATTCCAGAATCGACGAGTAATTGCGTAATGAATTCAACCATTGGCGTCTTCCCATTTCCTCCCCAGCTCAGATTCCCAACGCTGATCACCGGGACCGGCAAACTTCTCCGGCAACATAATTATTAATCACAGAATCTCCGACCAAAAAAAAAAACCGGTTCGTTTGGTCGGGGAAAACTTACCGGTGTTGCTGTAAGAAGGAGGAGCGGTAGAGAGAGCGGCGGATTTGGAGAGCGACTCCGTAGAGAGAAGAAGCGAATGTCAGGAAGGGAACGAGAGAACGGTGAAGCGCAGGGGAATTAGTGCGGTCTCGCGTGTAGGCGATTTCGTTCACCACCTTCCGCAGCTTCTCCATGGAATTTACTGCAACACGAGTCGAGGCTAGCCAGTCGGTATAATCTAAACCGACTTTTAACGGTTTAAAAGGTCACGTTGACCACTTTCAGAACCATTTTCGCTAAATCAACATAAAGTTGGATTGAGAGACCCATTTTAATGCTAAGTTTTCAATGCATGTTAAAAAAAAATTTTCATGTATATTATGGTATACACATTCATGATCATATCCGTTTATAGTATTGTAGTAATAGTTATTTTTGAACAAATGGGATTATATATTTTTCGACGATGTACATACAAATTCTACCAAAACAAAATTGAATTGGTGACACGGACACAATATTAATGATTAAACATATACCACTGATCCTATATATGTTTCTTTATATTTATCATTTATCAAAAGTTGTGTGCATTTTAAAGAGCTCGAATTAACAAATTAATACACTATCGTCCTTACCAAAAGTGGGAAACAAAGTTATTCTACAAAAGACAAATAGTGAAATAAAGATATTTTGAACGTATCCATTATAACTTTTTTCATTTTTTAGTTTTGTTTTAATTTTATTGTCGGTCGACGTTCGCCTTTGTTATTTCTTTTTGTTATATCTTCTTTGCGTATAAGCTAAGGATTTTCCTCTCTTTTGTCATTTGCCATCTTGACCACATCTTTGGTCTCAACACCCAATTTACCGTTTTTACACTTTCTCCAACTTTCCATTTTTATATAATTTAACTTTTCTTCTTTGTTTGTTATGCTTCCACGATTTTGAATTATTGTATTCCTCTATGGATCCTACCATTCAAATACACTCTGCAACCAAAAAAACAAAAGTAATAGTATCCGCAAATTCATATAATAAATTAATTTACACACTGAAATCAAAATATATAGAAAAAAACATTGAGCAAGACAACATTGTGAACTACACTTTTACCCCTACTAAAATAAAAGTCATCACATTTCACACGAGATATAGCAAGGTAATTTGGTCATCAAGACGTCTGGCCTCCCCCGCGTGGCTAATTAGCTATAAGATTTCCATTTCCCTTTTCCCACTGAATCTTAAAAAAGCTCTCGCAGTGATGGAAAGATCCGTTCTTGCGATATTGTCTGTGATAATCTTTGCTTCTGTGGCGGCAGATGACTACGTCCGACCAAAACCTCGTCAAGCCTTGCAGTTTCCATGGAAACAAAAGTCCCTTTCTCAACCCGAACAGGTAACATTAGGCTCAATATGGTTCCTCTGTTTTCTTATCTTGTTCTGTGTCTCGGGTTCTTCTGATTCGATCCATTTCCGTAAACCCATGCTTATTTTGTTCTGATCTTCGTCTATTCTCTTTACTGCATGTGGGTCTCAGTTTGTTTTCTCCGCAAAATCCGATTTTGGGTTAATACTTACTCCAGAGATAATCCCATTTGCTCGTGTCCTGCTTATTCATGAAATCCTTTTTTAATCTTTACTACTCTGTGACTTATACTTCGACGAAAATGCCTTTTCCTAATTGATTTCTTACTACACTTGAGATGGATTTTTATATCGGCTGTTTCAATCTGAAGAAAAAAATTGATATTTGAGAGAAAATTACAGATATGGAGCGCATGATACAATTGATATTGAACATCATTGGTTCTGTTTTTAAATCAGTTTTGGTCATAATTCTTATACTGAGAAAAGATTCATACTTGCAGGTTCATATCTCATTGGCTGGAGATAAACACATGCGAGTGAGTTGGGTTACTAGAGACAAATCGTCTCCTTCGTTTGTTGAATATGGAAAATCGCCAGGGAAATACTCGTATCTTGGTCAAGGAGAGAGCACCTCTTACAGCTATGTCTTCTACAGATCAGGAAAGATACATCATGCTGTTATTGGGCCATTGGAACCAGACACAGTTTATTATTACCGCTGTGGTGGAGGAGGACCTGAGTTCCATCTGAAAACACCACCGGCTCAGTTCCCGATTACTTTTGCGGTGGCTGGTGATCTTGGTCAAACCGGTTGGACCAAGTCGACGCTAGATCATATCGACCAATGCAAATACGCTGTGCATCTACTTCCCGGGGATCTTTCTTATGCTGACTATATGCAACACAAGTGGGACACTTTTGGGGAGCTGGTTCAGCCTCTGGCTAGTGTAAGGCCTTGGATGGTGACCCAAGGAAACCATGAAAAAGAGAGGATTCCTTTTGTTGTGGATGAGTTTGTGTCTTTCAACTCTAGGTGGAAGATGCCGTATGAGGAGAGTGGATCAAGTTCAAATCTTTACTATTCTTTTGAGGTTTCCGGTGTCCATGTGATCATGCTTGGCTCATACACAGATTACGATCGGTACTCTGATCAATACCGTTGGTTAAAGGTGAGGATTCCTACTCATTCTTCCATTTGTTATGTTAATCTCCTTCTATTGCCACAATAGGTCTAACGAGTTAATCTCTTTCATTGTAGTTTCTTTGATTCTTGTGTTACTGGTTTGTTGCGTTAAGAAGTGCTTTGTTGTGTAGGCTGATCTCTCAAAGGTGGACCGAGAAAGGACTCCGTGGCTAATAGCCCTCTTCCATGTACCATGGTATAACAGTAACGAGGCCCATCAACATGAAGGTGATGAGATGATGGCTGAAATGGAGCCTTTGCTTTATGCGAGCGGTGTTGATATCGTATTCACTGGTCATGTCCATGCTTATGAACGCACGGTATGTGCAATCCTTTGTTAGCTTCTCTTATGAGTCTAACACACACAAAAAATACGTTAGCTTGATATTAATTGGTTTTGTTGTGCTGCTTGACAGAAACGTGTCAACAATGGTAAATCAGATCCATGTGGTCCTGTTCACATAACCATTGGCGATGGAGGAAACAGAGAAGGGTTAGCTAGCAAGTAATTCCCCAAAACTGATTACTTCTGCTTTTTCAAATTCCATTTTTTTTTAATGCTATAAGTAAATTATCAATCGTGTGTAGAGAGTAGATTACTCTGATATGTGCCAAGCCTTTTTCATCTTAGTTGTTTGGGTTTGTTCAACATATTATCTATCCACCGGGAACTAATCATACCTTTGAGTGTCCTTGTCATATGATGCAAGTAGTTGATACTTATCTAAAGAGGATCATGGTTTTTCATTTTCAGGTACGAAGATCCATCGCCAGAGTGGTCAGTCTTCAGGGAAGCAAGCTTTGGGCACGGCGAGCTTCAGATGGTGAACTCAACCCATGCGCTTTGGACCTGGCATAGGAACGATGACGACGAGCCAACGAGATCTGATGAGGTTTGGCTAACCTCTCTTGTGAACTCCGCATGTTGGACCGAGAAGAAATGGCGTGAAGAACTCAGGAAAGTCCTCATGGGACCTTGATGATAACTTCCATAGTTAGATGCAGACCCATGCCTAATGATACGGGGTCAAGTGAGTGTGACACCCTTTGTATTTTTAATATTCATGTTTTAACCTCTTGTAATATAATATAAGCTTCTTTCAACTGCACCCAATTAAATGATAATAGATACTTTTATAACAATTAATTAATATACTTTTATAACAATTAATTACAAATATTATCATCTTTAAATGAGGGATAAAACAGGAAATAAAAGTAAAAAATTACATTGAAAATGTAAATGCAAAATGACATTTTTTTTGAAACAAAAATTGAAAACTAAAACGACATTTATTATGAAACGGAGGGAGTAAAAAAATTTCTTTAACAAAAAAATAGTAAATTTTTTTATGTTACATAACTTTTTTTTATTGGTCGACTATGATATATAACTTCTTTTTAATTTTATTTTAAAATAAATTATTTTTTTTCAATCAACTTATATTGAAAAAATATCTTCAACTGAATTTAATTAAAAATATTTTTTAAACAAAAATAATGAAATTTCAAAAATCATTTGTTATGTTAACAATATTTTTTCTATTTTCTTGACTCTGATGATGAAGAAAGGGATGAAAATAAGCTCTGATTTTTGTCTTTCTATAAGAAATGAGTGTGTGATTTCTCTTATACATGTCGACAAAAAAAAATTCTCTGATACATATTGTATATATATATATATATCAATATATATATATATAAAAAAGAATAACAATCGTTGATGAAAAATTGTGACGAAGGTTTTCTTTAGGGTTGGTATTCGGATATTATGATCCGGTTTGGATTTGGGTTTTAAATGTTTTGGATCAAAAGCTTTAAGTACACTTAAACACTTGGCAATAAAATTGCAATTAAGTAATAAACCTCCAATAGTGTAACACTTCTTCTTATACATAATTAACGACAATGTCTAGAAATCTAGGTTTTAATGGGTTTTACTTATGATGAATTAATGCCATAATCATTTAATATGTATGTTTGGCAGATGTTTAACACTAAAAGTAAGACTAAAATGCGAGTAAGTCACTCGGACCCATGTAGACATCCCTTAAATATAATAAATGGTTTTTGCCAGCTTAAGATGTTAGTGAATTTAAGCAATATTGTTTACAGCACTGCCTTTTGATCCCCGTAACCTGAGTTCGATAGTAGCTCTTGACACTTTGCTTTTCTTTTTTGTCCGTTTAGATAAACTTTCTAAAACTTAAAAAATACGATGCGTATGTTCAAATTTATTATAATGCAGTCATATTTTGGAAACATAAAAAGATGCGTATGTACAAATAAAAACCGAAAGACTATCCTCCATCGCTTATTTTTTCTCTCTTTTAAATTAATAAAAATAATTGTGAGTTTAAAAGACATTAAATTGAGTTGTTAAGTAATTGGGGTCTAGAGAAGGGGAAGTGGAAAGATTTGGTGAAAAGATGATAAAGAGGAAAAAAGAATTTATGAGCTATATAAGGAAATTTACTCCTAACATTTTCTTAGAGACCAATCTCACACTCACGAGTCTCAAATGCAAAATCCATGACAAGGTTTATGATGTATACGATGCTGGGAGGATTATGTGGTTCTTGTGAATACTGATCGTTTATTGGATTCGACAGAAATCTAGCCACGATTCTTTTCAAATGCTAGGTTTGCACTGTAAATTTAAGTTAATACTTTACCAATAGAGTTCACTTCATTGGTCTGCTACCTATATAACCAATTACATTTCATACATATATTTTTTTTGGTAGAAACATTATAGCGAACAAATCGTGCACACAAAAACCTATTAATCGATTAATCTGCTACTTCTATGTGTATTTAGTACAAATGTTGAGCGGTAGCGATTCCACGTACCTAACAATTTAAGTAGATATTTCTATGATGATTCACAGACGACTCAATTTTTACTCAGTATTCACATCGCGTAAAATAAAAAACTTAAAAAAGGATATCCGATAACCTTAGCGTATTCAAAGCTTTCTCCTTTCTTCTCAATTACATAGTCAAAATTGGCTCTCTGACTCAGAGTTTCTTTGAAATGGACTTGTATGTTGAATTCTTCACACAGTCTTTTTACATATGAATCCAAATGGTTTTTTCCCATACCAGAAATGACTGTATGAGAGATTACAAATGTTTTTCTAGCATTGAAAGTTCCATCAGCTGCTTCAAACCCATCAAGAGCACCCAGAACTAAACACACAGCCAAAAAACAATAGTTTACACCAAATCACACAAATTCAAGAAAACACACTAACAATACTTGTTTCGTAAATGTCAATAGTTGAATAGGCAACGACATCACAATATTGGTCGATCTCGCTGGTTTCTCAAAAATTGTTGCTTTCCCTTCTTTTTCCCAAATTAGTTTATCAGACTCATCTTCTTCCATAGCTCCACAAATCATTATTTGGTTTCTGAGACTTGTTCTAACCTAGTTTTAATCAGAGAAGACAAGAAAAAAAAAAAGATTGTTTTTTACTTAGCGTAAAAACTATAGAAAAAATTAGAAAAAAATAAATTAACATGGGTCACTCAAGAGAGTAAGATACTGATTTTTAGTGTTTCATGAGTTGAGAAATCAAAGAAAAAGGTAAAAAAAAACTATATATATTGGAGAAGGAAAAAAATCAATACAAGTTTGAGCACTAAAAATCGTTTGAGCAAGTTTGAGCAAACAGTAAAAGTGTTTTTTGAAGAAATTAAAAACTATAGAAACCACAGTCCAAGCTTTAAATTGTTGTGCTGTTTTCACATTAATTATATTTTTAATCTTAATATGGTTATATCGGATTTTTTTCTTCTCAAAAAGTTCTAGAGGTTATGTCTGACAACCAAAAAAAAAGAATTCTAGAAAAACTTTAGATTTGTCAAATAATTTCAACCAGAACGGGTTTGAGCCCATGTGCTTCAGAGCCTAAACTAAAACAAATTTAGAAGTTAAATTTTTCAAAAGATATATTAGTCCAGCTGATTCAGTTGATTAGTTTGCTATAAGACCATGTTCATTGAGAACCCTTCATATTTTTTAATTGGGTTGCTAATGAATATTTTGAGTTAAAATACTGAAAAGGAAGTCCAAAATATAAGGGCTGATCCTTGCAGAAGGGTTTTTAGGGCTGACCCTTAGAAGATTGCTTATAAAAAAATATTATAATATTCTTAAGGAACTTTTAATGAAACCCTCTAATGTATATGCCTTTAAGGTGTTGAGAACACCCGACAATACCCAACAGTGGGGCAAAATTTTGTTTTCTGCTTCTAATATGAAAATTCATTTTGACTTTTCAACGTTTGAGATTTGGTGCAACGACTGTCATTTTCTTAAATGCAATTCCAAAATCTTTGCTTAAACATTCTTTGAACCTTTTTCTTGCATTAAAACTCTTATAAATCATCTAAAGTTGAAATCTAAATTATTTTTTAATTACATTAAGCGAGTAAGTGGGATTAGTTGTCGTCTTGACGAAGGCTCTCACTCTAATCATAAAAATTCTAATAATTCGATCGTCTCTGTTTCATATCAATTCGATGCGATCGTTCCTCTCGTAATTATAATTCAAGCTCGAGAGAAAATGCATGATTTCTGCTTCACCATCCCGTACGGGATGCTTCTAATCGGCGGTGGATTTATCGGGTACATGAAGAAAGGGAGTATTACATCTTTCGCCGGAGGTGCAGGCACTGGCTTATTACTCATCCTCGCTGGATTTCTCAGTCTCAAGGCTTTCGAGAAGAAGAAGAATTCTTCTATCGCTGTCGTTCTTCAGACAGGTTTTTTTTTTTTGGTCTTTCATAGCGATCTGGATTTTAGATGAAAGTATATATAGGAAGATTTCGATTTGCGTTTGATTTCGTTAGGTTGTCATAGTGAAGATCTTCAATTTAAAGACATGAATAGCTTTTTTACTTACTTGTCAACAGAGGAAGGAATGGTTTGATTCTGTTTTCATTTTTTGGATGGTTCACTGTTTGGATCAAGAACTTGTGTCTCGTTGTAGACTCTAGCTTGAGAGTAAACTAGAATATGAAAAGTAATCCGGATCTTATTGGACCACTAACGATCTGAATCTGAAAAAATTAATCCGGCTACATGATTCGTGTCATGATGCTAGACTTGATGATCAAAGAAGAAAACCGATATTTTCTTGTGTTTGGATCTTCAAAGTAGCATTTTTACAATTGTTTTGCTAGTTTTTCCCACTAAATTATGATTAGTGTCTCTCTTGAGCAAAGATGCCGTGTTTACTGCAAATGGGATAATCAGATACAAAGTTTCTCATGTTAAGAACTTGGTTACAACAACAGGCTTACTAATGGAAGGGGATGTCTTAATTGAGTCGTAAGATGTTGTAGTTGAGTAGATTTCTGATTTTTAATTAGTGTTCCTGCCATTGATTGGCTTAGCACCAACCTCAAACAACATTACAAACATGCTCACAGAATCTATTTTTTATTAGTGACTGAAACTCATCTCAATGTTTTCTTTTTTCGATTCAGTCATCTCAGCTGCTCTCACACTAGTCATGGGACAGCGTTACTTGCTAACTCAAAAGGTTATGCCGGCTGGTTTGGTTGCTGGGATCAGGTAAAAATTCCTCCTTTCTCATTTCCTTCTGTGAATTTCTGGTGACGATTCATCTTTGTTTGCATCCAAGATTTGATATTTTGAGTCTCTTCTCTATTGAGTTAACCTTAGGACCATATCTGTATTGCAGTGCTCTCATGACCTGTTTTTACGTTTACAAGATCGCAACTGGTGGCAATAAGATCCCATCAAAAGCTGAATGATAGTTATGCAACTCTGGGTTTTCGTGGATGCAGATGAGACTCTCTGTTATTGAATTTGTCGATAGGAAATGTCTTGTGTGTTTCTGAGATTAGCTTGTATTAGTTGAAGAACTGCATATTGTCTTGTTTGTTTCTGAGTCTCTGAGATTTGTTTGTTGTCATCATGTTTCTGTTAACCACAGACTTTTTTGGAGCCATATTATATATGAAAAATTTGACGTTTTGATACACACTCGGGTCACATTGTAAAATAAACTGGGTACCCATATGGAAGTTGATCATCACACTTGTGCATACAACAATAAATCTTAAACTGTTTTTGATTTTATCCTAAAAATATACATATGGAAGTGCAGTGGTAATTAAGGCAAAGACTCTTGCATGAAAATCAAATCAGGAGCCAAGCTATGCAAGGGAAAATTATGCTACAGAGGTAACAGATAGTGTTGAAATATGGGTATGGTTTAAAAAAATTGGAATTGTTCTCATGCTAGAAATGTTCTCAGATGGAAACCCGATGATGAGCTGTTGTCATCATAATTCTGCATACTAGGAGTAGGATTATTTAACAAGGTTGATATTTTGGTAACTAGTTAGGTTAGTTCTTTTGGTCCCAGTTTCCCAAAAAACGACATTATTCTCACAAATTTAGAAACAAGTGCAGTTAATACCACTACAGAATCTAATTACGTTTCCTAGCCAAAGTTTCCATTCTAAAGAGGACGTACTAGTTTGTATTAATTATTAAACAGCTCATGGGCACAATTATTCCCTTCTTATTCACTCCATCTTCAGACAAAACTAAAAAAAAAAACTAAACAGTGAGAAAATCTCCATGACCATGGCGTTCCCTAGTTTGGTTTTTCTGATTCTGATCCAGTTCTTCATATTTCAGACTGCTTCAGCAAGTTCTTGGCAGACATTGAGTGGTTAGAGACAGAGAGTTCTTTCACTTTTCTAAACATGAATGTTTATGATGTTTTTACACTTTCTCGATGTGTTTTTCGCAGGGAATCCTCCGGTTGTCATAGCTAGAGGCGGGTTCTCTGGTTTGTTTCCAGATTCCAGTGAATATGCATATGAGTTGGTGAATTTGACAACTTCAGAAGACGTAACTCTCTGGTGCGATCTTCAACTAACAAAAGATGGTGTCGGAATCTGCTTCCCAAATCTGAATCTTGACAACGGTTCTGATGTAGTGGACGTTTACCCAAATCACAAAGAAATTTTCTCTGTTGATTTCACATGGAAGGAACTCTCCAACGTGACATGTAAGTGGATTTAAGTATTTTGTTTCTTTAAATCCTCTTCTTGTCAGTAAAGGTTTCAATCTGTTGGAATGAAAACTCCACAAATGTTTTCTGAATTTGTAACAAAGTTTTCCCCCTCAACAGTGGTCCAAAATATTGTCTCAAGACAAGCAATTTTCGATCATGTTTCTTCGATATTGCCTACTGAAGAAGTAGCAAAAATAGGAACTTCAGGCCTTTGGTTAAACATTCAGGTAATGTATATACTCTTTTATCGCCCAAACGCCTTTTTACATAGGCTCATAACAAATACTTCTTCTTCTTGTTACTCTTCCTACACTTAACAGCACAGTGATTTCTACGCGCAACACAATTTGAGTATGAGAAACTCTGTTGTGTCTCTATCAAGACGCATGAAAATCAAGTTCATATCTTCTCCAGAGATCAGTTTCCTTAGGAACATGAAAAAGGATGTCAATACGACTGTGACAAAGCTCATCTTTAGGTTTCTGAATCAAGACCGGATAGATCCCTTTACCAACCAATCTTACGGCTCTCTTGCCAAGAACCTAAGTTATATAAAAACGTTTTCGTCTGGAATTCTTGTTCCAAAATCTTACATATGGCCCCTAGGTTCAGATCTTTACCTGCAACCCCACACGTCCTTTGTCACAGATGCTCATAAAGAAGGTTTACAAGTTTTCGCTTCGGATTTTGCCAATGATTTCGTGTTTGCATATAACTACAGCTACGATCCAACAGCTGAGTATTTATCTTTCATTGACAACGGAAACTTCTCTGTTGATGGTTTCTTATCAGACTTTCCGTTGACTCCATATCGGGCCATCAGTAAGTAAATAAACTCAATTTTTCTGCATTTTCCCATTGCATACTTTATAGAGGTTAAAAAAAGCAAGATTCTTGTTTTCTTTACACAGGTTGCTTCTCTCATTTGGACACCAAAAAGGCCAAGGAGCAAGGTAATACACAGAGTAAACCATATAAATAAAGATGATATTTTCTACATCTTTAAATTGTAGTCTGATCCAATTTGATTCTTGCAGCTAACGTAACTATCATTTCCAAGGATGGAGCGAGTGGAGATTTCGCAGGCTGTACTGACTTGGCATATGAGAAAGCTGTGAGTGATGGGGTTGACATTCTTGATTGCAATGTCCAGATGTCGAAGGACAAGATTCCCTTTTGTTTGAGCTCTATAGATCTTATGAACAGCACTAACATCTTCGATACAAGCTTCAGGAATCTGTCATCAGTAGCTTCAGAGATTCAGCCGAATAGTGGGATTTTCACTTTCAGCCTGACCATGTCTCAGATACAAACCTTGAAGCGTAAGGACATATCCACAAAACTATAATCAACATTCAGTATAAACATTTTTTTTGAATGAAGATTATATCTGAAATGAGCCACATCTTTCCCTTCATTGCAGCTGTTATTTCGAATCCATTTAGGCTATCTGCTTTATTCAGAAACCCAAGAAACAAAAATCTTGGAAAATATCTTACATTATCCGAGTTCTTGTTTCTTCCAAAACGTTACAGCTCTCTCTCAGGCATCCTGATAAAAGTGGAGGTAAGAGAGCTCTGTTGAAAAAAATTTGTGTAACGGATAACTAACACATTATTCATTTCTTGATATATAGCATTCTCCGTTTTTCTTAGAATGCAGCGTATTTAGCAGAACATCAAGGAATTAGTGTGGTCGATGCTGTATTAGATGAACTGAAGAAAGATACTACTCAAGAAAGCCAGGCAAGTGCAAGAAGAATACTGATCCAGTCTACTGATAAGTCTGTCTTGATGGAGTTCAAGGAGAAGAAGAAAATGAATCATGAAGAGCTGGTCTATAGTGTCGATGAAAAGATCCATGATGTCACAGATTCCGCAATCAAAGACATCAAGAGTTTCGCAGGCTCGATTGTCATCAACAGGGATTCAGTCTTTTCCGGCAACGCAGGGTTTATCACGCTTAAAACAGATGTTTTTCCTAGGCTGAATTCAAGCGGGCTTCGTGTTTACGTAGAGACTTTAAGCAACGAGTTTGTAAGTTATCCGTTTGACTTTTACTCGGATCCAACAATGCAGATAGACACCTTTGTCCGGGATATTAAGATTCATGGCATCATCACTGACTTCCCAGCGACCACTGCAAGATACAGAAGTAAAAAAAAAAAGAGTCTCATCTTCTCTCTTGCTTCTTTGAATTTTTGTTGAGCCAATCTGAGATAATATTTGATTGCAGAGAACCAATGTTACAGCAAGATGAATCTGTTTCGAACCGGTGAGCTCATAACTTTCGGGAATCCATTGCTTGTTCCACCGGCTGGAGCTCCATATCCATCACTAGTTGAGTCAGATGTCACGGAACCACCATTGCCTGAAGTAAGAAGTCAGCCTCCTGCTATTGCACCATCAAAGGCAGAGGGAGAATCAATAGAAGTTTCCTTTGCGGTTATAACCATGGCGGTTCTTGTGAGCTTCTTTATCTCAGTTTAGTGTAAGTGCTTGTAACTGACTTCAACTGCAGTATCTGCCATTATATCTATGAAGAACTATCCATTCTTGTTTTCAAGATTTCTATAAGATATCTAAAGTTTCAAATTTAGAAGGGGTTATTAATAGGAATATGGAAATGGATAAACCTATCTATAAATCCCATAAAGCCAAAATTAGCTTATTTGATCTTAATTCTCTTCCAATGAATTTCTTCACCAAAATTCACCATCCATTTGTTTTTCAAGGAAGAAGAAAAAGGAATCATAAAATAAACAATCAAACATAAGGAAAGGGTTCTTAGTAGCAAAATTTTATTTCTCATTTTTGTTGTTCCTTCTTCTTTTGAGGCCGAAAGAGACCAGATTCATTTTTGGTTTCTTCAAAGGCCAAACCTTTTTCTTATTTTCTCAGCAATCCCTTTTGCCATCTTACAAAGAAGAAAAAAAAAACAATTAATTCTGTTCGTCTGAGAATTATCTCGATCCCTTAAGGATTCGAGGTTCAAGAACATCCATGAACTTCGAGTAATTCTATCATCTTCTTGTAGTAACAATCCAGGAAGATACATATAAACACATACATACAGAATGAAACTGAATTGCTTGTTCTGTTGTATGTCCGAGAGACGATTTACCAGACGATCATCATCGAGACAAAGCATCAAAGACTGCATTGATGCAAAGAACAATCTTTCTAGATTTGACAACATCTCTTTTAAAACAGGTCCCGGTTTATTTACCTTTATTCATCATATACATTCTCAAAATTCCTTAAAAGCTTTTCTATCTAAAAGAAAGCTGACATAACTGCAGATAGCAGTAGGCGAAGATACATATCCGAGGAGATTGCAAAACTCGGTAAAGGGAACATTAGTGCTCAAATCTTTACATTCAGAGAGCTCTGCGTCGCCACCAAGAACTTTAACCCCGAGAATCAGCTCGGTGAAGGCGGTTTTGGAAGGGTTTATAAAGGGCACATAGAAACCCCCGAAAAGGTACTAACATTCTCTCAAACAACAAATCTCTCATTTGTTCACCAAAAATTGATTCTTGACAATCTTGCGTGTGTTATTTAGGTTGTTGCGGTTAAGCAGCTAGATAGGAATGGCTACCAAGGGAACAGAGAGTTCCTTGTGGAAGTCATGATGCTGAGTCTCTTACATCATCAAAACCTTGTCAATTTGGTCGGATATTGCGCAGACGGCGATCAACGGATTCTTGTCTATGAATATATGCAAAATGGCTCTTTAGAAGATCATCTTCTTGGTATATAATATATCTAAACATTACAAAACACCACACTTTTCATATCAACACATTCTAAAGATTATTACTTTCTTCTTCAGAGTTGGCGCGGAACAAGAAGAAGCCGTTGGATTGGGACACAAGGATGAAAATTGCAGCAGGAGCAGCGAGAGGGCTCGAGTATCTACACGAAACAGCTGATCCTCCAGTGATCTACAGAGATTTCAAGGCCTCGAACATATTGCTTGACGAAGAATTTAACCCAAAGCTTTCGGATTTCGGTTTAGCCAAAGTTGGTCCGACCGGTGGAGAGACTCATGTGTCGACGAGGGTGATGGGAACATACGGCTACTGTGCGCCAGAGTATGCTCTTACGGGACAGCTCACTGTGAAATCCGATGTGTACAGCTTTGGAGTCGTCTTCTTGGAGATGATCACAGGAAGAAGAGTCATTGACACGACGAAACCAACTCAAGAACAGAATCTGGTCACTTGGGTAATAATAATAATATGCAAAACACTTCAATTCTTCTCATTTCAAGATTTGACAGAGAATAACTTAATTGCGCAGGCGAGTCCATTGTTCAAAGATAGGAGAAAGTTCACGTTAATGGCGGATCCGTTGCTTGAAGGGAAGTATCCGATAAAGGGATTGTATCAAGCGCTTGCAGTAGCAGCGATGTGTCTTCAAGAAGAAGCAGCAACGAGACCAATGATGAGCGATGTAGTCACCGCGCTCGAGTACTTGGCTATGACAAAAGAAGAAGAAGATGGAGAAACTGTAGAAGACGAGGGGAATAATAAACGAGTTAACAAAACAGATAACGACAACGGAGAAGACGAAGAAGAAGAAGACGAAAGATCTAAGCTTTGAGCAATTTTTTTTTGTTTTTGTTTGTTTGTAATTTTAAGGGAATGATCGGTTTTAGGAGATTTGACAGACTTTTTGAATTCGCGAAGATGATGAGGAAAAAAAAAAACGAATAAAGAAAAATGAAGATTAAATTGGGAGTTTTCGAGCTCTCTCCCTCGGGATTTAACGGATTTGCTGAGAATTTTGGATTAGTGTTCGCTTAACAATTGTTTTAGACCCAAATGGTAAATTCTGGGTATCGATTTCCAGAGTCTCCTCTTCATACATCGCAGAAATCTTTAGAACATCATCGTAGAATCAGATATTAAGATTAAAAATCCGAACTTTTCGGAAAAATGTCTTCTTTTGTTCTTTTTTGTATTTTAAGTGAATAATAATTAATTAAGGAAAGGGAAAAGGGTTTAAAGGGTTTGTCATTGTCCTCATGGAGTAATGACGACCAGCTCAGCTTCTCTGTAACGACAAGATCGCCACCATTAAACCCTTTCTTCTTTTTTCTCTAGAAGACGCAATAATCCCTCCCTTCAAGCTAGGAAGAGTAGCCATGGGGGTTTCACTCCGCCACTTGTCTCCTTCTTCTTTCTGGGTTTCGCGCCGTCCTCGTGTTTCTTCTTCCATCCTTTCGTTTTTGGTGCCTCGCCGTAGAATCCTTTGCAGGTTCACAGTTTTTCTTTTTTTCCGTCTGTTTTCTCTCATTTTTGTCCCTTGTTGAAGTTTAGTTGAAGGGTTCATCGAAAGTTAGCTTATTTATTTGCCAATTGCTCTGTTTTGTTAGGTTTACAGTGATGATTACGTTTTGGAATAATTGAAGAAGCTTGTGAAGTTGTGTTAGCTGCAATTTTGTTTGTTCCTATAAAGGTTTCACACACGAATGTTAAAGCTAGTTAGGAGTCTGCTTGATTAATCTTTTGGTTTACTAGAGCAATGTGTTCAAAAGTTAGAGCTTGTTAGTTATTATTCCGAGCTTGAAGGTGTTCTCTTTGTGTTGATACCATTTTTTTGGGTACTTATGATTTGCAGAAAAATAGCTATCACAAAGGGAAGTGCCGGATATTCTACTGCTACAGGTCCTGGTGATTCCAACGGGTTTCACCATTCGGGTCATCAACGGTCTTCTACTGTTGATTTTAGTGGAGAGTGGAAACTTAATATAGGATCCAACATGGCGAGAATGGTTCCACCAACTGTGAAACAAGCTGGATCTGTAAGTGCTTGGAGGAAGCAGGAAGTCAATCTCATTAGAGAAAGAAATGGAGATCATGCTAAAAACCAGGATGATGCTTCTGGTGATTGCAGTAATTATTTCAGAGGTTTTGTCCCCAAAATAGATGATGTTCAATCTTATGGAAACTACCAGAACTTAGATTACAAGCTGAAACCGAAAAGTGATGCCACCACATCTGATAGAGAATTGAATGGCTGTATGCAACAGAAGAGTCTAAGAGGACCTCTCATAGCATTAGCAAGCAAGAATGTTGATGCTGGGGAAAAAATAGATGACAAGGATGCGCGTGGAAAACAAAGAGCTATTGTTACTTCTTTTGCCTCTGCAAGCTATGAGAATACAGTAACCATTTCCAAAGCGGAAAAACGCCCTGACCTGTCGGAAGTCCGAGCAAACCTCAGGAAAATATATAAGAGGGTTCGTGTTGTTGATAATGTGTCTACTGCAAGGGAAGTTGTGGCTAAGCTCATAAATCAATATGGAAATCTTGTCCATGCTTGCGATACAGAGGTATGTGGTCATGTGTTTGATGTTACATTGTTATTCACAAAGCAATGAAATGCTAATGCACTTGACTTATAGACGCTTCTCGTAATGCTTCTTTTGTTCTCTGATTATCGATTCTTTAGGTGTCCAGAATTGATGTGAAGAGTGAAACACCTGTGGACCATGGCGAGCTGATATGTTTCAGTATATATTGTGGATCAGAAGCAGATTTTGGAGATGGAAAATCATGTATCTGGGTAGATGTTCTTGGCGAAAATGGCAAGGGTGTCTTGGCTGAGTTTAAGCCGTTTTTCGAAGACTCATCCATAAAAAAAGTGAGCTTGTCGCGTTTCTTTATATTCAGTGAAATCTTGTTTCCTTTCCCTCTTCTTGTCTGTTTTCCTTGAAAAGAGGATTGGCTATTTCTTCACCTTGCATCTCCTATGTTTTTTTGGAGGCACTCACGACTTCTGAATCATGTTTTGTTTTAATCTTGACAGCCATCCTTTATAAGAAATTATGGTGACCTTTTTCTTTTACTTATAGGTATGGCATAACTACAGCTTTGACAGCCACATTATAAGTAATTATGGAATCAAGCTTTCTGGATTCCATGGTGATACAATGCATATGGCACGATTGTGGGATTCGTCTAGAGGTACATCAGGTGGTTATTCGCTCGAAGCACTTACAAGTGACCCACGAGTTCTTGGGGGAACTGAGACAAAGGAGGAAGCAGAATTATTTGGTAAAGCATCAATGAAGACGATTTTCGGCAAGGGAAAACTGAAAAAAGATGGATCAGAGGGGAAATTGGTGATCATTCCCACTGTTGAAGAGCTACAAAAAGATGATCGAGAAGCTTGGATTTCGTACTCTGCGTTAGATTCCATAAGCACGCTGAAGCTTTACGAGAGCATGAAGAAAGAACTGCAAGGAAAGAAATGGTTTCTTGATGGAAAACTAATTTCAAGAAAGAACATGTTTGACTTCTACCAAGAATATTGGCAACCTTTTGGTGAACTTCTTGCTAAAATGGAAGCGGAGGGGGTGCTTGTAGATAGAGAATATCTGGCGCAGATTGAGATTGTAGCCAAAGAAGAACAAGAAATTGCTGTTTCTAGGTTTCGAGGTTGGGCCTCGAAGCATTGTCCTGATGCAAAGCATATGAATGTTGGCAGTGACGCGCAATTGCGACAGCTCTTTTTTGGTGGCATTTCTAACAGGTTTGCTTCTTCTAAGTCTTCATCTGAGCTGTCTTATAACAATGTATAGTGTCAAACTGAAGTTATCTTTAGAAGAAACGTGATATCTTGGTATTTGACTTCTACCATATGACTTATTTCAGAAAAAAAAAACAAGTGTATGATACTCTTGTCTCAAAATTTGGTGAATATTGTATTCGTATTCAATAATACACATGCAGCTCTCAGATTAAGTTTGTGAATCGAATTTCTTCCCATTGTGATGCCAACTACATAAATTTGTTTCTTAGTGCTTAATTCTGATACTGAGTTCTGTTAATATCTGTTACAGTTCCAATGATGAGGCTCTTCCATATGAAAAACTTTTCAAAGTTCCTAAGGTCAATGAAGAAGGAAAAAAAACAGCCACAAAGTTCCGGAAGATCAAACTGAATAGGATTAGCGACAATCCTTTGCCTACTGAAAAGTTCACTGCCTCAGGCTGGCCCTCTGTTAGTGTAGGTACTTTGAAAGCTTTAGCTGGGAATGTCTCTGCAGCGTATGACTTTACAGAGGGCGTTTCAAATAACTCGCTAGAAGAAAATATTGGAGATGAGGAATTTATGTTGCTACCAGATGAAATTTTAGAAACACAAAACTCAAATGAGGAATTTATGTTGCTACCAGATGAAATTTTAGAAACACAAAACTCAAAGACATCTGTTGAATCAGACACATCTGCTTTTGGAACCGCATTCAATGCGTTTGGAGGAGGTGAAAGTGGAAAGGAGGCATGCCAAGCCATTGCTTCATTATGTGAAGTTTGCTCCATTGATTCCTTAATATCAAATTTTATTCTTCCTTTGCAGGTATTCTTTTTCTTCTCAAAATAATGTTCCCGGGGTTTTGAGCTACTTAATTCTTTCCATTGACTTATCCTTATAGGTTAATTTTTATATAATTGGTTTTCTTGTTTACAGGGAAGTAATGTGTCAGGCAAAGATGGTCGTGTCCACTGCTCCTTGAATATTAACACTGAAACTGGGCGCTTGTCAGCTAGAAGGCCAAATTTGCAGGTATGTGGCATACCATAATGTAACACTGGTGATGCAATTAAGTAACTAAGCTTCTCTATCTACTGAACTGGTGAACCTTGGGTAAATTTTTTTGAAACGTTTTTCTGTGAAAAGCTACATCAGCTTGAACTTAGAGTTTTCCTTCTCTCTGTATAGAACCAACCTGCGATGGAGAAAGATCGGTACAAGATCCGTCAGGCTTTCATAGCGTCACCTGGAAATTCACTTGTTGTTGCTGATTATGGGCAGGTGAAAACATAAGCTCTGATAGTTATAGATACTTGTATGATGACTAGTAAGCTAATTCACTTATTGACTGAGGCGGTTTTTTCGATCTACAGCTTGAACTTAGGATTCTGGCACATCTTGCTCGTTGCAAAAGTATGATGGAAGCTTTCGTAGCTGGCGGTGACTTCCACTCTAGAACAGCCATGAATATGTATCCACATATTCGTGAAGCTGTCGAAAATGGTGAAGTGCTCCTTGAATGGCATCCACAACCTGGACAAGAAAAGCCGCCAGTGCCTTTGTTAAAGGTGACTTTTACTTAATGTGAAACAAATGATTTCCCAAAGCCTTAAAACGCTTAAGGTTTAAGATTAATATCTATGGTGCTAGCTAAACCGCAGACTTACCTCTGTAGCACACTAAGATCACAACAGCTGACTTACTTACACACTTAAGCTAGGAAACGAAACTTTGTGCCTGTATCTTTTTTGAACCGGTAGCAAAATGTTTTCTTTCTTACTCAGGACGCCTTTGCTTCTGAGAGAAGAAAAGCTAAGATGCTCAACTTTTCAATTGCGTATGGGAAGACTGCTATTGGGCTTGCTAAAGACTGGAAGGTACTAATAGCTAAGCTCTTGAAAATTGATATGAATATGCTTGATTTCTGATAATAAGCTCACAAAAGCCCATTTCCACTTTCCAGGTTTCTGTAGAAGAAGCTCAAGAAACAGTTAATCTATGGTATAATGACAGACAAGAAGTCCGGAAATGGCAAGAACTACGCAAGAAAGAAGCTATAGAAAATGGGTATGTACTCACTTTGTTGGGAAGGGCTCGTAAGTTCTCTGCATACCGTTCATGTGGCCAAAAGAACCATATCAAACGAGCAGCAATCAACTCTCCTGTTCAGGTTTGTTTGCCCTATCATCAGATCTTTAACTGTCCTGTAGTTTCTCGACTGTTTACCCGGTTACTACTATTACTACAGGGAAGTGCGGCTGATGTCGCCATGTGCGCTATGCTGGAAATATCAAGAAATAAACGTTTAAAGGAGCTTGGCTGGAAGCTGCTTCTACAAGTAAACACTACACACAGATTCTTCACATAACCATTTCTAGGCTCAAATCAGATGATTACCATATCTATAAATGATTGTTTTGGGCTACTCTTGTGTTAACAGATTCACGATGAAGTAATCTTGGAAGGACCAAGTGAGTCAGCTGAGATCGCCAAGGACATAGTTGTGGACTGCATGTGTAAACCCTTCAACGGCAAGAACATTCTCTCAGTTGATTTATCTGTCGATGCCAAGTGTGCTCAGAACTGGTATGCTGCCAAATAAGAGGAATGGAGGAAACAATCTTATTTTGTCTTGACTACTGAATGCTAACTATGAGACAGTGCGTGAAGCTTTTTGTTTGGCTTATGAACTCTGTAAATATCTGTTCATATATGAAAAAAAAAGAAGTGACCACTTGTTTATCCTAATGAAAGCTAACTGTATCAATTTTGTTTATTTGTTTTTGTATCACCTGACATTGCTTGAAGGGCTGATTTTTAACTAAGAAACGGAAAGATGATTCTCCAAGATGTCTAACAATCCAACAGTGGAAAATTAACCAATAAGAAATGATCTTATCATAAAGAGGAAAATGAGTGGATAATATTAATTGAAATCTCAGAGCAAGCTTCAAGGCAGCCATGGCTTCCATTTCATGCACAACTCCTTCTACGAGCTTATTCTGCTCTACCACCAAACCCATCAACAGTTCTTCTTCTTCCCAACTAAGTCTCTCCTCTAGGTTTCTTGGAACTCGGGTTGTGAAGCTCCGGATCCGACTCGGTCCCTCCTACGGGTCGAGAGCTACTTGCTGGTTTAAGTTTGGAAAGAACGGCGTCGATGCTGAGAATGCCGGAATCTATGGCAGCCAATCACGGGATGATTTCGACAGGGACGACGTCGAGCAGGTTCGTTTTCACTTATAGGTTCTTGAATCGCAGAAAATTGTTGAAGATAGCGTTCTAAAACGCAAACGAAAATATCAGAGAACTCGTTTGTAGAAAATGCTTATAGCATTGTATATGTTATGTCGGAATTTGTGAACAAGACAGAAGGGAAAGACCCAATGAGTAGTTATCAGAGAACCTTATGGAGAAACTGAAATGTATAGTTTGTGGATTCTTGGTGGTTTTCAGTATTTCAACTACATGGGAATGCTTGCGGTGGAAGGTACCTATGACAAAATGGAGGCTCTTCTCAACCAAAACATTCACCCTGTCGATATCCTTTTGATGTTGGCAGCCTCAGAAGGAGACAAGCCTAAGATCGAGGAGCTTCTCAGAGCCGGTGCTGACTACACGGTTAAGGACGCTGATGGAAGAACCGCACTTGACCGAGCCAGCAGCGAGGAGATCCGTGATTTGATCCTTGGATCTCTCACTCAAAAAGCTTGACAAATCTTCAATAGCTTTTTCTTACAGAGGATTCGTGTCTGATTGGTACCTCTATAGTTAAAATCTCAATTGTCTCAATGTTTTTCTTTTAAATTTGGTCCAACGCCTCAAGTAGCTTCAACTTTTAAGTACAGATTGATCTCATTACCCAAAAGCCAACCTTTTTCTCTTAGCAAAGGGTCACCTTACAAAACCAAAAAGAGAAATTACCATCTCTCGAAAATTCAACATTAGATCGGGAGACATGTCTAAGTTAGCAAATGCTTTCTAAATGTTATTAACAATAATATCGAGATTGTCACCAGCACACAGTCTTTGAGGAAAGCAGAAACGAAGCTGCTAAAACTATCTTTTAAATCCCTAAGATAAAGCGCTCTCCTTGCTGCGTGTCTCTGATTTCATTCACTAAGCAGAATTCTCGTGCAATAGTACGTACTCACGGCTGCAACCAAAAGAACAAAATATGTCAAGACACTGCCATAAAACGTGAAAGCAGATGCCAAGCAACTCTGTGTTAACCAAAACAATGGACACAAACAAGCAAAGATTGATCAAAGTGAGAATAGGCACGATAGTAATTCATAATGGAAAAGCAAAAAACCGTAATGTTCTTTAACCAGCATACCTGCTGTTACCAAACTTGATGGTATCTTTCTCGAAAAGCTCATAGTAGCGTTCTGGTTCAATAGGACTTTCCTGAAAAAAGCAAAAAAACAAAAGTTCATGACAAACGTTTGATCTAAACCACTATATAGAAACAATCAAGAAAGAATGCAATTCAGCACTCACATTAATGTAAGTCTTATTGGTACTGCCAAGATCCATAATGTAAGGCCTGCAAGGTGACATTCAAGGAAATTAGGTTTTATCTTAAACCCAAAAAAACTTGCAAAATTTAAAGCAAAATGAAAAAGCAAACAGATTTTTACCTCACTTCCTTCCCCATCATACCATCTGGTTTCTCCTTTTCCACTTCCCTGAGACAAAGACAATCACCGTGACATTAATATTAACCTAAAACCCCTCTTCTCGTTAGATCCATGGTCATAATATTTACCTGTACTGAATAACAGCATGCTGCTTGCTGCAAGATGGGTGATCAGTAGGAATGTCAGCGATTCTTCTCTCACGTCCAAATAGATAGCAACTTTGGCGATGGAGCTGGAGTGGCTCTGTTAATCCAACACAATTTACATGCACAAAATTTCACGCATTAAGAAAACTGTTTTCAGGGCATTAAGAGTTGTAAGCAAATAGAAAAGAGAAACAAAATGATAAAACTGTGCTACAATGTTCAAGTATTAATACTAAAATAGATACCAGAAACCAGTCACAAAAGTATCAGATCATTACATCGCATAATTATATTCATCGTAGTTAGATTGACAAGTTCAAATCAATACAAGGCAATAATTGGCTACTATTGGTAATAATGCTATCATCTGGATACTCAATCATCAACTACCACATTCACGAGTTCATGGCTAAAGTGCATCATACAGTCTCTTTCATCAAACCACCACTACATGCTTTACTGCATGTTTCATGCACCCAAAAAAAAAATCGACATTTTCCAGAGAAAGGATAGTTAAAGTGAAAAAACATAAAAGACAAATGGAGCATTACTTTGACAGATGGAGCATGTGCAAACACAATAAGTCTTAGGAATGGAAAACTAGAGGGTTGAAAGACTCACCATTCAGTGGTTCACCATCCTTGAAAACATAAAGTCTCCATCTTTGGGTTGGTTTTCTAGCCTCTGGTGGCTCACTGAAGAGGAGTGTGATACCTGCAAAGGGTTCAACAAATCAGGGACGCATGCCTATAACAAAATTTAATGCGATAAACATCTATCTATCTACATTCCTCGGAGAAAGGAGCGGGATTTGCAGCCAATAGAATATTTGCTGATAAGATGCTATGAATTAAGGCTTTTAGTCTCAATAGCCATTAGCTATTGACCTACCATAATACAGGCACAAAAATGCATATACAACTAAAGAAAAGAAAACCCTAACAGCAAAGGGACATGTTTCACACATGCATGAAGATCACTGTGGCAAAAGCTTACATGACAAAGCAATGCTAACAAGTGAAATGCCCAGATTGAAACATCACCTCTGTATCTGTTGGTTTCTTCCGCAAGTTTCCCTGATAGCTCAAAAGATGGTTCTTCCTGCAAGATATAAACGGATGAGCCAAGAGAGCACAAAATGACATCGAAAAATTTATAAGAATCAATAGATGCTTGTTATGATACCTTTTTCGTCTTCGCTGCCAGAGCTTCTTCAGCTGCTCTCATTCTCGCAATCGAATCTTCTTCATCATTGCTGTAAAAGAAAACCCCTAACATAGTTATAGAAAAAAAAAAGACAGAAATTTTGCAAAGATTGATCTAATAAAAAAAGAAAACTCACGGTTCCTGGCCGCTCCCTCTTGACGCAGTAGCACTCTCTGGTGAACGCCTGCTCTTGTGGCTCCTATCTAACGGTGAAATAGACCTCTCACGTCTTCCTCTAGGTTGTCTCTCATCGTCTGTTCCTGCCCTTTTCCTTTCCTCGTTCTCCTCTCTCCCTGAGCGTCTTCTCATATCCCCAACTTCCCTATCTTTTATGTCCCTCGTCTTCTCCTTCTCTCCGTCTCTTCTTCTCTCCCTGTCTCTATCTCTTATATCCTGCTCTCTTCGTTTTCCTCTATCCCTTTCCTTTTCTACTTCCCTACTGCTGCTCTTCTCCCTTCCTCTGCTGTTATGCTTCTCGTCTTCTCTCTCCCTACTTCTTCCAGCCTCCCTTTCACCTTGAGCTCTTCTCAATCTCTTTGTCCGTGGTGAAGGAGACCTAGAGCTACGATCTCGCAAACCCGAAGATTCTTCTTCTCTTCTAGATGGACTTCTCCGGCGAGGAGAGTGCCTTTGCCTCACCGGAGATTCTGAAGCCCCCGATACATTGCGAGCCATTCTTAAAGAGAGAGTTGTTTTCCTCTTCTTTGCCCTGGAAGGAGCACAAATATTGAGAAAGTGTCAGAGACGCAAGCAAAAACTTAGACTTATATAAGTTCACAAAAACGAAAAAGAGGATCGTCGCTCTCCGGCACCCTAAACCCTAATTCCCAAAAGAGCAAAGCCCTGAATCTAAAACGTGAGCCAACAGATTTCGGATACCGCTATCAGAAAGTTTCTGCTATAATTTAGGGTTGCGAGAATCACGAAGAGCAATACATTGGCTTAAGAGAAAGAGTGTGAAGCTCAATTTACCTGGTGGCCGGCACTGCGATACGTCGGCGGAGAGCAGAGAGAGGAGAGTGATTAAACGCAGAGAGATAAAAGAAGAAGAATCAGAAACACGAGAATGATAATAATGGGAATCTATTGCAATTAAAAGGAAAGTGAGGGCTCAATATCAAAATCGTAGATCGTGGTGTTAACACTTAACGGAGTTAAGAGTTTTTAATTTTTTTTCTTAGCATCTCTGTGAGTTTCCGTTAAGATTTCCGTTAACTGTTCAATATCAAAAATTCAGCAGAAATCAGAAATCATACGTTAGTGTCGATCGGTATGAGATTTTTCATTTTTTTTTTTTTTTTGGTAAACAAACTTTTCATTTTTTCTTTTACAGTAAGAATCTTTCAGGTGATCAGATGTTTATTATGTACTACCTCTTTCTAATATTAAATTTTAAAAAACGCACTCATTTTCAAAGCATAATATGAATTCTGCTAATTAAATATCAATTTGATTTTGTTCTCTCTCTTTTTTCGTAGCATAGATGAAAAATGAAATATAATTTGATGTTAATCATATGTTGACTATATACAAGATTTAGTAAATCGTGTTTTTTATATTATTGTTAGATGTTATTGACATACATGCCAATAAGATTGATGAGAAAATCAAGCTACAAGCACCCAAAATTAATTGAAATATGTTAAGACTTTTCGATAAAAATGTAGTCAAAGTGATAACTTAATTTATAGATTCAAATCTAAATATATTTTGATATTTGAGTGGACATCTAGAAATGCATATATGAAAAACCATAGATATTAATATGGATATTTAATTTCTAATTCAAATCCGGATACTAGCATCTCGGATTCAAAATATTTTACTAAATTATTTTTGGATTTGTTTGATCTTTACGTATTTGTATGTACATGTTTACACTTTTCTATTAGCCTGTGACTTCAAAAGTCAACCAAAATTAGAATAGACATATACGATGATATTAAAAGGCATAACCACAAATTATTTGAGTTAAAAAATAGGCCCACTCCATAAAAACATAGAGGATTAAGTGCATTCCTTATCAACTATATGTCCATTACTCATTTGCCCTCCTCGTCTTTCTCCTTGCCGATGCTATCAAGTTAGAAATTTTAACTTAAACGATTAATATTTCATCAAAAAACAATTAAAAATCTGTTTATGATTGTACAAAACTCGTTCAGAAAATAAAAAGATAAAGAAATTAGATAAATTTATAAGTAAAAACAATATTTTAAAAACTTAATTTAAATATTGATTAATGATAAACCAGAAGTTTGAACAATAAATATCCATTCACGTCTTCAAGATAGACTTCATAAAAACTAAAGTAATCACAATCGGTTGGGATAAATCCATGTTATATATCTTGCCAGTTCAGTATTTTATATGTATTCACCCGACATTTTTTATAAGTCTTAGAGATCAATCGATGCATGGTTCATTGAAATATTTTTGAAGTAGTTTTTATCATTTTTAAAAATATTTAAACAAAATAGAAAACATAGATGAAAAAAATACGATGAAAATGATTTGCTGATCATTTACCGTTGATAATGAGATTTGGTGTGGTGGAACCTAAGTCCCCACATTCGCCAACAAATTCTGAGATCGAGCAAGCAGGGTTATGGTAATAATTCCATCTCCTCACTAAATCAAACGATAAAGTCAACCAAAATCATCTACATATAATATATTCTCTTCGTTTAATGGTTTATAAAATATATCTTGATCAGGAGTGAAAATTTATGGTTTTTTTTGTGTGGAGTAAAACTCCCCAAATACACGTTGTATAAAACAGAAACACGAACTGATTCTAGATAATAAGACATTTTTTAGGTTATAAAAAAAAAAGTTGAAATCTATATAACTGAATTAGATGCTTTCTGGACTTTGCCAAAAGATCAAGCTGGAGTTGGCTGGTCTCTACCTCATCCAAATTGTAATTAATATTGTCCTTAGAAATTAGAATAGCAGTCCACAAGTCAAAAACATTATGCTACAATCCAATTTCATTTTTGTGAATATTCGTAATTATTATATAACTTTTTGCCTATCAATTAAAGCTGTCTCGATTTGTATGAAGAGACCAGCCAACTCAAGTTAGCGTATCACATATGTTAATCTAGCCAACGCCAAACGCTAATAGTAAGTGAATGATATTGTTCATTGGGCGAGATGAGAAGTCATCTAATTTCAATTCATTGTTTCCCAGATAGTTTGCATGTAACTTTGCATTTTCATCTAATAGTATAAAGTTTAGTTTGACGAATGACAAGATATTGGGTGACCACACAATAAAGGAACATCTACAAAATCGAAATTGTTCTTTTAAGTGATCTGTTTGACCCCCATTTAAAAACTTGAATCTGTTGACAACAAAGATTTTAAAAGTTAAGAAATCATCCATTACGACATCATGTTCGTCATGATTCCTAGTCTTACGTATCCTAATCATTTTCGCCGTTGTATAAGTAATTGGAAAAAAAAAACGATGTACGGATAACAAGTAAATTTCTTTAATAACAGAGATATTTAATTTATATACTAAAAGACTTGAGAAAACAAGTTTGGATTTCTTAAAAATCCTTCGGTTATCTACTTATCTTGGAATGATTATCGTAAGTAATACTTCAGTATGTTTTTCCATCAAATTTAATAATTATTTTGGTAAAAACATGATTTTTTCTTTTGCACATTTATAAACATGATTTCTTATACTATTGTTTGTGTAAAATTGATTTATAACTTAATATTCGATGCGTTTTGCGTTTCTTTACCTTTTTAGGAAAATAGAATAACTTGTCCGAACTTTTTAAATACCATTTTCATTGTAGAGGTGTAATTACACAAACTATATTTAAACTGCTACAAATAGTGTAGGCAATTAAAAACTACATTTTTATTTACCTATAAACAAAGGAACAAAATTAAATGATATACACTTTGTCATTTGTTCGTTGCCATAAAAGTTGAAAATAATTAATCTTTCACATCATAGACAAAACAAACAAATGTCATACCCATCCGACTAGAATATGATTTACAACATTGGTTATTTGCATCACGCACTTCACCATTAATTATGATCAATTCATCATCAGCTTTCTTAATTGTCAAACAATGTCTCCGTGATAAAGTCCAAATTAGGTCAAAATTTCAAGCTTACGTCGCCTCTTGCGTCATACATTGCTGATGGAGAAGTGGGAAGGGGAAATTATTGTAACATCAATCAAAGATTCGGTATTAATTAACTTTTACAAATTCACACAATTGTTATCTCACAAACTAAAAGTGTGTAATATGTTGTTTACATGCTTTGTGACCTAGATAATAATAACAATAATAAAATAATTATCCTGCCGGACTATAAAGTTCGAGAACGTGGACCGACCACATATATACCAACATATATTTACATTTATCATTTTGTTTTTAGCTATTTGGGTTTTTAGCCTACTGTCTAATGTTGCCTTCATCACGTTTTTTTCAGTTTATTTTTTTTTTTTCAAATAGATGAATGACGATCATCTGCTTGCCACGTTATATATCATATTATCGTTTAACACTTAGTAGCACTTCCCCACGAATTACATGTCTTCATCATTGACTAAGTTATATTTACGCCGTTATTCAACTATTCAAGGACACACTGTTGTACATTTTACATACTTCTAATGCTATACGAAATTACACAAGATATATCTGAATTCCATAGAGCGACTAAAACTATTTTAAACGGAAAACATAAGTGAAAATGAAATTAATATATGTTTAAGCTTCGATCGAATTTATTTTTCGTTAACGGACACTGAATAATGTAATCATTCCCTACTAGTGTTGTGAATTTGTGATTATCATTACTTCAGTAGGCAAAGGTTTTTATCTGAATCAACACTCTTTGTTAGAAAAATTACAAAAATATATTAATTGTGTTTTATATCTTTTGACTAATAAGATTTAATGTAGCAGGTCTCAACGTTGCCGTGTACATGTATTATATTATTGTCCACTAACCCAACAAGAAGGTGATCCACTTCCCTTGTATATCTTTATTTGTTCTTGCACATAAAGAAATCAAACTGTTCAACTGCCATATATAATATAAAAGCAAGAGATTATATATTATAAGTCACATAAAATAAACAGTAATAAGACTAAAGGGCCAAATTTGCACCAACACTTTACATGACCTCTACCTCCTTGCTATATAGATGTCACATTTGGGAGAATCAGAGAATAAGGGCAAACAAAAGTCTAAATACCATTTATAGCTTCTCACATATCTTTCATTTATCTACAAGATCAAACTACTAGATCCTCAATGGAAAAATCAGCACTAAGCAACTGCGTGAGGCGAACAGTTTTCTCTAATCATCAACAGAAAACAATACAAGAGGGTATAGAAGAGAGTAGTTGGACAATGTACTTTGAAACTGAAGATGGATTAGATCATTACGATGAGTCTTCGATGATCTCAGACGCTGCGTCTCCTATAGTTTCTGTTGAAGAAGACACGGCTTCATCTCCTTCTAATAGAACCAAGGTTAGTTCAAAGGAGAAGACAACCGTAATATCATATATGTCCATAAACATTTGTTTCAGCCCTCAATTTTTTTTGTCTAATTTACCCATAAATTTTTTTTAAAAACAATTTTTTTTTTTATAAAAGCAATTATAAGCCCCCATTTTTATTTTTGTTTCAAGCCCCTAAAATCTCAGATCCGATGTTGTACACATATATACATATATAGGTCTAAATGGCAATACGCATATACGTGCGATGTTTCATGTGATGTTTCATGTGTTGTAGACTAATCTTAGCAATGCAATTGTTTCTTCAGGGTTTCAGTGAAATGGAGGACAATACGACAGAAGAAAAAACCATGAGCAATACTAAAGCCGAGGTAAGAAACTTTCAACCAGTAATATATGTTTTATATATCTTTCTCCTTAATATATAAATTGTTCTGACGACTAACGAAATTATTTCTTACCGGTTTTTGTAGGAGAAAGGATTGAATAAGAAAGGAATAATGAATGAAGAGTATTGCGCAGAACTGAAGAAGAGAGGACTTTGCTTAGTTCCTTTGTCGATGTTGTCCAACTATATTGGTTGATACTTCGAATATTTTTTTAATTATTTTTTATTGTGAATTATATTCTTTTGTGTAAAATCCATAGAATGGACTAGTATATGTAGTGAAAGTCGAATCAATGGTGGATTAATTATGTATCGTATATGTATAAAATGCTCAAGCAAGAGTGCAAAATTTGCAAAACATAACCCTTGTTAGTTGTTACAAACAAAACAGATTTGTGTGAAAGATTTCCGAACATGTGTAATAAAAAGTTAACATGTTTCCTTGTGTGTCACAATATTGGTACAGTTACGTACATATGTCTATTTGTAGAACGCCATGTAATCCAATTATTGAATCATCCCCATTTTAATTTCTTTTCTCTGATTCAAATATCCAATGACGTACTTGTCATATTACAAAGCAAAAAACAATTATACTACCAAAACAGGCTTTTGATTTTATTTCTTTTATTTTTGAGAAGTATCTCAAAATTCCTCAAAGGATATATATTTTCTAAACATATCACAATTTGTTTTAAGAAATTCTTCCGAAATTTTTGATTTAAGAAAGCTTATAAAAAGATTGAACAACAACAGAATACGTTAAAAAAAAAGTTGAAAAATGTGACATCTTAAAGAGTTCTTTTAGATTCTGTAAATTGTGTGCCGACAAAAAAAAAAATCGGTAAATTGTGTGATATCTTGGAATTATTATTAAAATCATCATTTTGACAATTAATATAATTTTCCGACCGGAAAAAAAAAAAACAGACATTGATTGGTAATTTTATGAGGGTAACCGAAAACCAAATTCATTCTGACAAAAAAGGGTGGAGATTTGAAACGCAAAAGGTTTCCTTGACGGGAAATCACGGATCCGCCATTAGAGAAGAAAGATAGAGACAAGTCATCTTCTTCTTCCCCACACTAGATCTGCTGTATCCACCTTCTTTCACTCTCTGTCTCAGTCTCCAGGGTTTTGGCGATTGCCTACCTTCTCCGTCGTTTGCTTCTCGCCAGCAGCTATGGTTTCCTCTACAAAAATCAAATCCGTTGATTTCTACAGGTTCGATCCTCTGATCTCTCTGGCATTTCCTCGATTCTGATTGCCTCCGATGCATGTGCCCATGAACATACATTTTTGGCTTTATGATTCGAAAATGACGAATCTTTCTCTTATATTTCACCAACTGATCTCATTTTTGAAGTGCACCTTTTGTTTTTGTTATTGTTGATTAGGAAAATCCCGAGAGATTTGACAGAGGCATCTTTATCAGGTGCTGGGTTATCCATTGTAGCTGCTCTCGTTATGATGCTTTTGTTTGGAATGGTAAATCCTCTTTTACCCCTTTTTTTTTTTTAAATGAAGATTTTAGTTTTGTTTGGATCGTTTTTCCGACATGATCGATCTCCTTGACATTTCTCTGTTTGATGAAGTAAGTCTTGTAAGCTAGCGTCTTGATTAAGATGTGATCTTTATTTATCTTGCAGGAGCTGAGTAGTTATTTGGAAGTAAGCACTACCACAGCTGTCGTTGTTGACAATAGCGCCGATGGAGACTTCTTACGCATTACTTTCAACATCAGGTTTGATATTGATTACTATTGAATTCTGCTCTACACGTCCATTGAACATGTATAACAGTCACTAGAATCTTAAAGAGATTGGTTTCTTGCCGAGTAATTGCTATGATGTAGTTTCAAATCTTTGTCATGTGAGGGGGAGATTGAATGGTTTTATCTATAAGGTGACATTTTGTTTTTTGTATCTTCTCCTTTTCTTTGTAGTTTTCCTGCTCTTTCATGTGAATTTGCGTCCGTTGATGTGAGTGACGTTTTGGGAACAGTAAGTCTCTGCTCACAACTCTCTGTCTTTCTATTTTGATGATCCCATTCTCACTGTTAGGATGCATTCTGCAATCACTGTTGTATGGTTATCAAACAAAAAGCAAAACGCAGAAGGAAAAGCTTAAATCTTGACATTTTCTTCAGCATCAGAGAATGTATCTTTGGTTAAATGATATATGATAGTCTGTCTATATAAGCATTTTGAATTGGTTGTGCAATGATGATATGGATTTAATCCGATTTTATATAGTTTGGTGAAACTTAATAATACCTTCCTAATGCAGAGAAATGTTTTTATCGTACTTATCACCTTATCCCTGAAGTCTCTGTTTCAGTTGTGCCGAACTTCTAATGTATTATGTAAAAAGCAGGACGTACTGCCTCCACCAAGCTATGTTATATATGTGTATACCCTGCATATCATTTGTATGATTAGCTGTGGCCTAGATCTAATTTGATGTTTAAATTTTCAGAATAGGTTGAATATAACAAAAACAGTTCGCAAGTTTCCAATTGATCCGCATTTAAGGACCACTGGTGCAGAATTCCACTCTGGCCTTGCATTACATGACATCAACCATGGAGAAGAGAGTAAGGAAGAGTTTCCTGACGGTGCCATACCATTAACCAGTGGTAGTTTTGAATCATATTCACATCAGTGAGTAGGCAGCTTATTTTATTTTATCATTGCGCATGTACAGGAATCCTGTCTGAGGGGTTGAATAATGGATTGACGTAAGTTGACTTTCTTATGCAGCTTTCCAATATTGATTGTTAACTTTTATGCACCATGGTGCTACTGGAGTAATCGTCTGGTAATTCTCTTATTCATCTCTTATGCTTTTTTTCAAACTTTCCGATTTCGTGTTCTTTTTCATCTGGTATGCAAGCACTAATGGTTCCGTTCTGAATGTACTCATCATAACTTGTTCTTTCCGCTTGACCGAGGGAGAAAGAATCTGCCTTTTTACGCTCTTGACTGTTAATTGTAAATAGATTCAATCAGGATACCTGAAATCCGTAGACATGTCATTAGGGAAATTTACTTTCTTTCTATCTCGTGTATTACGTTTTGTTCTATAGGGATATGGTGTTTATTGTTCTGTGTTACGAATTGTAGATGACAATCTCATTTCTCTTGAAAAATTAATATTTTGTAGATTTTACGGGTATTATGTAACTCAGTACCTGCCTGTTCATGTATGGTTATAATGAGTTTCTTTTGTATTCTACTACTCGCTACAGAAACCGTCTTGGGAGAAAGCAGCTAATATTATAAAACAGAGGTTTGCATTAGACTCTTCTGCGTGTTTATTAAGTTGTGAAATTCTGTAGTCACCCTCGCTATCTGGTATTTTTCCTTTCTGAAACATGGTCATGCTAATATTCTGATGCAGATATGATCCTGAAACTGATGGGCGTGTTCTTCTAGGAAACGTTGATTGCACGGAAGAAGCTGCGCTATGCAGGAGGTACTACGAAGTTGATGTTATACTCAATATTATTGTTGTTTTGGGTTGTATGAAACTTAGTGATTTGGTCTGAAAATTGCTGAGAGAAGCTAGTTCGTTTCTTGCTTGTTCGCTCACCTATCTAATGGTTGCTGTTTGACTGTCACTCAGATTAATTTCTCGTTTTGACCTGACATAAACTGTGAAATATATTTTCCAGGAATCATATACAAGGCTATCCATCTATTCGGATTTTCCGAAAAGGCAGTGACCTTAGGTGAGAAACCATCTGTTAAGACGTTTTACTTGCAACTAGTGAAGCTATAATTCTTCATGTCTTCTACTTAACCTTATTTGTCAATGCGGCGAGAAACTCTGTGTCTCCTGTGTGAAAGACATATCTGTTGGTGCCAACATTCTTATAAAATTGTTCCCTGTTATTTTGTTTTCAGAGAGGACCATGGACACCACGAACATGAATCTTACTATGGAGATCGGGACACAGATAGTATAGTTAAGGTAGACAAATCCAAATTGTGTTCCAGTATCAGGAAGAAATTAGTCAACATTCACATTAATGTTTCTGTGTGTGTTCGTTTATAAAAAGCGGGTAGTTGTGTCTGTCAATTAATTTACTTATACATTCACTTTATATCTTTTTGCTGCGTTTTGAGTCAACACTAAGCATGTCCTTCTAAAAGTTCATATACAATGATTTTTTTTTTTCTCCCAGATGGTGGACGGATTGGTTGCACCTATCCACCCTGAGACTCACAAGCTAGCTTTGGATGGTATATCCAATGATACAGCAAAAAATCTTAAAAAGGCACCAGTTACAGGAGGTTGTAGAGTTGAAGGGTATGTGCGTGTAAAGAAGGTAAACCTCAGACTGAAAAACTGAAGACAGAATCAATGTCCCTATAATTGATTTGTGGCCTGTTTTGATATTTTTCCCAGCTTTACTGTACTAGAATTTTGTCTTTTCTATGTTTCAGGTTCCAGGAAACCTCGTTATCTCAGCTCATTCAGGAGCTCATTCGTTCGATTCTACTCAAATGAACATGTCACATGTTGTGACTCATCTTTCATTTGGGAGGATGATATCACCTAGGTTGCTGACCGATATGAGGCGATTGTTGCCATATCTTGGCCAAAGCCATGGCAGGCTGGATGAAAAAGCATTCATAAATCAACATGAGTTTGGTGCCAATGTTACTGTAAGTCCCAAAAACCTTCATTTGAATTTAGATTCTTGAACTTCCGGTCACATTTTCTTCCACACATCATTACCTAATTATTTCCTACACTATAACCGTTGTACACAGATCGAACACTACCTTCAAATAGTCAAAACAGAAGTCATTACAAGAAAATCCGGTCAAGAACATTCATTGATCGAGGAATATGAATACACCGCTCACAGCAGCGTGGCTCAGACTTACTACTTGCCCGTTGCAAAGTTTCACTTTGAGCTCTCTCCCATGCAGGTTCAGTCTTTGTTCACACAAACGAGAAGATAATATCTCTCGCAAATGTCTGAATATCACACACTCCTCTTTATAATTACTCATTGTTTGCTCTGTTTTTGCAGATTTTAATAACCGAAAACCCAAAGTCCTTCTCACACTTCATTACAAATCTTTGCGCCATTATTGGTGGTGTTTTCACGGTTAGTACATTCTCAGTCAATCTTGCTTCTTCATACTCTCATGGACTCCATGGTGATTACAGATTCCGGCTGTTATATTTTTTCAGGTTGCGGGAATACTAGATTCAATTTTCCACAATACAATAAGGCTGGTCAAAAAGGTCGAACTCGGAAAAAATATTTGATCGGCGACTTGAGGTTAGAATTTTCCATTAATCTATAAAACCATAGAAGAACCTCAGACTGTTTATTTGAAGTAGCTGTTCTACAGAGAAAAACCTCAGAAAAGAGAAAGAGATTTTGTTTGACACTATTTTTTAGTTTCTTCATAATTCTTGAGTCTTTCAATTTCCGCCTTCTTTCTTTATCCTTCAATTTCTCCATAGATAATATAGACGATGTATCAGTAACATGCACACAAGTAGAAGTTTTTTTATTCATTTACATGAGAAACAAATCGGTTAAAATCAAACAACAAACACCAATTGACACAAACTCGGGTGAAAAGAGAAAGGGAAAAGACTGTTTACAGAGTGAAAACAGAAGACAAAAGAGAATACTTCTTAGTGTAGGAATAGAGTGGAAGCAAGAGCAGCCCCGAGAAGAGCAGCGACAAAGGAAGCAGATGGAGAAGCTGCGTTGTTGTTTGGAGTTTCTTGAGATGGAGTAGGCATAGGTGCTGGGGTCATCTCAACGGTTCCTGTGACAGGCGGAGAAGGAGCGGATTCTCCAGAGGGAGCCGGAGCTGGAGACGGCGGTGATGTGGCCTTGTTTCTATCAGCCATGACGATGACCACGAGCTTCTCATTCTTTTTGCAGTTGTCTTTGTTTCCACTGATGAAATAGTATGGCCCAGAGCTGGTTAGTGCGAAGGAAGTTTTGCCATCGGCGAACTTAGCGGTTGGTGCGTCCGTGTTGCAGCTGTCGTAAGCGTCTCTTGTGACTTGGAGCACTGAATCTTGGTTTGGTTGGTAGACGAACACTGCAAAATTGTTTACATCTTTGTGTGTCATGTGTGAAAGAAAACTATGATTATGGTTATTACTAGAGTGTTGGAAACTTACGGAGAGAATCGCCGATTTGGAATCTGCTCTGTTCTGCCCATTGACTGTAAACTTGAGAACCGGAAGGGACGGTCCAACCTTTTGCACCACCGACCGCAAACTCTCTGGCGTAGGCTTTGTTAACGACCATGAACAGACACACGAGGCCAAACCCACGAAGCATCATGTTCTTTAGGTTTCGAACCATTTCTTGAACCGAGTAAAGACAAGAAAAGGCGATGTGAAAATCAAAAGGTGTTAAAGAGATATATGTTGATGAGACTTGATGAAAGACGGTTTGGGTTTATATAAAGGTGAAATATTGCAGAGAAGCTTTTTAATCTTTCTTTCTCAGATATTAAGCAAAGCATAAATGCCTCTTTTCAAGAAGTGTTTCAGTTTTGGAATCTCATGTGACTTGCTTCTGTCGACGATGTCTTTTGTTCCTTGCTTCCGAATATTTGATGTTTTATTTACTATTACTTTTTTCGATAAAGATGTTAAAAGAAACGAGAGATTTCGCACAAAAATATTCAAATTAATCAAAAGACTAAATCTTCTTCATGTCAAAAAAAAGGGAGCCAGCATTGTTCTGAGCTTTTGGGATTTACCAGAGAGAACAACATACACTTGAATACATTTTTATAGAGCAAACAAATTGTATAATACAACATGTCAAAGTTTTTCAATATTAGATCAATCATATTACAAAAGATCTCTTCACATCTGCTCCTTCTGATCATTCCTCTGTTCAGCAACATCATCAAAAACACCAATCTTTTAAAAAATCAAAGATCAAACACTGACCAGTTATGTGCTAACCCATCATTAGTACAAAAGCCGCAACTGCTGCGAAAACAATGGACATCAAGACGCTGATTCCATGCCTATGTCCTGAGCTCTTCTTTGGGAAATGTTTGGGAAGAGCACATTCTTCTCCATTGAAGAAAAGTTTGGTTGGGAAACCGTCGCCTTCGGGTATATTCAGTCCATTGATGTTTTTCTTGGTGAAGGAGATAACAGATTGTTGCTTTCCTGGCACGGGAGGGTCTCTTAGTGGATTGGTTCCGTTAACTTGACCCACAAGGTAGTTCAAACCAGGCAAGCCTTGGAACATAACAGTTCGATTGTTTGGTGGAACACGTGTTCCGTTAAAGGAGTAAACGTTTTCAAACCCTGGACCTGCTTTTCCCATCTCAACCGCTACAAACCAATCCTCGAACGCAAACTCTCTCCAGTTGAAAACGGTTAACCTCGCGGTCCAACCGTTTCTGTAGTCCGTGTTAACGTGCCAGTTAATACTGACTCCACAGTTATCCGGACATGGAAGTTTCTTGGGTATTGGCATGTGGTTATGTTTAGCCCAAGCTTTAGCTACTAAGGTCCGGTTATCGAACGGGACGAGGAGGGCGTTAGGAGGGAGGAGGAGCGGGTTACGGTCAGCATTGCAAGTGTCTGTATCTATGTTATTGCATCCGCAAGCGCAAGTGTTGCAAGGAACCGCAGAGTTGTTGTAAAAGGCAGAGAAGGAGACACAACATCTTGTGGCCTGAGCTTTTGGTTTGGTTATGTTGCAGACCACTTGCCAGCTGGCGATTGCGTAGGTTACAGCCGGTAGACCGCTAGAATCCGGGAATGGAGTCGGGTCGACCCGAACCGGTGGCCCGCATTTGTACTGCGGGTTGAGAACACCATCGATTTTCCAATTCTGAGGCGGGTATAGAGCTGTTCTGTTTAGATCAGGAGGCAACTTGAAAACCTAACAAATTGAGAGAAACAAACAAAAGTTTTAAACCCTTAAAGTTTCTGTGGTTCTTGACAAAATTTGACGAAAAATATTTGTTACCTGCAATTGAAACATAGATCGAGCTTTCGAAGGATCCATAATAGGTGACAAGAGAGTTCCGTTTTTGCAACAGAAAGGTAACTTTCCGGTCACGTTATCGTCTTTCCTTTCAGGAGGCAAATCGGAAATGGCTGGCTTCTTCTGACAATTCATGACCTGAGAGAAATCTAAGTCTTTGTAATACCGTCCAGCTTTGCTGTAAATGCATTCGGATGGATCTCTCTTGTAAGTGTAAGCTCCTCGCATTGTGTTTATAAACTCTCCTCGCGTCCATTCCCAAGTCAGGTTCCAACGGTCTAAGCGCCCGAGCGGATTATCGTTGTCAATGGTCACTTGAGCTAAGTAGTTGCTGTCGAATGCTTGTAGAACATCGTATACCATGTTCAGGTCACCGTACCTTCTCGGTGCAAACTTTGTCTTTGGTCCGGTTTGTACCTTGATCTTAGGGTTTCTTTTGCAACAAACGTGCATGTTGCCTCCTGCACAAGAAATTTAACCCACCGACTTTTGGTCAAAATTTGCTTAATAAATGGCAAATGTTAATGCGAGATTACGTTTTGCATTGCGTCAACCATTTTCAAAGATACAAGGTTTAAAAAGCTGCGTTTTTTTAAAATGTAAATACAAAATTTATAACCTAATAAATGTAAACATAAATTACTTGCGTTTGAAGCAATCGAGTCTAATTTGATCTAACCTTTTCTCACCGCGGCGGGGCATTCCCAACCGTCGTTGGTGAGCTTAATAGTTCTCGGCATAGGTGTGACCGACTTTTCAACCCCAAAAAAAGTTCCGGTGATTTCGATATTCGTCGATATCTGAGTGAAATCACCTGCGGTTTCAATAGAGGTTTTCAAATCCGTGTTTGGCGATCCAACGAACGTGGTTCCATTGCTAGCATCCAGAGGATAATCTCCGTCCATTGGAGCCGCACCAGTCGCTGAAACGATTAGCTCCTTGTGACGAAACCCTATAAACATTTGCCATCCCTTGAGCTCTTCCTTACCCGCGTTTACAATCATCGCAGACGCTTTAAACGCCCACGATTGTGCGGTCACGTTCTTGACATGCGGGTACTCTCTTTCCCGGCTTCCGAAGCTATAGCTCATGAAGATACCGTTGCAATGTGCCATCTCAGGCGGCGGCTCGACTCCTCCTGCTCCGTCTTCGCTCGGTGTTCCATAATCTTGGCCGTTGCACAGAAATATAATCGATGATAACAAAATCAATAGACTTAATGAATAGCGTGCGTCCCAAGGTATCTTCATCCCTGTTTTAATTTCAACAGCCTTCATCGTTTGAATTTTTACCCTTTCTTCCTCACCGCCTTGTGATTACTTGAACCGCAAGGCAGCGAGAGAAAAGAAAAAAAACCTAAGGGATCGACCAAGCCTTTAGCTAAAAGAGAGATTCAATCAAAACGATAAAGGTTTTAGTGTGAAAAAACCTGTAAAAAAGATCAAAATCTAAAAGTTTTGATTCAAAGAAAGGAAGGTGGTTGGAGAAGAAGAGGTCTCAAAAGGTAGTTTTGATATGAGCCTCTGGTTTTATTTGGTGGTCACGGGGAGAGACATTTAAGAATGTGTGTTATGGCAATTACTAATTTTGGAATAGAGTTTCGTAGTTGTTTATTAACTAAAAACCGCTTCGATTGTTTTCGAAATGAAACAAACTTGGGTCTTATATTTACTTGGATTCCATAATAATTTGAATTCTAATTAAGTTTTCAGATTAGTTTTTTAACTAAGGTGAATAGGGGTTTTGTACATTTTCAGTTTTTTTTTACATCAAATTTATATTCAACTTTTCCAATTATTTAAGCTAGTTTATTTAATAATCACTGTATACTTTATATTCGATATCAATTTGTTTTTGTTTAATTCAATAACATGCAATATGCGAATTTGAATCCAGGTGAGAATACATTGACTAGCTCAAACTACTAAACTACATGTTGTGGTATATCCGAGATCAATTTTTATAAGATAAAGTATTACTAGTAAATTAGTTTCTTTTTATCTAAAAGTTTCTATACTGAATTTGTGAAGATGAATTTACACATAGTGGTTTTCTCAACAAAAAAAAAAAGAATTACACATAGTGGATTGGTCAGTAGTGGGTGTAGACTGTAGAGATCATCAGATCAAGGATTAATGTGTGTGGGTGTAGAAAATCAGAATTTCCTTAGAGAAAGGTAGCCTTTACGAGAAAGGAAAAATGTGAAGATGAATTTACATATAGTGGTCATATTATATTTTCGATATGAATATTGACTGATCTTGTTTAACTAATAATTAGTGTGTACGAACGAGTGTCCATCCGATTCGACCCGAGTCTAGATTGTACAGAGAGGCGGAGGAACGGGGTCACATGTCCCTTATTTTTTTATTTTTTAAAATATTTAGATAAATTTAATCAAAATATTTTTTTTAGCAATAAAAAATAAAAAATTGTTTTGCAACTAATTTTTTTCTTCTATTTATAAATTATGCCTTAACTAATTTTTTTTCTAGATCTGCTAAACGTTTTGGGACATATGCCATTTAGGATCCAAAAATACCTAATGAAAACCTCTAATTATTTGTCCAACAGTACAAGAAAACGTGTTGTGATGAATTGATGTTTGTACCCTAGCTACAGTATATATAAAAACAAAAATAGCAATTATTATCGTTATACAATCTCAGGAATTTGATAGATCTTTTAATTCAGAAAGAAACAGAGTTTCTTACTTATTACTGTTGGTGGTGTACTCCGCACCCCCGATTTAATCCGATATGAACCAAGATCGGCCCAATTGATTCCGATTTACGATGGTTCATATCCAAAAGATATTCGGCCTATTAATAGCTTATGGTTTTCTAAAGTCCGTTATACAATATCGGCATTAACATTTAAACTTTACGGAATATTTCCTTAATCTTATCCAAGAAAAAGAAATATTTCTGAATCCAAATCCAAATAGAAAAAGGAAATCGTTTAGAGAGACCGATTTCAAAACCCTATAAATAGAAGAGACTCCTCTTCTTTCAAAGATCATACACAATTTTAATAATAGAACTACGAATGGCTTGATACCTTCTCAAGGGTACGTAAGCAGCTCATCTTGAGTTCAACTATAACATCAATAAAAACTTTTTGTGTGATACTCGGTATCAACAATTACATTTTTGGTGTTAAGGTTGATTTCAGTAGTAGTTTTATTTTGTTCTCTTACAAAATAAAATAAGATATGGTTTTTTGTTATTAAACATCCCTAGTTGTTTCTAGTTTTGGTCCATTATGGTAATAAATTACAAAGATACTTGGATTTTTTTAAAAAAATCTAATTCCTTACGTCCACTAGGCACTAACTTGTTTTCCTAAGCGCGTGTCTGTGTCTGCTAATTAGTCGTCTCTTGGAGTCAACTCGAAATATCTTCAATCTTTTAGACAAAGACCAAGAATCTATAAAAAAAAACATCTTCAATTTTTCAGACAGAAAGATCAAAATCTGAAACTCAAACTCAAACTCAAATGGATCCAGAACAAGACAGAGACGGTGGTGGTAGAAGTTGTTGTAGCTGCTGTCTCAGCTTCATCTTCACAGCTGGTCTCACCTCTCTGTTCCTATGGCTCAGTCTCCGTCCCGACAAACCCAAATGCTCGATCGAATACTTTTACGTTCCTGCCCTCGACAAATCCCTCAATTCACGAACCAATACCACTCTCAATTTCATGGTTCGTCTCGCAAATCCAAACAGAGACCAAGGAATCTACTACGACGACGTCCAAGTTTCTTTATTCAACACCAACACAACGACCAATTCCTCTTCTCTTCTTGCTAATTCCACAGTGCGTAAATTCTACCAAGGACACAAGAAGAAGGCCAAGAAATGGGGTCAGGCTCTGCCTTTTAACAACCAGACGGTTTTACGAGCGGTTTTGCCTAATGGGTCGGCGGTTTTCCGGATGGATCTGAAGACGCAGGTGAGGTTCAAGATTATGTTCTGGAAAACCAAGAGGTATGGAATCGAGGTTGGTGCTGATGTTGAAGTCAACGGAAATGGAACTAAAGCTCATAAGAAAGGGATTAAGATGAAGAAATCTGATTCTTCTACGAGTTTAAGAACCTACTTTCCGGTTTGTGTTTTGATGAATCTGCTCGTATTCTTCGCTATTCGTTAAAACTGATTTGACGATTTCGATATTTTATTTTGCTTTTTTATTTTTTTGCTTTTGTTTATGTAGATTTTATTGACACTTTTCATGAGTTTTAGTTGTGTGTGTGTGTTTTTTTCATTTCTTCTTTTTTTCATGGTTTCTAAATTCGACCAAGTACTCATTCAATAATTAATTCCATTATTGTTTTGTTTCACTTTCAACTATGTATTAGTTTCTCTATCAACAAAATTCTATTTGGGAAATCAATGATCCTTTTTAAAGTGCACGTATGTACATACAAGACAATTATATCTTGGGCTTGAAATGAAGGAAAAAAGAACAAAACCAAAATAAATAAAAAAATATATAGTGAATCTAAAATATGGAGAGAACTTGAGTTTAAGAAGTTTTATGCAAAACTGGCAGATTCCATATAAGAAGGGAGTGGTTACAACACAACAATAATTTGGGGTTGTTCTCTAACTTTTTCTTATCAGTACGACAATCTCTTAACTTTTAGTTTTATATAATCAAATATTGTATTGTAGTTGCGCTCAATATTTTAGTATGACTTTGCCTTACGAATAGTCCGTTAAATCTATTTTTTAATTGCTTTTTCTGTTTCGGTATTGTGAAAGTTGTCATAGATTACTAGAAAAGTTGCCAAAAAGATAATTATTATGTTAGATAGTATTTTAATTGATTTGGCTATTTTTCCCCTTAATTTAAATTTGAATTTGTATTCTTTTTTTCCAACTCGTATGACATAGTCATGTTCTCTAGCTAACTCAAAATATCAGCCAATTCCAATAATCAGAGCAAAGAAGTCATTGCATATCCTTCTTTTTGCCAAATACTGCATATCTTTCTTCTTCATCTTCATCTTCCAATGTCTTCTGATGGAGAGGATGATTTGGAATGGTATGATTTGATCCCAGGCAAGCTCGAATTGGCATTGCGTTTCATGGTTATGTTCCTCTTCATTGTGTCTTTCATTGCTTTGTTACTCTGGTTTTGTACTTTCGTCCACCACTTTCCAAGATGCTCAGTCCATTACTTTTACATTTCTGCCCTCAACAAATCCCTGAATTCACCACACAATACCACTCTCAATTTCATGCTCCGTCTCAAAAACATCAACCCTAGACAAAGAATCTACTACGACGATGTCCACTTATCCTTCTCCAACTCCTCTCTTTTCGTTGTGGCTAAGTACACCGTGCCAAGATTCTATCAAGGACACGAGAAGAGTGCCAAGAAATGGGGACAGGCTCAGCCACTTGACAACGTGACCGTTTTACGAGCGGTTTTGCCTAATGGTTCTGCGGTTTTCCGGGTGGATTTGAAGACGCAGTTGAAGTATAAGTTTATGTTTTGGAAAACGAGAAGGTACAGATTCGAAGCTAGTGTATCTTGAAGTCAACGAGGATGGAGCCACCAAAGTCAAAAACAAAGAGGATGGAATTAAAATGAAGAAATCGGATTCTTCTACGCGATTAGCCTCTTTGCATTTTTGTGTTTTGATTTATTTGCTCATCTTCTTTGCTATTTGCTTACTCTGATCGATGATTTTCATTTCCATTGGCTTCTTGTTTTTGTTTTTTTTTTCTGCTCTGTGAATCTTTCCTCTATTTAGCTGTTACTAGATTGTATGTTGGTGTATAGCTTGATTTTCATATAGTACTGAGTAGTGACATATATTTTTTTATTCCTTAATTTTATAATTTTGTAGTGCTAAATAATATTTTATTAAGTAAATCAAAATATCAAAGGATTTATAAAAACCCAAAAAAAATATTTACAAGGATTCAAAATAGATAACAACCTTTTTTAATATCTATGTCTAAATATTCGTTAGATGAAAGCTCCATTTGCTTTTGAAATGGATAAATCTCAACTAAGATAATCTTCACAGAAATCCAAAAACAATTTATACGGCTGCCACTCTTTTGTTATTGCTTCAGTCGGAGTCACTGAGACATGATAATTTTTTTTATATTGCTACATTGATAACAACATAATCACTAATACCAATATTCCAAATAGTTGGTTGAGTTTGTATTTTAGACCATCTTTTGGAGTAATGGTAGTTTACAACAAAATATCCACCAGCATTAAATGAATAACCATCAAAGATTGAACTGAATTGGAACTTTTTTTTTATCAAATCCATTAGAAAAATCCCATGAAAAATGATTAAAAGCTTTGCCAACTCAAAAATAAATTAAAAAAAAAACAAATCAAAGAAAAAGTAGCAAAGGAAACTAACCAAGCTAATCGATTCAAATAACAGAGATAACTTACACAATGGTTTGCTTTTCCAATTCTCCTTGGAGCAGCTCCACCATTCAAAACCTACAAAAAAAAAAAGAAAAAAACAAACAAACGAACAAACAGAGAGTTTTGTGACTTCTAACCTTGAAGAGATTAGAAGGATGCAATAATATCATTTAATTTTTTTTTTTTAACAATTTCATTGCATTAAAATAACTGAAACAAAAGTGCGTTTGAGTTTTACAAAAGCCATCTTTAATTATGAATATGTAACTAAAGACAGTTTTTGTAAACTAAAAGCACTTTTGCTTCAGTTATATTAATGCAATGAAAATGTTCAAAAAAAAATAAATGTCACACTACTTATTCCTTACGTAATATTTATTGTCATAAGCCAAAATCAGCTTGGATTAAGTTGGATAACCCCCAAATGGCAAAACAAACGGTATATATATAATCCTAAACACGTATTTCATAATTTCATTAAATTCTATCACTTTTTCATTTAACTATACAAACTCATAGAAAAAATTACTCACAATATGATTACGTGCTAGTACTATGGTATCCACATCACATATTTGAAACTTGAACCATAGTAAAAAAAAAAACATTTAGTCATAAATCAAGAATGATTACTACGAACAAGTAATTAAGTATGATGCTACAACAATGATTACTACTAACACAAGTATGGCATGCGACTATTGAACATTCGTATACCGTGAACATACAATAATCACATGTGATACTAAACTTATTAGCAGTAATCAATAATTCTTGTAGGGAGTAAATGTTTTTACGTGTCTATCTGTCATTAGATTGAAAAAATAATAGAAGCAAATAAAGTATATATGTCTAAGATTATTATATATAATAATGCTTATATTTTACCCTTTTGGGATCATCTAACGTACCCCAACCTTCATACGTGAAGATCTGAATTGTGTGTATCTCTACCGTGAATCCATCATTTCCATTGGTCACAGCAGAAGCATCTCAAAGCCTGGAAAGCTGTGACATAACACAAAGAGAGATCATAAAACTATATATAACCTGTGTTTATTACATAGATCAGCACCGTACGAACATTGACATCAATTTAATTCGATCTGATTTCTGTTTTCGCCATCAATCGCCATGCAAAGATTCGGAATCACAAATAATATAAATAAAACAACACCGCTTACCTCATAGATACGAGACACCGGCGAGAGATTCCGATGGAATACGTTCCATGAGAGTTTATATTTACTCTTTTTGTCAAAATCGATGTGTGTATATATGAGGAATTTTGAAGAACACGTTCAATGAGAAGAAGGAAGAGAAGAAGAGAAGTATTCGTGTTTTGTCTTAAGATTCGATCGAGGGGTGAGTGTTTAACGAATGTCCCATGTATCATTATATAACCCCCAAAATGAGTTCTTCCCATCATGTAGAGCGCCACATCACCAAAAATAAAAGAGCATTGCATTTTGATTTAAAAATCTCATTGTTTAAACATAGAGATCAGCTTCTCCAAAAATATAGTCTTTTCCGAAAAATATGCAATTTCATTAGCCGCAAAGACTTCATCTTTTTCAATTTTCTTCTTGGACTCCACTGGTGTCGGACTCCATCTTAGTTTAAGGGTATCCTCATCAACACCGTAAAAAGCCAATGATGGAACGATAAATGATTTGTCAAACCAGTCATATGTTTTTTGTGGCTCCAAATCCCCTCCATAAATCAAATAACCATATTTATCATTGCCTTCAACCTTCTTTTACAGGGAACAAGCCTTCAGGTCTCCAAAGTTTTTTTGCATTATCAAAGTGTTTTGACATTACAAGACATTCCAGATCATGGGGTTTCGTAAAAAAGAATATCTTATCAATATATTTTATTTACAATATCTTAATTTTTTCAATGTTTGGGTCTAAGTATACATTAATCTCGTCAACTCCTTTGTGAATTCATAAAACTCATCATTGTCTTCAGAATAAGACTTATCTTGATCAACTTTGAAATCAATCACTCTTTTTAAGACAACAGTGACAATGATTGGAAAATTCCGTGAAGCAGTTTTTCTCATTGTGTGTAGTGAGGACATCATATTTATAAATAGAAAAGGAAGATGTTACGTTTCTGAATTGAGCTTGAAGAAAAATGATTTAGTGCGGTTTTAGAGCACTGCAATTGGAAAAAACGCATAGATATTAGAGAAGAAAAAGTTTATTTGATCCACATCTGTTTCAGAACAACGCTTTGTACAAATCAGATAACGTTGATCAAATATTCCTTTCATATGAACATCGCTAGAGTCAGTTAGAGAGCAAAATCGAATTTTTTTTGAAAAACAAAAATAAAATTGTTTATGGATTGACTCTTATAATTTATCTCTTGGATACTTCTAAGTTCTAATTAACTTCTAACTTTTTAAGTTATGGTTCAAAGGTATGACGTTCTTAATTAGGTTTTTAAGTTACTAAAATAACAAAATACTCCCTCTGTTCCATAATAGATGATGTTTTAGAAATTTTACTCTTATTAAGAAACAATAAATATGTATTACTTTTAGTTATTTTTTTGTCTTTTCACTTTCTAAATTTTTTTTCACACACTTATTAAATGCTCTATAATCATTATAAATGAACTTTAGCTCCATCACTTGATATTTATTGGTTTGTTTACACATAAACATTTATTACTTCAAAATAATTAAATAAAATATGCTATTAAATCATTCTTGTAAAATGTAATAGCATTAAATACTTCCAAAACATCATCTATTTTAAAACAAAGAAAAATCTTAAAACATCATTTATTCTGGAACAGAGTATATCACAACGTTTTACTACATACTCAATTATGTATTATTAGTTTATTACGTTTCCGAAAAGGATAAGCTTCCATCACGTTTCCACATTAAAAAGTTTAGAACTGAAATGTTTTTGAAACAGGAAATGGAGCTCGGACAAGATTTCCATGCAACCTAACTAGGTTAGTATGAAAATCAGTGATTATTTTCCCATCATAATTATTACTTATTACCCTTTTGCATTCGTACATGCATTCCTTAAGAAATCTTCATCCCCATTTGCTGAATCTAAAATTTTAACGCATTATGTATTGCATTAATATATTTACGCATGTGGTTGATTAAATTTTCATAGCCACGTGCTAAGAAAACATTTTATTCTTTCGTAAACTACATGAACAAGGCTAAATATAGTTAGGAAAACCTACGAAAAGTTATTAGACTCCCTAAATAAAAATTAAAACAGAGTCTAAAAGAAAAAACATCACTTCTTTTCGGTTTTTTCAAAAAGCTTCCTCAGCTATCTACCATAAATTTCTAAGAAAATACATTGATGAAAAAAAATGCGAAGTGAATTGAAGAAAGCATGCGAGAGAAGCCGGTCTCTGCTGCCTTTCTTGTTATAATCTGTACCGGATTATAATAACCGATCCGTACCAAAAAAATTATGGCTACGAATGTTTGCAGTTTTCTATTTTATTTAGGTTTTGTTTTCTTTAACTTTAGTTTATGGTTATTTCAAAAGAAGAAAAGAATAATATTTTGCTTTTAAACGGGTCATAAAACCTTTCTATCACACTGAACCAAAATTAGTAATTTTGTCATAATCCACAAGTAAATTTTGTAAACCAGACAATTCATCATCGCCCATGGCATGGGACACAATCAATCCAAACTTTAAAATCCCTAGACCCTAAAAGTACTAAAGAAAGAAAGGGAACTAGTCTCTGTCTTTTTTTACTGGCTACATCGAAACAGTCTCTCCCATGAAAGCTTATTCAATCAATCAATTGTCGAGACGTTGAAAGAAGTAGAGATAACCCATGTCTTTGGGAGGATCTGTAGAGATACCGACTTTGCTGTCATTGAAAATAACCCAACGACCTTCTTTCAATATGTGTGCCACATAGTGACCACAGTGAGTTGATGTCCCCATGTGGCTTACTATCCCAAACAGCTTGTATCCTGCAGTTTAAATTAAAAGACCAAAAACAAAAAATGGAAGTAAGTTAGGATAATCCTCACTTCGGTTCTGTTTTGGGAAGATGGCAAAGGTTAAAAGAGTTTTGAAGAAAACTAACTTCCTCCTCCGTCTGGTAATCCACTTTGAGCTGGAGTCTGAGCTGAATTGCTAGAGGAAACGTCCATGTCCGAAACAGATGCATTAGGGTTGTTGAATATCCAGTCTGTTGCTTTCTCAATATCTCCTCCCTGATTCAAAAAGAAAAGATTTCATGAGTCAAGAAAAAAAAAAAAAAAAAAGAGCCT